TGGAGTTCGAGGGTGGTCTTAATTTGTAGCTGAATTGTTGAGATTGAGGTGACAATTCTATGTATGTGGCGAGACAAGAAAAAATTCATAGTGAGTCACTATAAAATCAGAAACTCATCTTCTGGGATCTCGATAAATAAAATTAGATTGTCGAAAAATGCGACATATTTTTTACTATTAACTGGAAAACCTGTTTCATATACATGTTACTTTCAGGATGTATTGAGGGGTTGGTTTCGATATCCTTACTGCACGTAGGTACACCACTGGTGATCACACTTTTCCGGGGCTTTCGACTTGAGCGTTTCGTTCAACGACCCAAATGCGGTCGGCTCGGAGAAAGCAATATGGCTCCTGATCGTTATAACGAAAGTTTATCATGCATTTCTTCACAATCGTTCCGTTGCAAAATCAACCAGTCATTACCATCTCTTATTATTACCACATTGTCAGATCGAATTCGAATGATTCTTCTACTCTCTCGGTCGATACAGAAGGCGCCTACGGTGCCGGTTCGAAATTGGGAAACGTTGGGCTTGCAACTGCCACTGATGTAATTTGCATAGTTGGTAAATAACTAACTAACTGTATTAATTACTATTTGTTAAATGTTATTCGAAGCCAGTAGTTGTCCCAATACTAACATATGTGCTAATGCTAATACAAAAGAAAAATAATAGTTTTGCGTATGAAACATATAAGTTAGAGTCCTGTTTTTCAAAGTGTGCTCCGCGGAGCTCTGGGACTTTACAAAGCCGCCACAAAAGGGGGGAGGGCATGGTTTGATGAGTTTTTTTTTTAGATTTAACTAAGGATCTGATTTTTTTTTCAATGAAATTCGTTTGACCCTTTAAGGCTGGCGATCGCCCATATTCATTCTCCGTATATGCAAAGGTTACTTTTGACGAAGCTTTTGTAGCATTAATTTTAATATAGAAAGGAACAGAATTTTTTAAAAATACTCGAAAAATTACTTTGATCCTCGGTATCCAAACCACATAGAAACCCTCGACTTGTCGACGTATTTTAAAACTAAACATATTTAGACGTTTTCTTTTCGTTACCACCCTTACAACTAACATATCAAATAAATGAAACAAATCGCACTTTAAAATAATGTTTGGTTTTCCTGAAAGCTTGGTTTGAAATAAAAGCTAATTATTAATTCACCTAAGCGGCTAGGGACAACGCGGATAAAATGTGGGGCTTTGTCCTATCCACAGTTCGTAAGAATCTGTGCAGTAAGAAGTTCAAGGTAATTTCACAGATGGCGCTATAAAACCTTTATTTTTATTACTGTAAGATTTGAAGCGGAACAGGGCCGGAATAAAAACAACTCTTATACGACAGATTTATTCCCAAGTAGATGAAATTTGCAAAATATTATTCTTTATTAACTTTAGCTAGTGTATGTCACAAAAATTCAAAATAACATAATAAGATTTAATAATTGAGAATGGAGGTTTTCAGTTAATTTTGAATATTAAGAAGTATAAATCGCAGTTTTTCCTTGAGACATGCCGTGCCAATGCTTTCTATAAAAAAATACGCTATCCGAAATTGAGTTCTGTTCATTCGATGCCTCGATGTGCGGAATACAAATTTGGCACAAAAGCCGCTGTTATCGAACGCCTGCCCGCCCCCGTTCGTTTTGCATATAAATTTGACAAATAATACAAATTCACAATGGCGTTTGCGGTAAATGACCCCGCTAGTGGCCGCTACCAAAACTGTACAGTGTATACACGACAAATTCATAGTGGTAGTGGCTCAATCGAGGTTGGAACATGATGATAATGATAAACAAGGCTACGAAATTTATCAACAATGCTATGGACGGAAATGGAATTTTACATTTTTGATTAGATTTGAACAACCTTAAAAACGGCAAATATTAATATTGAATTTATTTAAAGTTCAATGAATGCTAGATGATGATTCCGGTCTTCGCAATAAATCTTTTTAACTTCTCAGAACACGGGCAGAATTTCTTGGAAATATGATTCAGATTTATAATATTAGATAACTAAAATATTCTTCCTTTTTTGGAGTATTTACATATAGGACACTTTACATAGCGAATATCTTGGGGATTATGCGTGTCTTGCTCTCACTCGCGAATATTTTAAACTTATTAAAACTTAATGATATTACTTGAATTGTAAACATAGAAAGGCATAAAGAGTTAGTATGTGGACATAACAACTCAAGTTCAAGACTTCTTGCCAACTTCAAAACAAATTTCGAAAGGGAGTAGAGTACTTATTTTTTGCCAATAAATTTAAATACTGTCATATTTTATTTCTCCTTGTGTTTATGATATTCTTATCGGTTCATCTTTTTTTATTAGTTTTATTCATTCTTTTCTTTCTAAACAAAATATACTAAAACGAAAATATCATCAGTAAAACACTACGATTTTCCTTATTAATTCATTTTAATTGATTTATTAATTTGCGATGTCTAGACTCAATTTTTACTAAAATTTTTATTTCTACACATCGATATTATTCTAATTCATCACTTTATCATTTAAAATACGTGCAGAACATACTATTTCAAAAACTATTGCAAAAAAATGTCACGTACCTACGTATTAAGTTTTATTTATTTATTTTTTATCAACAGATATTCCAAGTAATTGGCAATTTCGTAATATGTCGTATTTCGCGTACAGATCATAAAAAAAATTGTTAATGTCAAAATAAATAGATTAATTATTATTAATGTTGAAGCATTAAAAGATAAATATTTCCATATCTGTCGTCGTCTTTATCTGACACACGATCAGGTGCTTTCAGGTTGTAATAATGCTAAAAGTTACACAAAGAAACGATATTGTTGTGCAAGATTTCAAAATATTTGTTAAAGTTAAACATGGTTTTTCTTGATGTAGGGGTTTTATAGAAAACGTTATTTTATTAAATTACAAAGTAAAAATTAAATTAAAAAATGGCAAATTTAGTTACAAAAGATTTTTACTTCGATAAAGGAATATTAAAAATATCCGAAAGGACCTAAAATTTTCATTAAAATTCCTACATAATCTATATTAATTGTTATATATCTATGGAACTGGATATGAAACAAATCTAATCCTTTGGTTTATCTGATTTTTGGTTAAATTCCATCTTTACAAAAAGAGGAATTTTTCTTTTTTTGATATGCGTTTATCAATTTGATTCATGGCTTCAATTGCTAAACTACTCCATACCAATGTTCAACTGATGATTATTGTGATGCCATCTCATTCGCAATAAACTTCATTTATGTTTTTCGATAAGATTTCCGCAATTTTTTTTTTTAAGTTTTGGGATATCTGAATGATTATATGTTCTAACATTTCGTAATGCAATGTCAAATAAAAGTCACACGATATTTTTAATCATTTTTTAAACCTCTATTTACGTAATAAACTCTTCAAAACAAGATTTATTACTAGAGCCCATATTAATAGATTATTCCAGATACGGACTTCTTTAAATTAAAATTAAATGTTAAAAAATTATTTCTGTGAATATTGATATACTCGCTTAATATACAGTGAGCATCATAAGTCTTACCCCCCCTAACTAACTCGTTATTGGAGTCTTGTTAGGAAAATCGCCGAGACAGGTCGATTTTTGATTTCTACAATGTACATTTTTGTATGATTAGTTTACCCTTAATTTCATCCCTTACTGGAGGGGAGCAATCCTTTCGAAAAATTTAAATGGCATGGGGTGGTGAGTGATAGCTCATTTGAAAGAGGGTTTTATTCTCTATTCAACCGTGTAAAAATTTTTGAAAGTTGCTTCATTACGTGTTGATTTAAGGGTAAACTATTCATACAAAAATGTACATTGTAGAAATCAAAAATCGACGTGTCTCAGGCGATTTTCCTAACAAGACTCCAGTAACGAGTTAGATAGGGGGTAAGACTTATGGTGCTCACTGTATAATATTTGATGATGTGAAATTAAGGTTAAAACATAGAAAATTGCAGATATGCAGATAAAAGATTTCTAAGAATTAAATTATTTATCTATTATTTTACCACAACCGTTTGCATACGGTCTAGGTATTATTACTATTAATTTACAATAATATTCGTGGAATGTCAAAAACAACAAATAAATGCAGAAAAATTAAGAAAGTTAAGAATAATAATTTAACTTTTGGAATAGAACAAAACCAAAAAAATTATAAATTATTTTGTAACAAATTAATAAATACAACTTCCTACTTCTAATCAGAATAAAAGCAGTTTTGTTTGATTCTATGTTCACAATCACAGTCGTAACGTTGGCTGAGCGCGCTATTTAATTATTTTTATAAATTTATCGATAAAAAAGATAATTTTGTTAAATACATGAAAAACAAAGTCATATTTAATAAATATTACACATCTTTCGTGTATATTCAAATATTACCAATAGGCTTTAAATATAATCAATAATATATTCGAGTACGCCACTGCCTACCGCGTTTAATTCAAAAATCCCTTTTATTATGTTATTACTAATTAATATTAGTAAATAACGTGTGCCAACATAGTAAATACGTTGCCAAACCAAAAACATACAGATTACAAAATTGACTCGTTTAGACTTCAATTTGTTAATATTTATACCGTAGGTTATATTAACGCAACACAGCCGTAATAGTTTACAGTTTGGGCAATAAATTTCGCAAAAGGATTTTAACTTTTGTGAGAAACGTCTAATGGATATAATCGAACGATCATTATGACATGACTTGTCTTACACATTTTTTATACGCGGCTTTTAATTAAAGAAACTGAAGATTTTATAATAGATGAGTAGCACTCAAATGTTTATTTAATATTAGGAAAAATTAGTTATATAGTATGGTGTAAATGAAAGATTGAAAAGTTTCTGAACCCCCTCAATCTCCTCTGATATTTCTTTTTTTCGTGAGCATGATGATTTTCAACCATATCAATAATTTTAAACTGTCAGAAAATTAATTCAGTTAAAGTTATTTATTTTTTGTTACAGGACGGAACTTAAGTTAGAATCTTTAGAAGACGCTGTAGTTTTAGAAGAACCGGACAGCGATTGGTTACACGACAAAAGAGGATGTCCTGCCTACGTAAGCCCAGAAATTTTGAAAGCCGGGGCCCATTATTCAGGAAAAGCCGCAGATATGTGGAGTTTAGGTGTTATACTGTATACCATGTTAGTTGGAAGGTATGTATTATTTTTTATTTTGATGGATGTGATAATTTTACGCTTTTCAAAACCGTAAATGACATCATCATCTCAGGTGCAACTTGACAATTTTCGAGGATTTGATAATTTGTCATACGTACATTTCTTCATCTATTTATAAATTATTTTCTGCAAATTCTCACGAATTCGTTTATGATTTGATAGTTTTTTCGTGAAAAAGAAAATGACTAGGCTATAGTGATTTATTCGAAAAATTCGTAACGTGTATGAATTTCGTTGCAAATATTTGCTCAAACATAAACATATTGATGTTATTGCAACGAATGATATTGATGTAATAAATTCGATCATAGGTCATTAAAAATTATTAAAACTTATGTAATTTATTATTAAAAAAATCTAAAAATGGCCGGTTTTTGTCGTGTTACGTCTTTTAAAAGGTAATTTAGAGGGTAATAATATTATATAAAAAACCAAGATTACCGCTATAAGAAATAAGAAAGTTAAGAAAATTACTATAGGTATCTCAAAAACAAAAGACCATTTAGATTTATTTTGTACACAATATTGTTATGCAGGTTTTTGGTATTTTAATTTATTTCAACTCAATTACTATACAACCGATAACATTAACATATAACATATCATAAAACTGACTGACTGACGTCAGGATCACCGACTTACATAGCTTGCTTTAACCTTCTCGAACCTTCTTGAACTGTCCAGATTTTTCTTGACGTGGAATGAATTTAATAAAAAAAACAAATACCAGATGATTTATTTGAAAATAGTATTTAAAAGCCGGATTTTCAGTGATCTTTATCTCTTTTTATTACCGAAATTTATTGGAATGGGTTTAGTTAGTCTACCGTCTTTGGTAAAAATTGCTACTGTATTTTTGAGTATTCTTAAGGCTATTTTGAATAATTAGTAGGTTTTGAATACATCCTTTTATATTGTATTGAAACTAAATTAACATTTTTGCAATTTATGGTTTTCTTGTAGATACATCCTTATTAACTCTGAAATACAAAGAATTTTTTTCGAGTATAGTTACCCAAAGGCTGTAATCAGCTTTTGTAAAAGGCTTGAGCTCTTAAAAAGAAGACGATTTTCCCGCCATATGGCTACCGATTAGACAAAAGATATAATCAACCCTACGTTTAAAGGGAATTACTACTCCGGCAACTGTTGTATTCGACAGTGGCGTTACAAATGAACACAAAAATTTATTTTTTATATTTATGGACTCTGTGGTATTTAGAAAAAAATCTAGACCCAGAACTCTAAATCGGAATTTTGTATTTCTTATTTTTCGGTTTATTTTTTATTTGTTTTCTGATTTCCTTAAATTCACGGCAATTTTTATTTACAAAATAATTCCAGTTCCAGATTACTAAAATTTAAAACCTGGAATCATAAGATTTTTTAAAAATATGATTGAACCATTATTTTAAAACAAGTTAATATAGAATTGTTCTGTATATATAACATGTGGAGGCACTTGTGCTTCACTAGACCCATTATACATTCTAAATTGTCAGTCAGCCTACAGATTTGATATAGTCGTCTATAGTGTTACCCAAAACTCGCCGAAAACAAATCTTCTAATAAATGAGAGGCAATCATAGATGGTATGCTCGATAGTCTCATCTTCTTGTTCGCACTCCCTTAACAGCTCCATGCTATGGAGATGTTTCCATACTTGGCAATGACCAGTCAGAATGCTCGTGTTCAGGAGCAGATTCTATATAGTCATAATAAAATATTTGTTTGCTGTGATGTTGGCAGGGTAACTTAAAGTTCTTTAATTAGATTTGACACGACCGATGTTGTATTTTTAATTTGAACCACGACTTACATCTGTTTTTGAATCTTTGATTCTAAAGATATGACCTTCACAAAGGATTTTATATGTCCCATAAGTGTGTAAAGCGAAATAATAAATCTCTATAAAATACGAACGCACGCCACTGATATTGCATTGAACAGCAGACGAAATAATAATAATGTAAGACATTAAAAAGAAAGGAGTACACCTGTGCCGTGTATTGGGGGTTTAAATTAATTTTCTACGACATATGGCCCGTCCGTTACGCACCACAGCTTGGGAAAGAAGAAGAAGTAAAGGTTGCTATCGACAAAAAAAATATATAACGGCCGTTTTCCCGTAAATTCGTCTTAGCTAACCGGAAACGGGGATTCGCGTATTTTTTTATCGTACACAATAAATTTACAATAGCCGCGAGGGGTTACAAACGCAACGTTTTATAGTCCATTAGTCAGTTTTGCATTTTTTAGAGTTAATTTATTTTAAAAGGATGTCGTTTTCATTAATTTCAAATAAAACATGGATAGAATTATGTCGCTTGGAAAGATAAGAAACTTAATTTAGAAATTAATAATTTTGTTGGCTATTAAAAGGGAACCGATACAATTTTTAGGCTTATTTAATTTTTAGTATAAGCCTCAATTTTATCAATAAAATTAATAGGTTTAATTAGTGAAGAAAAAGCATTTAAAAAAAGAAGGAAAAAATTAACTGATTACAAAAGTGAACTACAGATTAGAAAATGTAATTGTTTGGAAAATATCAACATAGGTAATGAATACTTCTAAACCTCTTATAATCTAAGTCTCATTGTGAGAGCATGATAAGAGACCAACGTTTGGAATTTACCACCTCCGGTGACATCTCACTTGTGCGGTAAAACTAAACAAATATTTCAAAAATTAAGGCATTGGGTCGATGCGATATCAAAATAAGAAATTATATTTAAAGTAAATGTATCTGTACTGAACAATTTAAAAAAATTATTACTGTGTTCAAAAGCTGTCAAAATAAAATCCTAATATTTCCATTACCTTGGGCTATTGTTTGATCTAGTTAGCTTTAAAAATAATTTTGATTGGAAGTAATACAACTACAACTATTCTCAGTAAAACAATTCTAATGCTATTAAAAGCTGAGTCAACAAGCATTACCATTATAACATTCACGATAGGTACGTACATTTTTTGACACACTTAGACGTGACGAATTTTTGATAAAAAAGTAATTATTTGTATTTTGTATCATATACGTATATGGGATACCCTGTTAAGTTCAAGGCCCAATTAATTCATCCACTATTATACTCGTCAGACCGTGACTAAGTATGGTAAAAATCACGTTCCGTAATGTACATACTTTTAATGATGAATCCATCCATGAAGCGGACCCGCTAACCATGGGTTGAATAATTCATGTGCCAGTAGGGAAATATAATTATTATAATTTTGCTATTTTTGTAACTATTTAATAATTAAAAAATTGATATTGGATTAACTATCATTTAATGGTGAATGTGATGGTATTTATATGGTATAGAGTTTGTGCTTTTTTTTATTTAGAATCGTACTTATTCACAAAAAAAAGTTTCTAAAATTGGCCATGACTGACAAAGATAGAAATACGAATAACAATCGTGTTACATACAAAATATTTTAAAAAATAGGAAGAATTGTAAGCTTCGAAATCATGCCTACTTAAGAAATAATTTTTGTAGATCTCTTCTTCAAACGCTCAAAGGTTCGCCATCACTGGGCTAGGTTTTTGCATTTAAAACTCCACTCTACTGGCACACATACTACATTCTATTCTGGGCCATTCTAATTGCAAAGGATACGGAACGGTGATTTCGATGTCTTATTCTGTCTTTTTATTCGCCTCAAGCTCATATGTATAAACGACTTCATATGAATGAGGAAGTCCTGTTTAGAATCTTTAAATTAAACACAGACAGACCTGATTTTGTTTTATTTAGAATGTATCGAGGACAATACATTTAAATATGTAAGCCACTTATTTTCCGAAGAAGTATATGATTTATTTAAAATACCTTGAAATGCCTAATTATTAATTTGTTACTAACTCAATTCCATAGTTACTCTATGAATTCCCTTAGCAACATCGTGTTTCTATAGAAACCTTGTTAGTTTGCCTGGCAACCTCGTTAGTTTCCTTGGCAACCTCGTTAGTTTCCTTGGCAACCTCGTTAGTTTCCCTGACAACCTCGTGAGTTTCCTTAGCAACGTTTTCCTTGGCACCTTCGTGCACGAGTGTCTTTTAGATCTGGATAAACTTACTCTGACTCTTAATTAAAATAAAGCAAAAATTCACATACCTAGTTTGAAAAATATTTTGCTGAGAGGAATGGTTCGTTATTTTTTTTACATTTATTTAGTTTGTTGCGTGGAACATTTTTACAAACTCTGGGACGCTAGATACCCGCACATTTGTACGCGTATCAGATGGAAAGTGCATACCTGTAGCATCGCGAAGGGTTTTTTTATAGGCAGGTGCAGATTTTTAAGGGTTTATATCTGACGGTTCATTTGGATTTCTCGAAGAGGGCATTAATTAGGACAGGTGCCTTGCGTGTTTTCGTTTTATATATTTTATATTTTTAGCCTGAGGATCCCTAATCGACCGCATCGACCGTATGTGCAAGGTAAATTGGGATTTTTAGTCTTAGAGGTACTTCTACATGTTTTAGAGATGGTAGAGTAGGGTTTTGCATAAACTTTCAAATAAAAGTATATTATTCGACGAGTAGTAATGATCGCCATTGTTCCTAAGAATTGTATGCAAGTTTCGTGAGTTTTTCGCGATTTTTGTGCACTTATATTTATTTTTTTAACAAACAAACTATAACTTTTTGTGCAAATTGTGTGTGAAATTTAGTCAATTTTTTTTATGAAATTGTGTTATATTAAAAGAAATCACAACTCTGTTATTTATCATGTGATTTCAATTAAAAATTAATTTGCCTAATAGAAATATTTGATTTTATTTAAAATTGGTGTTAGCTATGTATACCGGTTTACAAGTTATATTAGTTTACTACTACACTATAAAGAGTAAGTAAATTCTGTTAAAAAATACTAGACAATGGGGTCTATTCTGTAACAATTCCTTTATAATTAACGGCCTTTAAAAATATTTTCTCCTTTACTTCTGTCATTATTTAAACGGATCTTTAAAATACATTAGAAGACTATCTTAAAGAAATCTGTTTAAATAATGATAGAAGTAAATTAACGAATAAGAAACTATTTTTAAAGGCCGCCAATATTTTTAAAGGCCGTTAAATATAAAGGAATTGTTACAGAATAGACCCCAATATCTTTAATAAACTTATTTTTGATTTAATTAATTCTAGATAAAAATATACCTCTAAGACTATTTATTACCCATTCCGTTTACAGGAAATGGAATTTCTATTGTTATTTTCTGTGGCTCAGATAGCGATAGATTTCAGAATGCCGAAGGAATTCATTTGGGGATGAAAAAAATTTGTTGAATGCGAGCTGGAATGATTATAATGTTAGGTTAGATGGATTATTTGATTATAAAAATATTTGAGAAACTATGACGAATTTTTATTAATGAATTACTTGGTAATTTGATTAAAATCTTGAATCCGATTACGATGGCCCACACAGGATTTTTTTTTTGTATTTTATGATGCTGTAAATTTTAAAATGCTCTAGGCCTAACCTCAATGTATTAGTTTAAATTTTATTAGTGATCTTCAATCATTTATCCTTTTAATATCAATGAGATATTTCATTATCTGTAGCAACGATGCCTATATGGATTTTCGTCCTTCTCTCCCGATTTATTTTATCAATGAATATATTGTAATGTGAGCCATTTCATTATTCAGTCATGCTCTAATCCTCCAAGTCCCTCTCTGTCTTATTTAGCCTTTGAGGCTCAACTTGTCCGATTTCGCTTTCGATTACTATTCAAGAAAGAACAGGATAATGTTACTAGTTTCGGCGAAGAACATTCTAGAACCTTCACCATAATTTAAATGTGTATATAAATATTGGTGGAGGAACATGGAGCAGTCAGTTGGATAAAACATTTGTGAAGATAAATAGTGACAAAGGCATTCGAAATATATATAAATTAGAATAGAATTATTTTAAAATAAATGTTTAAATAAATTATTACTAAATAAACTGTTGTTTAAAATTAACAAACATTACAATATGTGCAAGCCATTGTATGCCTATAATAAATAATCTACAAAATGCAAGCCCTGTTGCCACATCTTGATATCCAACTTAACTAGGTTTTGGAATTTTTTGAAAATTATTACATCTAATTTAGTGAAATTATATATAATTAAGTTAAATTTGATATAACTGATGATTCAAAATTTGTTGAGTTCAGTTGCAATAAAATAGGTTGAATTATTTTAAGTTTTTTATTATATGTAAATAATTTTGTAAACAAAACGAGAATAATGAAATAGGCATTGCAACAGCGGATATTATACCCTCCTGTCTTTTAAAATGTCTTATTCACGACAGCACGATATTTGTTTGTAATTATCTCTGGATTCTAATATATTCTTCGCCTATGCTCTGAGTTGATCTATTTGAATAGAAATGAATTCCTTGACGAAATTTTCATAAATTTAAATTATTTTACAAATTTTTAAACCTATTTGCGTCTATTTTACGTTACTATCGCGTCGATCTTCGAAAAACATAATTCATACACATATTCCCAATTAGAATTTCAAAGGTTGTGTAAATAGAAGGCCATTAGTATTTGTCTCATTTAAAATGTATATGCCTATCTACCGACATTTTCATTTATTAGGGTTAGTTGTAATGCCTTTTATCTTTAATACCGGAAATGGTATAGATAGGCTTATATGTCAACATCGTTTGTTTTTAAAAGGGTCACAAGCAATTTGATATGAGGCTCCAAATAGTCTTTATTTTTTAAAAAATGTACGTATATATACACAGTATAATATCACAAAAAATTAATGTTGATAGTTTGAGCATTATTTTTAATTAATTCACAGAAAAATATAACAAATGTATAATTTAGGGATTTTTAAACTGTTTGACATCTCTATTTCAATCATTTTTTACCTAGAATTGCAACTGCAAAAAGAATTGCAAACGTGCAATACGAACTGTAGACTTTATAGTGGATCTAACAACAAGACTTGCTATACTCGTATAAAGCGATTGCATGGCGGATGATGAAAAATAATTAGCCGGTTGTTTCTGCTGATTATCCTTCTATTTTCTAATACAACTTGGCCCAAAAAGGCATTGGTCTTCAGCCCGGGCCCCAGGAATTTGTCCTGGCTGCCCCCTCTCTCTTCGGCCCTGGTGGCTTTTTTGGTACATCTCGTATACGTATTTTATTAATTAGTTATCTACCTTGGTTTTTCAAACTTGCTAATATTACCACAGAACCCTCAATTTTAGACCCATAAACATCATTTAAAGCGAAAGTATCCAATTCAAAAATAATTACGCAACATCCAGCAAGCCGTTTCTCCAAAAACAAAACGACAATTATCTCATGGATCCCCTGATCACATCACAAACAAAAAATAAACGAGAAATAAAACAAGATCGCGAGAACGAAGACCGCTCATCAAAGCAGGCATGTTACACCTGCCTCGTGCTCTCGTCCTTCTTTTGTTTCTTTTTTAGTGCCCCCATGAGCAATCTTGGGCTACTGTCAAGCGATGTGGGGCGGCAGGTGAAACATTCTGCATCATATAATATAAATAAAATGATGATCATCTAACTCGACGTGCAGCATAAAAGGGGTGTCATCGGACGGGGTACCTAACAGGTGAAATTCCAGTTTCAGCGGTCCCGAATAGGTTGATCTTTGATTAATTATATTTTTAGATACATTATTTGGCATTTGTTATTTTTTCCGTGTTAATTTTAAATCTTACGTAAACTTGTTTGTGCAGGAAAAGTTTATTAAAATTTACACCTGTTTTATGTAAGTTGCCATTACAGTTTCTTCGTTGTTTGGAAACAAATATGTAATTTGGTTTTATGTATATTGACTATCACGATCCTTATTAACATAATACATATAATTGTTAATAATTGGCCATGTTAAGGTGTCAGATATGCAGTTTTAGAAATTATATTGCAATACCTAGTCATTATACGAGTTATTCCAAACACAGAACTAAGCTACTTGAATTAGTCAGTTTTGGTGAAAATAAATAGCTACATTCAAATGATATAATACCATTTTCATTCCCTCAATCTTTAAATATAAACTTATAGACTTTAATAAACGACTCTAAATCGCCATTTTGATTACACTCTTTCGTCACTTTGGTACCGCTAAGTGTGCCATATCGCAAAATATAATTTATGTCGTCTCTACTTCATTCTAACTCATTGTAAATTTTAAAACCTTAACTCTAGAAAATAACTACCCAGACAACACACCAAATCCCAGAGATATCCGCAGAATATCTTTTGTGGATATCCAATATATCCACAGGATATCAGAAATATTCCGTGGATCTAATATGGATATCCAAATGTCCGTCTATATCTAGGATATAGAAGATATCCTAATGGATATTCAGCAAAATATCTAATGGGTATCTTCCAGAAAATACAAGAAATCACAGAGATATCCACAGAATATATTTTGTGGATATTCAATATATCCAATATGGATATCCAACCAAATGTCCGTCTATATCCCAGGATATAGAAGATATTCGGATATTCAGCAAAATATTTTATGGGTATCTTTAGTAGAGGTTCATAAGTAACCAATGATTATTGAATAACGTCGAAAGAAAATAGCAGAGAAAAAATATTTTCAACACTCAAAATATTTTCAACACTCAAAATATTTTCAACACTCTGTCTTTGATTTTGCCCACTAAGGAGAAAGTCATAAAGTCATCCTTATTAGGACTCTTCAGCAATAAATGAAAATTCTCGACTCAAGTCTCTAATGGAGTGAATAGGACACACATTACACATTTCGATCGAACTCAAATACGGCGGGTCGAGCATGAGTAGATGCGATAGTGGTATCGCCATCTATACTTAGTAAGCAGAATCAAATAACATCTAGTGGGTATCCACGATGGTTTGCGTTCGCGCCTAGACTTTGATATATTTAGTGGATGTTCATGGGATATTGAATACACCTTAAAAAAATTAATTTTAAATATCTGAACGGTACTATTAGCCACAATGGCTAGCACAATGGCGTAATTTTTTAATAATTTGCTATTTAATTACTATTATTTATGGACATTTGCATGTCTATAAATTACATTTCATGGATATAAAATAGATATCTACCATGGACTGGACATTCAGTGGATATTGGGATGTTCAGTAGATATCCAAAGGATTTGGTGTGCTGTCTGGGTAATTACAAAAAAGTTTGCAATTTATCTCTTATTTTGAACTGTATATGGCCCAAAATTTTGAACATGCCCCCCCCCATGCGAAAGATTATAATAAACTGTATTTTTTACTAATTTGATTTTGTTGTTGTTCCAGGTATCCTTTCAACGACTCAGAACACGCCTCGTTATTTGCCAAAATATCCCGTGGCCATTTCGTCATTCCCGAATGTCTATCAGCCAGAGCGCGATGTCTGATCCGATCGCTGCTCAGACGAGAACCGTCAGAACGGATCACATCCGACGACATCCTTTACCATCCTTGGCTGGCGAAAGAGGACAGAGATTGGTCTTCGAAAGCCTGTGATCAACTCGTGCCCGAATCTTCCCTCTATGACGATTAGTTCCTTTTTTTTTTCTGTGAAAAAAAAATCGTGCAAAGTGCAAATCTTGTGCTGTGTTTTAGAATAAGTGAGAAAATCCTGTTGGTAGGTTCAAAACGGCTTGTAATTTTTCTGTAACGAATGATCGATATGACGTGGAAAATGCATAAGTACTACATGCTCCAAGTAGAAAACCTTTACAGAGTATTGCTATTGGCATGTCAATATTGAAAAATTTAATTCCTTTGCCTATTTATTACTAGTATTTGATATAAACATTTTGATATATTATGAACATGGAGTAATATTTTGACATAAATTAACTTTTTGAAAAATTTAACCAGTGGCGTGCTATTAAGGTTAGTAGGAAGTTTTTCCCACAATTTTTTACGCTATTGAAACATTCTTTTTATTATTTTTATCTCGGAAATGAAGATCTTTAATGGTTCACGATCCTATATAAAAATTAATCAATTAACGAGAGCTCTCTGAGGTAGAGTTTTGTCGGTCGAATATACTAACGCCTTGTTTGAAATTTAGTCACAAAATAGGCATCTTTCAATATTAACACATGACATTTAGTAACGCACTGTAAATTTCTGGAAAAACTGTTATTATTTAACAAGAAAAAATATTATTTTTCCCTCAATGATTACAGTGGAAAACAAACATTTGCTAAAAAAAATACCAAAGAAAAATATTTTTAAAATTCACATTATTTATAAAATTTGTATTGTTTCTCAATGTTAGTAACAGTTGACCTGAAATGTTTCAACCACTATAATCACTGACTTCTTTTTTAATTTTTTGCTGTTGTTTTGAACCTGCAACTGTTTTTAGAAGCCATTCACTAGCTTTAAGTCTTGATGAATTGTGGTATTGTTTTATTTTTTTTGTTACTTGTTTTCCAAAAAAGATTTTCCGGTACACTCGTTTTTTCTATTTATTTTGTTATGTAATATAAGTTGATGGCCGAAAATCTTCTTTGGTCGCACATTTATTTAAAGCATCCTGATATTATTTGTTTCTGTTTAGATTGTTCAAAACTTTGATCTTTTTTGCAATTAAACTATATAGGTCAGTTAGAAGAACTGAATTTGTAATTTTTTTGATTTTTGTATAAGCATCACGCTGGGGATTTTAAATTGATTAAAGACTGAATAGGGATTTATTTTATTTTACCAAAAATGAACATCGTTCCAAAAATGTAAATTATTGACAGGTACAAAAATATTTTGTTAAATATGTCAGAAAAAATAACTGCATGACATCTTATTCTTAAATTTGATATACAGAGTTGAATTAGAACTTTAGTATTTGGTTGTGATATTTTTATGACGTCATCACGACTCAAAATAAGACGTTATTACCAGTTTTTTGAACACCCTTTTTTTGATAGCACCATTTTTTTAAATAATAATATTTTCGAGTTAATTTTTTTTAGTATTTATAATGTAATGTATTTTTTCTCGAAAATGTTATGAATATACAACGAAATTTTGAAAAATGGTGATTACGTTATAACTTGAATATTGATGAAGTCATAAAGTAGATCAAAATATAATGTATCTAAAAAAAAATAAAATTGACATACCTGAGCATTTTTGCCTAACCCTGTATATGAAGTTGCTAATTGTTTTTATTCGTTTTTTTTTTTTTTTTCAAAATATATTTGTTACTTATTTAATAACTTACCTATCCTGTGTAAAATGTCGATAAAAAAATAATTTTCTTTTCAAATAAAAAATAATTTTCCTTTCAAATGCAAGAATTCTTTGTTTTGTTTCTCAAATTTTTTTATGACCAAAATTATTTTTTAATCACTAGAGTATTTCAATTTGTGAAGAGCGAAATGAAATAAAACTAAATAATAATAATAATAATAATTAATAATAATAATAGAAACAACCTTCGTGATGCATATTAGTATTGTGATCTCGGTCAAAAAAACGTTTTGACCACACTATGTATATTTTTTGAACTGATCCTGTACATAAAATTCGTTGTATATTTCGTTTTTAACTTATATATAATGTTAGTTGGTATATTATAAATCGTTGTAAAAATCATTGTACATAGCTTCGTATATGTGAGGAAAAATCATCGGTGGTATATTATTATGCAAATGTTCATAATTAAAAAAAACATTTTTTACTAATTCCGATTTTAATTTGTAATCCATCTTTCCCTTCCTTTTCCCTTGTATCAAAAAAATCGTCCTATCCAGGCCGAAGAACGAAATTACATTAAATTTTGCGAATAAGCCTAAATACCGAAAAATCGAACAAAATCATCTGAAATGAAATACAATTCAATACACGCAATTCTGCTTAAATACTAGGAAACGCGTTTTTATTAGTTTTGATATATAAAATGGTCTACTTTATGTAACCAGTTACATAAAGTTGAACATTATGTAATTGTTTACGAAAAATTCATTATGTCACCAATTGAAAAAAGAAAACAAAAATGATAGTTTTTAATTTAAAAATTAATTTATAAGTACATTGTTACTGAAGGTTTATATGAATGAAGGCTAAATATTGTTTTATAAACACATTTTTGTAAGATCGATTTTGATTAATGAGGCGAGGCAATATGGCTACTCGTAAACGACCCGCTTTGAGCAATCTATATTACTATATATGTATCAATGACACTAGGCTCACAGGGTTGCCATATATAAATGTCAGTTTCCATTTGTCAGCAGTTTGGCAGGTTGTAGGAATGCCTAATTCCCAAAGAAGTAGAGAGGGTAGAACGATAAGGTACCGTCTGCGCATCCATCACGAGTGTAGAAATTATGCGTGATTCAGCCTTCCACTCTTACACACGTAAATGACAAGGAGAGGTTGCCCTAAAGCACTGTAAACAAATTCCAGGATCGACTTTATTCAGCGATTATGTTCATGTTCAGCTCTGTTTTTTGTTTGTGTTTTGGCTGTTGTAAACTTTTTTGCCGTCAATTCTTTGTTATCTTGCTTATATTTATGATCTTTTATGCTTTTATTCCGATTTAGTATTAAATTATACTTGTTAATTATTTTTCGATGCACTATTTTATAATTGTTGCACAAAATGTTGTTAAACCGTCCCTGAATTTTGTTTACAAAATGTGCAAAACAAAATTGTGCATAGTGTCCAGACTTTTTCATTGACAGTTATCATTCTACCCCTCTCCACTTCATTGCTAATTCCCTAATTCCTGCCGATTACTGCAAACAATTTTGTTTGGTTACTGGAGCGTGGTAAAGACGAAGTAGCACTGAAAAAACAACCCAAAACTACAGGTTTCTGTTAATTTAACATTACAGTTAACTTTTTTCGATAAAACCACGAGTTAAATATTTACAGGTTTCTTTAATAAATTTTACAAATTATTCCTTGTCATGTCTGACATGACTCATGTCACTTGTCAATTGTAAAATAAATCGATCAGCTGTCAGCCAGTCAAATATTTGATAAAAAAAATAATAAAAATAGGATTTTAAAATTATGGCTGCAGCTTTAGGCCGAATTACAAACTTAACACGAACCCAAGTTGGTAGGTACTAAACTTCCATAACCATTTTTACATACCATTAACATAACCTTACTTTCAATTTTGATTATTATATAATTCAACATATTTCGATTTTTAGGGCAATTTATACCAGTTTTGTGCAATAATCAAATAGCTTGCTACTCGGCGCCACCACCAGGTACCCCTCCACCACAAACTAAAACGACATTCGGTCCCCTTGCTGATGCAGATAGGGTTTTCACTAATCTCTATGGTAGACATGATTGGCGCCTTAAAGGAGCCCTTAAGAGGGGCGACTGGTATAAAACTAAAGAAATTTTGATTAAAGGAGCCGATTGGATCATAAGTATGTTAAGTATATCATTACCATATCAATTAATTATTAGATTTGCACTATTTTTGTAGATGAAGTAAAAGTATCAGGTCTGAGAGGCAGAGGGGGAGCAGGTTTCCCTTCAGGTATGAAATGGTCATTCATGAACAAACCTGGAGATGGTAGACCTAAATATTTAGTGGTTAATGCTGATGAGGGTGAACCAGGAACATGCAAAGACAGAGAAATTATGAGACATGATCCACACAAGCTTGTTGAAGGTTGTCTCATCGCTGGCAAGGCTATGGGTGCCAAAGCTGCTTATATCTACATCAGAGGAGAGTTTTATAATGAAGCTTCAAATATGCAAGTTGCCATTGCAGAGGTAATTTTGATTCACAACCTAATATAATGAGATTTTCATTGGTTTTTATTTGCAGGCATACCAAGCGGGTTTTCTTGGCAAAAACGCTTGTGGTTCAGGATACGATTTTGATGTGTTTATGCATAGAGGTGCAGGGGCTTATATATGTGGAGAAGAAACGGCCTTAATAGAATCTATTGAAGGTAAACAAGGAAAACCCAGGTTGAAGCCCCCATTTCCTGCTGATGTAGGTGTGTTTGGATGCCCAACAACAGTTACTAATGTTGAAACAGTGGCTGTGGCACCTGTAAGTAACATTTGGTTGGAATATTAAATTAAAATATGTTCAATTTTATTTCTGTGTTCTGTAAGATTGTGATTATTAAATAATGAATGGTCTGGTGGTATAAGAAGGCATTTACAAAATCAATGACCACAATAGTATAGAAATGCTTACAAAATCAATCATGTTAAAAAAAAAGAAAGAAAATAAAGAAACACAAAACAATTATTCTTTTATATTATCACAACTAGAAGAAGCATTTGGCAAATTAAATATTTTATTAAAGCACTACCACCATTTTTAATATCAATCACTGGATTAGGGCACAACCATTTTTAGGCTGTTGATGAGTTATAGTTGTGTCCAGAAAGAAAAATCAAAATACAACTGTGTTCACAGCAAGTTAGATGAGTTGTTTTAATAGAACTGTTCAATTTTCCACTAGTTCTGTTGCTTGCAGAACACTGGCTGGAAATAAACATCTCTGGTTGCAGGAGTGTTATTTCATTAGTACATCTTTTGCAAATAGATGTAGATATGAAAGTTAATGACTGTCATGATAAGTTTTAATTTTTAATATTCACAGCTTGTATTATGAAAGACTTAGTATATCTCTGATACATATTCATTACTTAAGATATAAACTTCACCTATAAACATTTTTTTTTGGTATGAATATAGGCAATTTGTCGCCGCGGTGGTACATGGTTCGCATCTTTTGGTAGAACTCGTAATTCCGGTACCAAACTTTTCAATATTTCCGGTCACGTGAACAGGCCTTGCACAGTTGAAGAGGAAATGAGTATACCATTGAAAGAACTGATAGAAAGGCATGCTGGAGGTGTACAGGGAGGATGGGACAACCTCCTAGCAATCATTCCAGGTGGATCATCTACACCCCTTATCCCAAAAAAGTAAGAGGGTAAAAACGATGGCCATAGAAACAACTAAACTTGCCATTATTTATTTTTTAGGGCTTGTGAAGAAGCTTTAATGGACTTTGATGGTTTGGTTGCAGTTCAAACATCTCTGGGAACGGCCGCTGTTATTGTAATGAATAAACAAACTGATATAGTTAAGGCTATTGCTAGGTTAATCATGTTCTACAAGCATGAATCTTGTGGCCAATGCACACCTTGCAGAGAAGGTACTATATATTTTATAAATTACTCATTTTTAAATTGTAATAGATTTGATTTTGAAGTGATCCAATCATTTTTTTTTTTGTAGGTGTCAGTTGGATGAACAAAATCATGTATCGTTTCGTCGAGGGCAAGGGAAAACCAGAGGAAATTGATATGTTGTGGGAAATTAGTAAGCAAATTGAAGGACATTCGATTTGCGCCCTCGGCGATGGTGCAGCATGGCCAGTACAAGGTCTGATTAGACATTTTAGGCCCGAATTAGAGGAAAGGATGAAGAAATATGCACAGTGTGCTGGAAAGGCGTGAATACAATAAATATGATTTATTTAGCCTAAGGATCACCATTTTTGTATTAAATTACTATTATATCTTGGTTTTTATTTGAAAGTTGCTAGACAATTTATTGAAATAATTTATTTATTAAGATATTATTGAAACTGGTTTGTAAATATGTCCACTAAATAAAATTAAAAAACTAGGATAATGCTGAGTTTTCTTAAAAAAATTGTCTTTCATTGACCAGTGGTGTAGTATTTAATTTTATGTCTAGCAATTGTGATAAATGTTCAAAAAATATCAATGACAATGAGACCTTTGTAATATGTGACTGCTGTAGAACTGTATTTCACAATACAAAGGATTGCTGTGTTATGACTTCAACTGAAGTTTGAGCAGTTCAATTGCAAAAATAAAGAATAGACATTTAGTTTCCTAATGTATGCAGAGAGATTTTAAGTATGATCCATTATTATTATTATAAAAAAAATCTCTTGAAAATGAAATGCAAAATTTACAGACTGAAATGCAAGATGCTAAAATTATAGATTTGATAGAAAATAAAGCAATAGAAAAATCGTTTGAAAGACAAGTTAAAAGTTATACAAAGTAAATTATCTACTCAAACTGCATATAATGGTTCAGTGGATATTAAAGAGTTAAACTGCCTTTCAAGGCAATATCAAAATATTTATATAAAAAATAAAAAAAAAAAGAATTTATAAAACAACATATTTATTTGATCAACACAAAAAGCAAATTTATTTTTCACAATTCTAAAAACTAACTTAAATGTTCACAAGTTCAATGAAAAATGTAATAGAATAAAAAATTTTTGATTGTATTATTTAATTCACACATTTCATTGATCATGAGTTTAAAACTATTTACAAGTCTTCATTTTCCAATAGTAAATCCACTAAAATACACCTGGTAAAGCCGGTTTTGCATTAGGGTCTTTTCTAAAAAGAAGAAAACATTAACAATTTATGTGCACCTCATTTCTGCACCCCTATTTCTGAATAAGAGAAAACACTCATGCATTAAGAAATCCATCCTGTTCCAGCTAGTCTCAAAAAGTACTTACATTGTAATCCAGAAAAGAGCAAGCATTGTAAAAAATAATTATTACAAAGTTTAGAAAGAACTATAAAAGTAAACACCTACGTTGCAACATCTTCATTTCCCCCATCAAACTCCAATTTCACCTCCTCATGAAGCCCTTCTACATCTACTTCTGACTCAGCAGCATTCAACATGTTTAAGGTAACTTCACTTTTGATCATTGGTCCCTGCAAGCTTTGCTGTAATGTTGATACAGGTGGTGCAGACTGATTCACAGGCCTTACAGGCAAACCTGCATCCTCAAAGGCTTTCTTCTTCAGAGCAGTCCTAATTTGTGATCTAATATTAATAAGAAAAGATTGTGTTAGGATGGCTGTACTTCTGAAGAAATTGTGATAGCAAACTTACACTGTACGTCTTTTTATGTGATCGCTTATTTGGTTTAATCCATCGGAGAATTGTTTGACTACTTGTCTTAACATCTCAATTTCTTCATCGGTCCATTTTCTATTAAGGTCAAATTTGCCAACTTTTATAAGTTTTGACAATGTTATATTTAATTTTATATTCAAACTTACCCAGTTGGAGATTCGGCATTTGGATGTAGTTGCATAGTTAAATCTCCCAGCCTATTAAAAGCTTGGCCTGCAGCTGTGAAGATTTCACCAACCTTAAAATATAAAATGTACTCATAACTGAATTAAAAAATTAATTAGTCATTTTTACCTTACTGGCAGAACTCATGTTTTTATGTTTTGCTTTTAAATTAAATTACAAAACATAACCTTTTAACATAACTGTTTAGACATAAAGTTAGCTACAAGTGTCAGCTGTCGATTTTGGTTCGGGGCCACGACAAATTAGCATGTGCACACAGTTTTAAAAAGTTCTTTCAAAAATATTTAAAAAAATCCACAATTCTGAAAAAAAAACCCGTTTAAAGTAACAAATATAGGCAATAGCGATCGCTAAAACAGAGCCTTTATTCATTCGTTTATAATTCGTATCTTCGATCATATAAGCAGTAGATACATAACGCTTACCCGGCACTACAGTAAATGTTTTGTTCCATCATCTCCGCTAATGTTTATAATTCACCCTAGACATAGGCGGGTAAAATAAAAATAAAATAAGGTCAGAAAAATGATTCTTGAATAAAATACGAAGTCATTAAATTTGAATATAAAAATACCGTTCACAATTTGAATGGGAATTTGACTATATCAAACAGAATATTTTTAAACTTGTGTCTAGCAAACATATGACTGTGTCGTCGGAATAATAATCGTCTACGGTCAGGCTCCATATATTAGTGGAGATAGATCTTCACTTTATGAAAATCAGTCTTTGGTCGTGCAGATACATGTGGTGCTATCTCTTCATCTATGTGTAGGAAGGTATGCATAAATGTTTTTTTGTTTATCATTATATCCTCGATTTCATCTGTACCAGGACAGTTTTTGTCAATTTGCCTGTCTACTCGAAGCGCTTGCTAGCTGTGGTGGAGTGACACCCTTTCCAGGATTTATTTTTTGATATAAATGATCAACTGTTTTTAATACAAATGATGAAAAGCTGCGATTGATCGGAAGAGTTTAGGATGTGTGGTATCCTTTTCCATACTTTTGGAATAGAGGTGACTATGGCCCATCTTTATGGTTTTGGTATATATCTAAGTTCCAGACTGCTTTAGGATGTCCGGATTATATGTGGTAGTAATAATTCCTTCTGTACCCGCTGAATCAGAACAGGGAATATTCTATACACATCTGGAGACACTAAAGACCGATTCCACCGTTGTGTTAAACGAAGTTTAAATTGACATTTTTACATTAACAATGTCATTTTAATCTCCGTTTAACACAACGGTGGAATCGGCCCTTAGAGATTTTAAACGGTTCAAAAGTGTTCACGAGCCACTTGAACAACCGATTGATGAGACTGAGGCATAATATATATGTTCGGCTATTACTGCATTCTTTGGAGGGTCGGTTTATACCTTTCTCCCTTGTTAGAATAGGTGTAAAAAACAAAAAAAGACTGGTCGTACTATTACTATGTGCTTATCTGTGGGTAGATTCGCACCTCAGATAAACAGAGATAGATAAACTCTCATTTTTTTTATCTGGGAATCGAACTATTGAATTAAATTTTTTTTTAAAAAAAGAACAAAGACATTCTGATTTTGACAAACGTCATGATTAGATATACATACAATTTCATATAACGTTTATTACTTTGTTAATATAATTTTTGATAAAATATTCCTTATTTTTATGTATTTTTTTTTATTTAATTAGGAACTGTATGCAATTTCAGATTGCATTCAAAAATGTCCTTATCATTTTAATTATTTGTTGAAATAATTAAATGAGTCATATCTTATCACTATTTTGCTCGTTGATCTACACGAGACAGATACACGAATATTTTATTTAACAACAGTAACAAAACATTTGTAGTTCAAATGATCTCTTCTGTCTTCTATGGTGTGTGACATTCATTGTTCACTGGTGTGACATAACGATCAGATGAACTAAAGTTAGGTTAGGATTCATTGACAGACAAGAAAATAGAGGCTAATTTTATTATTTTAATTATTTTTTATTAAATATACGGGTGACTTTAAATGGCACACAATAGATTTAAATTATTGGAATAAACTTAGTGAGTGTTACACAAGACATACGAAAAAAATCAGTATTAAAATGGAGGGTGGACCGAGCATTCAAAATCGAGAAAATGAAAATAGTGACAATCAACCAGAAAGGCCTACAGGATGCCTAAATTTTTTTTGCCATCCTCTGGGCTCCGGTCACCGATTTATAGCTTTAATTTTTATGTGTTTCCTTAGCTTTGGTAAGTACATTTTTTTGTAATCGATACAATACACCTATAACTTCCCACAAAAATATTTAATTTAATTTAGATAAATTAAATAAACAGGCATAAATATTTTATCATTTCTTTGAAATTAAATAATGTTGATGATTTATCCATTACAAATTCTTTGTTTAAGATAAACCTATTGACCTTTAAAACCAGAACATAATTGTTTTGCTAAATTAGGTCATAATTTTTGTTTTGATTCAATTATGTATTTCTATTGTATTGTGACTTTGTTATATTCTAATCTATTGAAAATTGTTTACATTATAAATGATAGATACTTGTTATAGTTAAACAGGTTGTCAATGTTTTATTCAAACTTCTTGGACTTGAAGAAATTTACTTTCATGGAAATAAATAAACAATAGTCTAGATAATTTGATGCTTATTGACATTGATTCTCTTTGCATAAATATTTTAAAAATGTTGATGATTGTCACTAAATGAAGATAAATTACATTAATTTGTTATTTATTTGTTTTTCAATATCCTTGACATACACACATATATTTTGGTGGTTTAGATAAGATATCAGACTGTAACAGAAAACTTTGTTACTGTTGACTATTATCTGCTGAGTTCTTAAAACATTAAAGGACAGACCCCTCATTTGCCATCAGAGGCATGACCTCAAAAAGATGTTTTGATAACTTTGTTAGCTTTTAAGGAAAAAAAAACATATGCTATTTTCCCTTACTAATTCAAAATAATTGAATTATGAGCATTTAAAATAAAAATTAGTTGCCCAGATAGGGAGGACAGAAGTAGAATAATGAGATGCCATTAGTGAAAGTCATACATTATTTTCAAAATAGTTATTTTATCTTAATATCTAAATTAATTTTTAAATTTTGTTAATTTTCGTTGGTGGGCATTAGAAAAAATGTACTGTACAACTAGAGTAGTGGTTCCAGTCTTGTTGCACAAACTACTATTGAGTTTAACTATACCTGATGCCTCTCCTCCAAGGCATAATTAAATATAATAAAATCAATTTTTTTAAATTTTTATGATGTCTAATTGTGAACAAAAAATGCATAAAGTAAAATCAAAAAATAAATATTAAGGTGGAGAGTGGGAACTATTTTTTCTACCTTTTCTGTGTAACCAGCAACTTACTTTAGGTGACTACTTTCAAAACATATTAACAAAATTAAAATATAAAATTTTCAGGTTCCTATTTTTGTTATGATAATCCAGCGGCTTTACAAGATTACATGAAAAGGGATCTAAATATGACTGAACTGCAGTATACATCATTGTATTCTGTGTATTCTTGGCCAAATGTGGTATTAAATATTGTAGGAGGCTTTTTAATAGATAGGTAAGTACAAGAAAAATAGAAAAACATATTGTGTAAAAATAATTATTTCAACAACTGTTAACTAATACATTCTTTATTACGTGATTAATAAGTAATTGTTTTAAGCTGTTGAGTAATGATTTATTAACAGTTTTTGGCCAAAAAAATAAAAATGCTTGGAAGTGAAATTTCCTTTCTTAAACTTATTATAGATTTTTTTTTTGGTAATTTTTTGAGAAAAGGGTTTTATAATTGAAAATCAAAAATTGTTTTCTTTTTAAGAGAATATAAAATAATTAAAAAGTAGGCATCTATAGACGACTTGTGTACTTCTGAAAAAGTTGGATTGATTTATTATTTTAATAGATTTCAAAGTTAATTTGGTTGTAAAATCTTGGTTTTTATAGTTACACCATGTGTAAAACCAACATACGTCATTGAGAAACAGTGAATAATCTGAATTGGTAATTATATAAAAGTAAGTAGGTACTTGAATCACGGGATTTATTAAGTAATAAATGATAAATATACATAAAATGAATGACGACAACTTGTAGATAAATCATATTTATGTAAATAAGTATGATACTTTGCTAAGAGTTCGTTTTTATGTAATTTGCGATTGTGGCGATTTAAAACATTCCACTTGTCAAGAACATAAATCCGATATTCTTATATTTTAAATTTATTTGAAGTTCTGTATAAGGCACCTTTTATTGTAATTAAGAAATAAAAAAAGTATTATTACGGTTTCTTAATTTTTTTCAGTTTTGTTTTTTATTTTTCAGCATTTAGTTAGAACAACAATAATTTACTAAACTTATTGATTGCTTTAATATGACTTCAAATTGCTTTAAAATTAATAAATTTAGTCAGGCCAAATGTCTAATATCTACAAAAAAAAATAGAGAAAATAAATTTCTGTTTATATGGATGAATTGATTGCATTTTTCCTGGTCTTGAATTTAATATATCACAATTGACATTATGGGGTGCTGAAGGGGGTCACTCTCAGAAATCTGTAAATAACATTTTTAAACTTACCTTTTGATATAAAATTTGATGTGTTGAAGTTATTTGGACTATTCAGTTTTGAAATGAAAACCTGGTATATAGTAGTAGACATTCATTACTGCTTCTTGAATAAAATATACTACTATTATTTGATATTGAACTTTAATTTTTAGGGTTTTTGGTATACGATTAGGTTCTAATATATACGTTGGACTAGCGTTGATTGGACAATTAATTTTTGCTACTTCCGTTTTTTTTAACCAATACTGGCTAATGTTGATTGGTCGATTCGTTTTTGGGTAAGGATATTTAAATAAAACAACAATCATACACATCCTTAACCATTTTCCTTCATTCCTTTCTCAAAATAAAAACTATTTGCCATTCAGATTCAATTCATTGTGGTTATGAAAGTCAAAATTCCTCACTGACAAAGTTATTTTACGTTACGTTAATTATAAGCAATGGAAACATTTCAGGAATGTGTAACAGATGTACATAATTGTTGCTTAACACTATTTCATATTATACTTAAGATCATTTGTACAGGTAATAGGCTAGTAAAATATATAAGAGGACGTAGTTATGCAGAAATGATCCAATCCACCCAAACCATATTTTGAGAAAAATGATGTTAAAGTTAAAGTCTCTATGCGATAACAATAGAATATATAGCGAGTTTTTATAATTTTTACTATTAATATCCTTCTAAATTGTTGGATCGTTTCAGCAGAATATAATTTTGGATTGTAACATATTGAAATGCTACTCAAATCATTTCTGGTAGATTTGTGGATTGGATCATTTCTGCATAACTACGTCCAAGATATTTTTCGCCCCCTCCCCTATACCCAACTACAAATAACAAGCAAAAAACACGACGTGCCACTTTTTGCTGTCAGATGAAAGACAATGAATAATTTGTTCTCTAAGAAATTCAAAATATATTTTTTATATATTAATGGACATTTATTTATTTATTGGAAATGCAAGGAAAAAACCGAAGAAAAATTAAAATAAAGAATCAGTTACTGGTGGAAATCTTTGATATACAATACCAATATCTCAATCACTCCCATGATCTAGCTATTTTGCATTAATCACTATTTTAAATCCTATTTACCCTCATAAATCAATCCTATACAATTATTTCATATTTATTTTATATATAATTTTGAAATAGAAATTAAATAGTTCGAATTTTTAAGTATCGGCGCAGAATCACTGACTGTCGCACAGAACAACTATGCAGTGCTATGGTTCAAGGGAAAAGAACTCAACATGGTGTTTGGCCTGCAACTCAGCTTCGCTAGGGTTGGCAGCACTGTTAATTTCTTAGTGATGGAAAGTCTATACAAGGCTGTGCACAATCAAATACCCGATGGAAAGGGGCAATATATTTTAGGAACCGTCCTCTTTATAGGTAAGAGTAAAATTGTAATCTAGTTAGACCTTTTTTTTGATTCGTTGGTGTGTACTCCAGTATATTTTCTCTTTTTTAGCCGCTACAACATGCCTTATTTCATGGGTATGTTCAATCGTAATGGGCGTTTTCGACAAAAGAGCCGAAACTCAATTAGGACGAAATAATAATCCTCATGGAGAAACTGTCAAACTGACAGATGTCAAAGATTTTAAGCTAACTTTCTGGCTAGTGTGCATCATTTGTGTAGCTTTCTACTGCGCAATCTTTCCTTTCATTACAATAGCAAAGTAAGTAATTTAATATTTATTAAAGTCGGCTGAATAACATTTTTATTTTGTAGGATTGGTAATTTTAGTAAATATTTATGTTTCTTTTCGTATTTATAGGGACTTCTTCCAAGATAAGTTCCATTTGAGTCCCGATGACGCAAATTATCTAAGTAGTATTGTGTATGTTATTTCTGGAGTGGCATCTCCAGTTTTGGGATTGCTCATCGATAAATTAGGAATGAACATTTATTGGATTATATTAGGAACATCTGGAACGATTCTGGCGCACGTTTTGTTAGGTTTCACGACTCTTAACGCCTATATCGCTATTGTAAGTTCAGAATATAGTATACAGTAAAACCATGTGTTGACAAATGAAGGAAATAATTAATTAGTAACTCTCAAAATCATTCAAAATTTAATCAAGATCATCCATATTACTCAATATGAATAATAAAATACTAAATTTGTATATATATTTTTTTAAACTATAATACAAGAATAGGATTATGAAAAATCAATAAACACTCTAATTTGCTTATTTTTTGTTTCCTTTATTAACTGACAGGTGGTTGAGGGATCTGATTGATCGATATTTATTCATAGGTTATAATGGGAATGGCATATTCGATCTTAGCAAGCAGTTTGTGGCCTTTGGTTTCACTTATTATTCCGGAATACCAACTAGGAACAGCATATGGAGTGTAAGTAAAAATACTTTATTTAGGGGGGTATGAGGATGGTCTTAATAATATATTTAATAATTTTATTTTAGTGCTGGAGCAATTCAGAACTTAGGACTAGCTTTGTTTTCTATATTTACTGGCTTGATAGTTGGAAATTTTGGTTATACTGCTATAGAAATTTTTTTCATCTCTAGTTTAGTAGGTGAGTTACTTTATATTAGATTATTTTTAAAATTGTTTGAGAATTTATGAAAAAATCATAATTATAATACTTTATCTGTATACAGACAGGAAAGTAATAGTTTGAACCATTTTCAGCTGCCTTATTAGCAACCTTCTGTTTATGGATCATTGATAGAAGAGGCGATAAATCACTTAACATGTCAGCTGTTGGAAGAAGAAGACTTCAGCAACTGTAAGTAAAATGTTCTGTAATTTAACTCATTTGTTAGGTAAACAGATCAACATTTGGTTTCTGTGACTGTCGTCACCTATGACGCCTTTTTACTTTTCTCTATTGGTATGGATTTTATATATTTCTTAGCGAGATATAGAGAAGAGTAGGTTAACAGTTAGCAAACTACAAGTAGTGGACATATTTCCCGATCTAGTTAATGTCAATAAAGGAGCTGTTGCAAGCACATTCAATCTTTGGAACTGTTTTGCTCTAATATAAGCTTTACACAAAAAGAAAAAATAGTGGAAGGAGAAAATATCGCTTAAAGATCAAAAAAATAAGGTGTGCATTTTAGAAATGTGATAATGTAAATATCTCCCTACTAAAGCAACAATTGATTTTTTTTTTAAATAACATTTTGATGGCCACTTTTCATTTATATAATTTTCAACAATAACCGTTATCCTACAAGTATTTGACAATTATAGCGTATATTTCTACTGTTTTCAAACAAAAATCAATTTTTTCAGAATGTTTTTTATTTAAAAGAAGAAAAACGCACGGTTGTGAAGAGAAACACCGAAAAATAGAAAAGTAAACTTTGAGAAGAGAAAGAAATTTGTCAAATTTTTCGAAAGCACTTCCATAATTTCGGTAGGAGTAAAATTATCCACATATTTATACTGTGGCTCAAATAAAAATCAACAACTTTCTTCCTTTTTAGAGTAATCGGAAAACTCTCATAGTCCATTTTAGGTCCATTTGACATTGACTGAGGGGCATACATAAAATTAATCGTTTTATGTAACTAACCTAACATTTTAGTCCTTCTTGTAATAAAGCATCTAATTTTTCTCCCCTGTTTTTAATTTGCACAATGCACTTAACGTTTTTGTCAATGGCCAAAAAAGTTTGTGTGTCCCTCAGCCAATATGGTTGATTCATTGTGATATCTATAATGAAACGAATGATTTATTTCGATTCATATTTTTGCAGGACGGTTGCAGAGAGCGTTGAGAGACTAGTGATCGATCCAGAGGCGATGGGATCATCTTCAGAACACTCAGAACCGAATTCTGATTTCCACATACGCAATAGGTATTTATCCAGAATCGGGGCCCCTGTAAGTTTTAAAATAGGGGAAATTGATATATTCGCTTAAAACTGGCATTTTGCTTAAACATTAAAAATTATTTTTTTACACGTTATTATCAGGACCTGCTTATATTGCTAGTATTTTATTAGTTTTCTATCTGTTGTCGAATGTCAGTTTTGTGCTAATTAAACGTATCCTACTATATTTCTTGTTCTCTTAGACTACAGTGCAATGCAATTGATGACGTCTCGTGTGTAGATAATTTTAGTTTCCAATGCACGTGGGGTAAATTAAAACATTTCAGTTTGAAAGTGTATCAGTTAAAATAAAAGAAAATATAATAGGATACCTAGTCTTTGAAGATTTATTTGATTATCTGATTGTATGAATAATTTATATTTTTATATTACAGCTCCCATCCGCATACGACATAGACACAAAAGAGATTTAGTTTCTTTTATTAATATTTTTTTCAAGAAATGAAGCAATTTAGTTCAATTTTGTAGTTACCTACCTATTTTTTTTCATCAATTTAATCGTAGTTTTAATATTGTTATTATTATATAAGAAGCAACCATAATTTTTGTACATAATCTTTCAATTTTTTTTTGGTTGAATTTTTATCATTTATTTCGACTGTTCTTTTTTTCCATTTTTCACAATCGTTAGGCAATCAATTAATCCAATAAACAACACAAATATAGTAAGTTTACAATTAAATCAAAAATTTAGCAATGTTTAAAACTGGAAAAGAAGATATCTATTTATTTTAGTTATATAGTCATTTTTCCACTTCTCTCTTTATATTGTTAAATTTGTTCATTTGTACATAATTCAAACTCTTTATTTTGACTTTTTAATTAAAAATGGACCCGTTTTTTTAGTGAATTTGACATTCAGTGGTGACTAATGACATATGATTCATATTTTGATAGATTAATTATAAATGAAAGCAATTTTGCCATATCTTCTTTAACTACAACGATATATTTTACATTTATTTGTCCATTCATGGGCGTATGCAAATTATTGTCCTTTCCACTCTATTACATAGCTCCCTGTAGTCAATATCTTCCAGTATCGTCCATCTAACAACTACTTGGTTTTTCCGTGCATAACCATCTCTTATTTAGCTTTCTAAAGCTATGCTTCTTTGTCTCTTATTTCTTCGATTCTTTTGACAAAAGTAATTTAGGTATCGTTCATCGATGCTCTTTTTATCCCGATTCAAATTTTTAAATAATTTTGAGGAAATTAAAGTTGATTTTTGATATATGAGGGCTTCCGTTAAAATTACCCAAAGTTTTACAGAGAGTGGGACGTTCTTTATCAATGCAGGATATCATATATGTTGTTTAGGTGAAATTTTATTTATCATCAAGTGGTTCTTATGAAAAATATGATAAGTGATATTAGAATTAAGTTGGTTTATATAATTTTATTTTGTGCAAATTTAAATACGTAACTTGTGTTGAGATTTTGCCTGTTAATAAGGGACACGTATTTATGCTCAAAAACTAGTATGGTATTTTTTGTAGGCATATTTATTTACTATAATTTAAAAAATGTATATCTATAATTTTTCTAATAAAACGTTTTTACTTCTTAAACCTTGTTTTAATATCCATTTTTAGGCAACTACAATTGACCAACGCTATCAAGGAGTAAGAATAAGCTATATATTTTGTGTGAAGTAATTTGTCTTCCATTGTCAGTTAACTTTTAATAAAAACAAACCAGTGTGTCATTAAATTTTACATGTTTTGTACATAGCATAGATGTTAGATGCGGTTTAAGGCATTGGAAAGTACAGAAGAAAAAATATCCTGAACTGATCTAACCTACGTTACTTTTCGGAAGTTCAAACATTTTATTTTCAGATCTTTACGTAAATTTATTGGTGTATGCGCCAATTAGTCACCCAGACAGCACAAATAGGTCCATTGGACGTCCATTCGATATACAATTTTGGATGTCTGGACGTCCAAAGATGAGTTTTTTCTGGACTTCCGACGTCCAGTGAAGTATACAAATGGCACAATTTTGATCGTTCATAGGACGTTCAATACTGGACATTCAAAAAACGTCCATTCCTGGATTATATACCATTGAGACCACATCATTAATTTTTTTTACGCAACCGCAACTCACCACACACTATTTTATATTATTAATAATTTATTTTGGCAACCCGCTATACATACACCATTTATTATTTTTTTTTATTAAAAATCACTTGACTAGAATAGGTATCGAACTCACGACAGGTCCACTGTCTTTCTGGGCATTCAAGCGCTAGTCGAACTCGACCACGGAGCCACTTGAAAAATTATTGCTAGATACGGTATTAATAGAATAAGATTTCAAACTTCCGCTGATAGAATGAAATTTAATAGATTCAATTTGTCAATTTTTAATGACCAATTCATTTAAAAAAAAGTAAGTTTATATAAATAAGTATTATCTGGTAGGTTAAATAAATAATGACCTAAGATGGACGTCCACTAGACGTCAAAATAATACTAAATTTAAAAAATTAAGTCCAAAAGCAGACGTCCTATGGACATCGAAATGCAGCTGTTAAATTAATGATCGTAAACGGACGTACAGTGGATGTCCGAATACGGATATGGACGTTTTGGCCCTCAAATGAACTATGTGTGCTGTCTGGGCAAGTGGTAGAATTTTTTCATTATTTTTTACAATTACTTTTATTTATAATTTTTTTGCGGTATCTGGTCCACTAGATTGTGGAGTAAACAATAACAATGTGAAACAGAAAATGGTTATTAGAAATACTCCCGAATGAGAGTTGCACCTAATACTATTCATACAACATGCACAATAGCATGAGAAAAAAAATCTTAGAGAGATAGATATTGCCCTATTATACTTAGTATAATTCATTGTAAAACAGAGAGGGTCTGTGTTCAACATCCTGTAAATGTCATTGAATATTTTCTTTTTCTACCCTCTTATAATAGTACGTCACTGGAAACCGGAACCACTAGTCGGTCATATGCAAGCACCATTTTTGGCGCAAATCGTATAGTGTAAATGTGAGGGCGATGTGGCAACGTTGCTGAGGTTATGACGTTAACGTCAAAAGTGTCAACACGTCCGTAACTTGAAAGGAAAGGGCCACCACATATGTGTCCTCAAATGAAAAATAAATTTATTTGAAAATTGACCAAGTACAATGAGTGGAAAACCGAAATTAGACGACTTGGTTCAATCAGTTTCATTGTACACAGCTACACCAGCCTTTTTCCATTTGTATGTGTTACCATTTATAATAATTTATTCATCATGGTTGTATCTTTGGCTGGGAATTTACGGTTTTGAAGAACATTACGAGGGTGGATTCGTAGGAATTGCTGTTATCGGATGTTTTCAGATACTGTCTTGCTTGATGTGTTACTGGTCTGTCCATATAAATTGTTTTTTTAGCTGTAGAAAGGTAAATTCGATTCAATACTCCAGTTTTTATCATATGACCTTTTTTGTAATTTTAGGAGAAAGACCCTATTAAAGCAACTTTAGCCAAAGTTGTACCTGCTCCTAATAACGGCAGTTCAGAGCTCGTTTGCCTGCGACATACGAAGGTTTGTTAAAAATAGTTTATAGACTATTAATGAATAATATATTAAAATCGTCATATTTCACAGTACTTTGTGATAGTACATCATTCTGGATTCTTCAAGGTATGAGGTTCCCAAAAAAATGATGATCCAAAATCAAAAAGATTAGAAAAATTATATAGAATCTATAATGCCTGTAATTTAATTACGATCCTAGCCAGCAGTTTTAAAAAAATGTGTACCTCCTTATTTGCTTGTTTTTCCACTCTTGCTACTGGAAAGTGTCTTCATCAGACAGAGATAAAAAAGGATCAAACTATTCCAACACAACAGATCTAGTTATTTTATTTCTTCCCAGAACTGGCATGTTTTTGTTACTATTTTGCCAAACCCTTATATTTTTCTTCATTAATATAAATCCATAAAAAATGTTATCAAGAATGGTATTTTTACTTATTTTTCTGTTTTTAGAATGATGTTGATATCACTATATGGTTCATTTTCCAAAAAACTAAATATATATGGGATTCTGATAAGAAAATATTCAGGGGTTTGGAATTTCCAGTACACAAAAGTTTTTCTGAATATGGTTTGTCTAAAGGTTTGCAAGAAGATATTGATATAATAGAAGCAGAGCAGCTTTATGGAAAGAATATATTGAACATGGTTAGAAAACATATTTTAAGTTAACACAAATTCATTGTTGATTAAGAGTTTTTGTACTTAACAAATTCTTTAGTGTCGATTATAAGAGCTATATTTTTATTTTAAGTATCATCTGGCACAGTTATATTACTTATTTTTCTGTACAACAGTTCTACAATTGGTGGCTACAAAAGATAAATTATTTTCATTCTTTTGAACATGATTAAAAAAAGATATGCTTAGTGATGTGGAAATATGGATTTTTGAAAATAAAAACCAAATTTTAGTTTGATCTGTTTATATTAAAAAAAAAAAAAATTATATTAATAGACGTTTCTATTTATTTATTTCCAATTTCTTAGGTATCTACAATGCAGAAAAACATCCAAATAATATAAATAAATTATACCCAAAAAAATCTAAATATTCCTCAAAACAATTTTTAGGAGGTGAAAAATATCTTAACTTTATCCAATTTTTAAATTATAGACCAATCAAGTTGTTATCTATAATAGATCATGAGCAAAGTTTGTAGGTGTGTACACACTGATAGATTAAGAAAAAACAAAGAGAGGTATTTTTATATGTAATAAACATTTACACATTTAAAAATACCTCGTTTTTTCTATATAAATATTTTCTAAAGTAAAAAGACCGTATTACATTAATAATAATATTTTTTTTAAATTCGCCCTTTACTGAAGTACAAGGTTACTGAATTTAAAAAAATTAATGACATTTTTACCCTGTATTTTTGGAATTTAATTTTTGTTAATAAATCAACAGTTTTTAGATAGTCCTGATAATTAGAATAGACCCATTTTTTTGTAATATTTCATATTTAATATAAAAATTAGCAATAAATCTCCCCAATTTATTTAAAACTTTCTTATAAAATTTAGAGAAAATTACCATCTGAATCTATTAAAAAGTAAAACTTTTTTATTTTCAAAATATCAGCCATTTTTGAAATATTTTCATACTCCATTAGTAACCACAGTTTAATATTCAGTGAACTTATAAAACATCTTTAAATAATAATTTTGAAAGTGCTTATTTTTATTATTTTTAAAATTGTATTCATTTAAACATTATATTTAAATAACTTTTTTACAACCTGCAAACAATATAAAAAAGAAACTAAAAATGTTTAAGTCAATTTCAGTGGCAGAATGGTTTGTTTTTGTTAAAAGTCAACTCTCATTGGAACACAAATTATTTTCTAGGCCTTTTTTCTACTTTTATATGTAATTGTTTAACTAATTAACAGCCAACTTCATAATTTTCCTTTTTTAGGACTCTTCTTTCCCTATCATGTATTTTCTATTTTTCCTTTTTTTTATTTAGCCATATTAGTGCATTACCACCTCTTAAAATAACTGTTTATATGTTAATTGTACTCACTATCATTGACTTGCTGGGAACTCACCTATGAAAAGAAAATATATACAGTGCATGTGTCTACATAAGTTGGAACCATATGGAAAAAAATGTTATTGATTTTAGGAAAAAAAGTTATTCTTGATAAAAAGTCTTGCATGACCCAAATCTTAAAATACAGTCATCAGATATCAAATTTTTCAAGCCGTATACGAGGTTTGTCAAAAAATATGAATTTTGCTCAAGAGTAAAGTACGTTTATTTTTGACAAAATCGAAAATTTTCATTAAGAAAATTGCTAAATTCTTTACAAACATCAAGAAAAGGAAAGCGTATCATGTTTATAGTAGAGAAGAGAGAAATAAATTTATGGATTATTGTAATTGGGTGGATTAATACAAAATCTAGATAAAATCTGATTTTTCAGATAGATCGGTGTAATTGCATATTTGAATGTAATTTTCAATTCTAATCAACTTTTCTTAATGAAAATTTTCGATTTTGTCAAAAATAAACGTACTTTACTCTTGAGAAAAATACATATTTTTTGACAAACCTCGTATACGGCTTGAAACATTTTATATCTGATGACTGTATATTAAGTTTTGGGTCATGCAGTACTTTTTATCAAGAATAACTTTTTTTCCTAAAATCAATAATACATTTTTTTTTCCATATGGTTCCAACTTAAGTACACACTGTATAATGGAAAATATCAAGAATACTTGACAAAGAAAAGGTTCTTTCGTTCGCAGTTGGTGTAGTGTAAATTACACCAGTTACACCACCTTATTTACCTTAATTTACTTCCGCCTTATTCCTTATACACATGTCGAAAAAAAAAGTAATTTTTTAAAAAAATTAAAATTTTGGTAAAATATATTAGGCAATAATATCTAGAATATGCATATATTTTAAAGTTTTAATTCCTTCCAGTTTCCGAGGAAAAAAATCAAAGGGCTTTAAATTTTGAAATATCATAATGAAAATAAATGCATTTCTCAACAGCAGTATTCTTAATATAATCCCTAAATTTAAGCTCTTAATCTTTTGTTAATGATTTTTTTAAAATTCGCCGAAATTAGTGGCTAAAACGCCTTGTTAAGTGCTATTTTCTGGTTTAAACTGGTGTAAATCGTTGCAAGAAACGAATAATAACTCAAGAGTATACGATAGTTACAGACGCGTTACACTAGAAAAAAGCACTTAACGAGGCGTTTTAGCCACTAATTTCGGCGAATTTTAAAAAATCATTAAAAATAGATTAAGAGCTTAAATTTAGGGATTATATTAAGAATACTGCTGTTGAGGAATGCATTTATTTTCATTATGATATTTTAAATTTAAATTCCTTTGATTTTTTTTCTCGGAAACTGAAAGGAATTAAAACTTTAAAAAATATTCATATTCTAGATATTATTGCCTAATTTATTTTGCCCAAATTTAAATTTTCTAAAAAAAAATACTTTTTGAGATATCCTTGTCCGAAAATTATAAAGGGGTGCTGTAATCACCTTAATAGCTGGTGGAGAAAATATCCACCAGTGTACACCACATCGCCGACAGGAAGGTATAGTGGGTTTTACACCCGGCCAAACGAAAGGTATGGTGTGCGTTGGTGTAGTTCATTACTACACCAGTAGGACGAACGGAAGAACCTAAAGACTCTAGAAAATTTGTGTCTAATATTACTTTTAATATCTGTTAAAGAGAAAGACTTCTAGGTTCCAGTAGAGGCTCGTGAGCAAAAAATTGGGGGTTCACAATGACAGAATATAGATCTTAGTACAGATTTAGGTAAAAAACTTTTGGTTTTTTTAATACACCTTTTCAAAACACTGGAACCTTTTTACTTAAATCTGTACTGGAACCTATATTCTCTCATTGTGAACCCCCAATTTTTTGGCTTCGAGCCGCCATTGCTAGGTTCAAATAGGGTATCTATCAACCTTAAATGTAAAATAGTCGGAATCAAATATCTCCATAAAAATATAATTTTTGGTTTCCTGTAAAATGTAAAAAGAAAAAACTCACCCTATTTTTTTGTTCATAAAATAATCAAGCTAAAAAAAAATCATCCAGAACGAGGTCTATATTATTATCTTTAAAATCAACCCATTTTTTACTTTAATTGTTTTTAATAAATTATTTAAATGTTTTACTTCACCTCTTCACCTTAGGTGGTTCCCGAATTCACGGAACTTTTTGTGGAAAGAGCAACGGCTCCATTTTTCGTATTTCAAGTGTTCTGCGTAGGCCTGTGGTGTCTAGATGATTTTTGGTACTACTCTCTTTTCACGTTAGTCATGTTGGTGCTGTTCGAATGTACATTAGTTCAACAACAATTGCGTAACATGGACGAAATCCGTAAAATGGGTAACAAACCTTACAACATCCTTGTGTACCGCAGCAGGAAATGGAGGATGATACCTACTAGCGATCTAATTCCCGGTGATATTATTTCAATAACTAGGTCGCAAAAAGATAATTTGATACCGTGTGATGTTCTGTTGCTTAGAGGAGCTTGTATAGTCGATGAAAGTATGTTGACAGGTGAATCAGTACCTCAAATGAAAGAAGCTATCGAGAATTTTGATCAGAGTACCATTTTAGACCCAGAAGGTGACGGTAAACTCCACGTTTTATTCGGAGGTGAGGTTTATTTATAATAAACAATTGGTTTTTTTTTGTTTAAACTTTTTTTATAGGCACTAAGGTAGTACAGCATACTGCACCAACGAAAGCAAGCACTGGATTAAGACCTCAAGATAATGGTTGTGTTGCTTACGTCCTACGTACTGGGTTTAATACATCCCAAGGAAAATTGCTTAGAACCATTCTTTTTGGTGTTAAAAGAGTTACTGCTAATAATAAAGAAACCTTTGGTGAGTTTATTCCGATCTTGTCAATTTTATTTTTGTAATTAATTTTATTAGTTATCCTAAGAATTTATTATATTTATATTTAACTTATTAACTAATGTATGTAGTCCGAGAGACAGTTTCTCAAAACGTCTATCATTTTATCATTGTTTATATATTTGTATACATTATAATATATGTAAGATAAAGTAATAATGAATTGTACACAATTATTTTTCATTTGCACTTAGTCTGCTACTCGATGAAAGGACTTGAAAGCATTTCTATTTTAAATCAATTTTCTCCCGGTAGACTTGGTAGGCAACTTATTTAATTAATTCTAATTGATAAAACTTTTATTTGCTCTTGATGAAGTAACTTTGCAACAGATAATATATAGGTACAAAATATAAACAATTATGACATTTCTGTGACGTTGCATCCCGTATTAATAGCTATACAATTTTTTTTTCAATGTAGGATTTATTCTCTTCCTACTTATTTTCGCAATTGCGGCAGCCTGGTACGTTTGGATAAAGGGTTCCGAAGATCCAAATAGAAGTAGATATAAATTATTCTTGGAATGTACCCTCATTCTGACATCCGTCATACCGCCAGAGCTACCAATTGAGCTGTCACTAGCTGTTAATTCTTCCTTATTAGCGCTATCAAAACTAGGTAAAAGTATATTAATCAATTTTAATAGCTGTGCTCATAAAAGGGTTTTCGTTTATTCCTTAGGTATTTTCTGCACTGAACCGTTTAGAATACCATTCGCGGGAAAGGTAGATATATGTTGCTTCGACAAAACGGGAACTTTGACCAGCGACAATCTTATAGTAGAAGGCGTGGCTTTAGCTGAAAAAGACTCATCCCCTACAGCTATCAACGATTTGCCTCAGGAGACCATACAAGTGCTGGCCACTTGTCATTCTCTAGCGCAATTAGATGATGGTTTAGTGGGGGATCCGTTAGAAAAAGCCACGTTGACAGCTATCGATTGGAATGTCACCAAAGCTGATGCGGTCGTGCCTAAGAAAGGTAGATTGTCAGGGCTGAAGATTTTTCATAGGTGAGAACATATAATAATAATAAAGTAATTTGCGCAGATTTACTGTGCTAGGAATAATATCATATAAAATTTGACGATTTGACATTTATCTAGTGATGCTTAAATTTTTTTATAAAGCATTTGAGGAACTTGTAGGATTTGATTGTCAAAATTATTATTGTAGACCAATAATTCACTTCACTTAAATAAACTATCAATATGAAGGAAAAATAATTATTTATGTAAAAAATAAATGTGCTTTGCCTAAAATGGACTATTTTTGTATTCCATACAGATTTCACTTTTCATCAGCACTAAAGAGAATGTCCGTTATCGCCGGCTATAACCCAGTAGGTTCTACAGATACAATATACATTGCAACAGTTAAAGGCGCCCCCGAAATTTTAAAGCCAATGTTTTCCGATACTCCAAAGTTGTACGACGACGTTTATTTGGAATTATCAAGGAGAGGCGCTAGAGTCTTGGCCCTAGGTAAGTAAGTGAATTCATTTTGAAACCTCGTTAACTCGCAACGAATATGTTTTGATAGGTTTTAGAGAAATGGGCAAACTTTCTTCTCAAGAAATTCGCGAACTGAGCCGCGACGATGTCGAAAAAGACTTAAAATTTGCCGGTTTCGTCATTATATCCTGCCCGCTTAAGTTCGATTCTAGGGCTGTGATTAAGGAACTTCAGTATGCCTCCCACAGGGCTGTCATGATTACGGGAGACAATCCGCTGACGGCTTGTCACGTTGCCAAAGAACTGAAGTTTACCACAAAGACTACACTGATCTTGACTCAAAGCAAGGAGAGTTATATCTGGAGGTACGTAACTTTATTGCATTAAAACGAAAAAGATAATATATAGTAACTAGGTTGCCTAACATTTATTTTTTTATTTCCCTCATTTGCTATTTAACTAAAAGTGCCATGAAGTTAGATCTATATGGGATTTTTTTTTAATAAAACGATTGGAAAAAAAGTCGTAGGGCAATCACTTTTGCTTATTTAAAAACTTAAAACAGCATATTGTAACTTGACAAACCGGACCCTCACCTAGTTTTGCAAATACTTGTAACCTTGGCCTAAATTTCGTCTAGTGGATTCCTACGAAGTGATGTTAAAACCCCCAGAATTACGTTTAGAGTTCAATGTAGCTGTAATGGAGGAAGAACAAAGGAAACACAGAGATTAATTTTGAATACTGTTTATTTAACATCTATTCTTTTGTACAGCCGAACATTTAGATTATGTGCCATTTTTAGGCTTAACATTCTGTTTATGTAGGCTTTCTAATGTGTCATTTCTAACCTCAGAGCTTTTAGTTCCCATAAAAGGGTAAAATAAAAGTCTGAAGTACTTTGGTATGTTTGTCTCCTAATATACAATCACACGTTTCCACGGAACTACTGAATTACGCATTGTCTAATAAAAGAGAGTACAACGGTAGCACGAGGAGTGTTGTGAGATATAAAATATTGAGTCGAATTGAGAACCTCTTCCTTTTTGAAGTCGGTTAAATTTAATATTTCTAATATGTGTAAAAACCGGAGTGTAGATTTACCTCACCGTGCGTCACGCCTTTCTCTAATATTCCAACGCCGTAATTTACCGACATACTCAGTCCTGTATGGACAACACTAAACGGTCGATCGGAGAACACCTGATATAAAGGGGGATGCCCGTCAGGCCCACTTTTGGGGTATCTCAGTAGAGATCCATCCAAGCCTCTATCAGGCTTTAATTTACATAGCCGCAAGGGAAATACCATTTTTAGGCCCTTACTATTGAGGTCCCTGGCGGTCTATGGTGGCCTAAGGCGTCTTTTTTGGCACGATGCTCTTTTGCTCTGTCGATTGACAAATCAGTGTTATTAATCACAGTTCTGAGGATACGTTAGCTAGTCCACAAACACAATTTCACCTATTTATTCTAAATAAACAACAAACATACCGACTACTTCCGCGTAATGTCCCGCTAAAGATATGTGAATATGTACAAATAAATACGACCCTCCTCAATATTCATGATTCTACCCGCCGCTGTACATATCTCCTTTTTCCCGAAAATTCGATACACAAAACTAAAATTCCGTACGGCTAAAATGACACATTTGTCTACCCAATTTTGTTTTACAAAGAACGACAGAAAACATATTTTTTAAACCGCAAACTAACTTTAAAATATATACAAATCCAGGCATTTACCCTGCTAATCTACATCTGTTTGCCATTTAAAAGTAAAACCGAAAGTGCTTTTTATCTTTACTGAAAGGGGCAGGTACTGCTTACAGACAACCGAAACTTTACAGTTCGGCCCTTTGGCCATAAATCTAAATGACTTAATTTATTACTGGAGAGCATTGACCGACTATACAACAATTAATATTTATGACAACAACATCACTATCGATTCTCTAAATAACATAATTTAGCACAATATAAAAACCTTATAATTTTTCCCACAATAAACGTTTACCAATAAATACCAAAAATATGCCAATAACACACAGACGCGAATGTTCCCGCTAATGAATATAAAAGTAAATAAAGTGATACCTGTAACCTATTAATGTTTGTCTAAATTCTCCCCCGGAATATCTGAATATTAATTACTAGTTTGATTACTTTAATAGTGCGATTATCGTTTTAATTCTACGTAAAAGAAACCTTACAGAAAGAAAAGTATACCGCTGATAAAAGTGTCTACCTGGCGCAAGTTCGTCGGATCAGCCAGAAGGGTGACGAAATCCACCACGAACGTCGCCTATAGAGTAGTACTTTTAATCATTTAATAACATTTTATAATGTTGAATCGGAGATATAAAATATCTGGCGTTTAACTAGACTAGCGTGGTATCACTAGTATCAGTTACGCTAATATCTTAGTCGCTCGGTAGATACAACTTTACAAAACAGTTCTAGGAGCGAAATCTGTTTCTACTCAACGTGTATCTGCTTGGTCAAACTGACTATATATCTCCTTTTACTTATATATAGAATATAAGAAAAAGGTGGTCATCCTAAGGATAACTGGATATCTCTGCAGAAGCCGTCGTTTATAGAAACTAATTTCTCTACTCCGTCGATATCTTTTATTTCCGTTGTCAAATTATAACAAAAGCGCGGCCACCGTAAGGGTAGCGATATCTCTTTTTAATTATATTTGAAGAATATAAAGAAAAAGGAGTCACCGTAACGGTAACCTGGATATTTGCGTTTTTTGTTAACTCGACTCGGTGAAGAAGAAAAAGCTAATGTTCCACCAGCCCACAAAAACCCGGGTATTTATACTTCAATTTCCCATATAAGCAAATGTATCAGACAGAGACCGACTGTGGCTTTGGTGTATAAAGACTATAAAGCCCTGTATTAATTCCTGAATATAACCCTACCGGTGACATATGTTTTTTTAGCTAGCGTTCGTGAGAAACGACACAAAGACTGTTTTTCCCAGAAGTAATTTAAACGGCGCCTACGAGGCGGGATGCTGGGATGTTGTTTGAATTCGAAATAAAATTTGAATATAATATGTAATACATAAGAATTATTTAAATTAATTATCAACCCCCGGTTGTCGGATTTCACTATATTAAATTTTGCTACTAACATTAGTTTTCTGTTAAATTCGCATTAAAAAATTTATTTTACATTTTTTATGGTCCAAAAATCCATTAATTTAGTTTTTTTATCATTTTAACAATGTTGTCGACCCTGTATTGAGTTGCAAAATCGGCTAGTTTCGATTTATTTGAACTTTATCTTACTGTTAAGTTTAAAAAATGTTATTAATGTTAAATTTTTCACCTTGTTTCTAGCCTAAAAGTCTTATCAAATATGGTAACCTTATTTGGACAGTTACAGTATTTTCTTATATTATTGTAAAATGCCTAAATCTTATAATTGGAATACGGCAAACTTACTCATTCTGATTATAGGAATATTTCTTAGGTAAGACTGTTTATGATTTTTAAGTGCGTAAATAAGATTTTAATCATGAATCTGAATAATAAAACTCGTTTGTAATTTACATCAGAAAACGATCAGAATCCGTAACACAATTCTTTAGGTCTTTATTCTGGATAGTGCTAGAAATAAGGTTACCATATTCGAAAAGTGACAAAGTGACTCATTTTTTTCCCTTTTATTGTGAACATTTTTAATGTAGGAGCATCAACGAAACCAAAGAACTGCCTCTGGAGTACGACTACAAGAATCTTACTAAAGAATACGACCTTTGCATCACCGGCGATGGATTAAAATATCTACGCGACAACTACAACGTTTTTTTTGAGACTAATAATGCCCTATATCAGCGTGTATGCACGTTTCGCTCCCAAACAAAAAGAATTCGTCATTGTCCAACTCAAAAATTTAGGATATACCACTTTGATGTGCGGTGATGGTACCAATGACGTGGGCGCTCTCAAGCACGCTGAAGTAGGTGTCGCTATTTTGGCTAATGCTCCCGAAAAACTTATCGATCCAAAGGTAATATAACATGGACGTTATTTTTGCTATATTGGGGAAAATCTAACAGTCAACTTTTTGGTAAATATCTAATTTGACCTCTTTTTCAATTTTACGTATTTTCTTTTTGTGAAAATGAATATTAACAAACTTACTGGGTGCGTAAGGAACGTCCTAATTAAAACGTGGTCAAATTAGATAATGAGCAAATTTTTATACAAAGTGGTTGTTTAGTTTTGACCCAATACAAATTCATATGAAATCGATAAAACATCCTGAATCTAATTAATCAGATATGCTGGATCCATTTAATAATGGGCGATTTTGAATCATCAAACTGTCCTATATTCTAAAATACTCTGTTTTAGATTCTAAAAGAGAAACTCGAAAAGGAACGTGAAAAGAAGCAAAAGGAAATCAAAGAATCGATTCAGAATCAAAGACCTAATCACGTCAGAAACATGATAAATCATCGAGAAAAATTGCAATCCAAAGTCGATAAAATGATGAAGGAATTGGAAGAGCAGGACCAGCCACAAATCGTCAAATTAGGAGACGCCAGTATTGCGTCTCCTTTTACTAGCAAATTATCATCAATTATGTGTGGTATGTATTAAATAAATTGTCATCTGATGAAACATTATGAAACTTATTTTTTTATTCCAGTTTGTCACATTATAAAACAAGGTAGATGCACTCTAGTCACCACATTGCAGATGTTCAAAATATTGGCATTGAATGCGCTCATTTTAGCTTATACTCAATCTGTACTGTATTTAGATGGGATAAAATTGAGAGATTTGCAAGCAACTCTACAGGGTCTTCTGTTAGCTGCCTGCTTTTTATTCATCTCCAGATCGAAGGTGATTTTTTCTTTTAATAATTTTTAATAATGTAAAATTTCCTGACATTACTTTCTTTTCAGCCATTAAAAGTATTATCGAAGCAACGACCTCTACCTAACATATTTAATTGGTATACAATTTTGACTGTTATCACGCAGTTTTCTGTACATTTCTTGTGTCTCATTTTCCTCGTCCAGCAAGCCAAATTGAGAGCGCCCCCGTAAGTTTATTTACGATTACAAATTAATACTTAATTACATAATTATTTTGTTTTCAGAGAAGAATCGCCTCTGGCGCCCAACGAGCTAGGCGATATATCAGAAGAAGAGAAGGATAAATTGTTTAAACCAAATATTGTAAATAGTACTGTGTATATTATTTCTATGGCCTTACAGATAGCTACATTTGCCATAAATTACAGGGTAAGTATTTATTTAGTGATTAGTGATGACAATTTTATTTTTCTGACAAGAGTGACATATAAAACGATACTATCTCAGCAAATTAAGCTGATTGGTTTTTATGGTTAATTTGCACAAAAAAAGGACTGAAAACTACTTAAATCATTTCACAAACACTGGAGTTTTTAATATGATTTTATGAAAAAGAAAATTGAAAATTTATAAGTTAAAAAATTTAAATCTGACATACTACTATAAATATATCAGCCTCGAAACTTTTCAAAAATGAATACATAATAATAGAAATTATTTTCTTTTGTTTTAGGGAAATCCTTATATGGAGAGTCTTAAAGAAAATAAAGCTTTGTTGTATAGTATTTTGGGTTCTGGAGGCGTCGTTTTAGCCTTAGCACTTGGTTTAGTTCCTGAATTATCAGACCAATTTGAGATTATCGATTTTCCACCAGATGTGAGTAAATACATAAAAATAAAATAAAAGGTTTGACTTAATTTTGATACTTAATTTTGATTTTTAATTTTTTTAGTTCCGGATTATCTTGGTACAAGTGTTGTTCGCTGACTTTTTCTTCTCGTTCTTGGTGGATCGGATGTGTCTATGGGTGTGCGGTGAAGGTAGCATGAAAGTTTCATAGGAACAAATTTGGAGAAGAGATAGAAAAAGTTGATTAATAGTATTTATTTATAAGTCATTCCAATTGAAAGCAAAAACAATGATTAAGATCAAATCTGTATGTTTGTGATTTGAAAAATTAATAAATATTTTTTACTTGTTACTAGAGTGTTTTAGTTAGAACGAATTGACGATGATAGAGTGTTAATAATATTAATAATTTTTTAATTAAAAAACCGACTTCAAAATTGTGCATTTCCTTAAAAATTGAGATTTTTGATTTTCTCATAGATCATCAGATCCCGACCAATTGTATATGAAACTACCCCTGAGTGTTTTTTATTATTAATTAATTAAAAAAACAAATCACTTCTAGGGGTGAATCGGGACGATGGTCCGAAAATACAAAAGAACGCCTGGGACTAGGTTTTACCAAAATTATAGTAAAGAGCAGCTTGAAACGGCTTTGAGGTAATTTAGAAGAGGTCAAATAACCCTTCGAGAAGCAGAAGAGTTATATAATATACCAAGATCGACGCTACAACGACATGCTAAACAGAAGCCAAAGAAACATGGTGGGCAAACTATTTTGTCAGAAGGTGAGGAAAGTAGGCTAGTGCATTTGATAGTATTGGCGGGAGAGTGGGGATACCCGTTGGAAAAAAATTGATATTCGATACATCGTTAAGGCATATCTTGGGCAAAATTTAATAATAATATGCCCGGTGTTGATTGGGCGAATTTGTTTTGTTTGCGTCATAAATAATCACTCACTGAAAGACTGTGTGAAAATATTAAACGAGCTCGGGCAGCAGTGTCTCGGGAAATAATAAATAAATATTTTGACCACCTCCAAGAAAACTTACAAAACGTTGAAACTGAATCCATCATCAACTATGATGAAACTTGCTTTGTAGATGATCCCGGACGGAAAAAAGTCATCGTGAAAAGGAAAACAAGACATCAGTAATGTTTGCCGTAAGTGGTGATGGCCAGCTATTACCCCCATTTCTAGTCTATAGGAGCGAGCATCTTTACGATACCTGGTTGACAAATGGACCAAAAGGTGCGCGCTATGGACGAAATAAAAGTGGCTGGTTCGACCAGCCATTATTTGAAGAATGGTTTATTTCTATTGCTCTACCGTTCTTGAAAAGACGTTCGGCACCAAGGGTAATCATTGGCGATAACTTATGTAGTCATCTGTCGCTCAGAGTTATTGAATTGTGCGAAGAAAATTATATTAGGTTTTGTTTTTTGCCGCCGAATTCAACCCATTTAACACAAGCCACTTGACGTCTCTGTTTTTGGCCCAATGAAAAAGGATTGGAGGTCAACTCTACAAGATTGGAAAAAAGAATACAAGGGTTCTTTGCCGAAGGAGTATTTTCCGAGTTTACTAAAACGTGCTATAGACAAATTAGGAGGGACTCTAAGTCAGAATATTAAAAGCGGATTTCGTGGGACGGGAATTATTCCACTTAGGTTTTAAAACGATTGCCACAAGAAAGAAATCTCGAAGAGGACGATCCTAATGCCTGGACGGAGTCTGTTGTAGAATTGCTTAACGAAAGCAGGAATGCTTGCAAACCAACAGTAGCAAGGAAAAAGAAAATTCAAGTGGAGCCAGGCAAAAGCATTTCAATAACAGATTTTTTAGAACCGCAACCGTCAACAAGCAATACTGTAGTGTCTCAAGAGAATGAAACTTCGGAACTTGAGTCAGAACCGGAATTAGAAATAATGGAACAGGAAGAGTGCTTTGAAGATGTGCAGCCTACTATGGAAAACATCGCAACTGACAACTTTGTAGAGGTTGAATAATTTAAAACAAACAAAGTGAACAAATATTTCATCGGGCAAATTAAGGGAATCTTTGATGAAACTTTTGAAGTTAAATTTCTTAGACCTAACAGAAAGACAAAAAATTGCTATCTTTCCCACAGTGGATGACATATGCATGATTAGCTTGGAACAAATTGTGAAAAAACTGCCTAAACCAACTAAATTGCGAATTTCCTTTGCAAATGAAGCTAAAATCCTATACACTTTAAAACTATAAAATAAAGGCTATTTCCAAATTTCATTGTTGTTTTTTTTACCTTTTATATTAAAAAATAAATAAAAAATAATATTTTAATTTATTTTTGTCCCGATTAACCCCATACTCGAGGCGACATGCACATTGCATGGCTTGAAATAGCGTGTCCCGATTCGCCCCAAAACGGGGTCAATCGGGACACACCATATTATATTTTTTTTTAATTTATTTATTCAAATCAGATAATTATCCAATACATATTTCAGCAGCCGTATTGACTACGATCACTTTCCCCTAAATTTTAATTTTCTTCGATAGTTTTAGAAGAAAATATTAATTATAATATCTAAAAATCGTCCCGATTCACCCCGTTTGACGGTACACAAAAAAATTACTAACGAATTGAGAACCTCCTTTTTTGAAGTCTATTGAAAATACCTAGCTCTGTGGTGTACTGTGAATAGTTACGTTTTCTCAGAGTATCTTTATAGTGGAATTATCCCTATGTGTCTTTTCTGTATTGTTCTGCTCTTCTGTGCCTACTTTTTTCATCCAGCAGGTACAATTTTACATTAAATAATTCCATAATTAATATTCATTTAAAATAAAACTAGGTATTTTTAAAACATTGTGACGTGACTTTCCCCCCTCCCCAAGCCGTATAATATATTTCATGTACGCTTCTGATTGAAAACAAGATCAATGGTACTGATATTATCACTTTATACTAACTAGAAATTTTGTCAGTATTGACATTTTTTGGCTGTATAGTGTTTGACATCTTGAAAAGGAAAACATAAAGAGTAAATATAGTCAAAATGAATAGCGGTAAGAATCCCCAACGAACATCAATACCAACCAGTGCAGGCCAATCAGCCAGATCAATACCCATATCACAAATGGGACGTCTTCCCAGATCTCGATCACGTACAGCAATCAGAAGATCTACCAGGTACCTACCAACACCAATATTATAATCTTCATTTGAATTTATAACGTTCCTTATACAGTTTTTATAATTGTAAGCACCCAAGAACCTTTTTAAATTGTTAGTTCAGAGTCCATTATGTTATTATTGAACACCATACGGATATAATAGTAGTACCTACTCTTAGATATTTTTCAATACTCTATTTATAGTACCCTGAAGAGTAAGTACTATTTTAATTTGAGAATAGCTCTATTATATCATCTCGAGTTTAATTTCTAATTTTATTTATGGGATATCATTAAATACTTAAGTAACTTTTATGCCTGCAATGACCTAGTTCAATATTCAATTCTATTCAGGTTTAACCGTTTGTTTACTCTGATACTGAGTAGCCCTTGTAATACATAGTTTGTACTCAATTTCTTAATGAATACTTTTGTTTTTTAGATCTGTAAGTGTCCCTGTAGCAGACGCCCATAATCTGGAGCACTACATTTTTATTCCCCCTGATGGTGGTTATGGCTGGGTCATTGTAACAGTGGCATTTGTAGCCAATTTTTTAATAGATGGCGTTACCTATACGTTCGGTATTTTTCTGAGCGAACTCAGTGCCGAATTTAAAGTACACCCGACCCAAGTAGCTTTAATTACTTCCTATATGGGTGGATTTTATTATTTAACAGGTATTTACGACGTATATAATATTTTTTTTAATACGAAACCAGAACAACAAACTCAAACAGGAATTTATTAAGTTTAGTTTTTAGGACCTATAGCCTGTGCTTTATGCAACAGATTTGGATTCAGATTCGTTGGTCTCATGGGAGGAATAACATCAGCAGGATTATTTACTGTTGCCAGTTTTTCGCACGATTTTTTTGTTTTCACCATTCTAATGGGCGTTTGTACTGGAATGGCATTTAATTTTATTTACACGCCAGCTTTACTGGTCGTTGGATTTTATTTCGAAAGCTATCGCGCGTTGGCTACGTCCATTTCTGTAACTGGCACTTCTTTTGGTATCATGGTTTTCCCTATCATTTTTGAAAATAGTAATTTGTTGGGTCAGTTTGATTGGAGATGGAAATTTAGAATTATTTCTGGTAAGTAGGGTTTACAATTTTATTTACTTATTTTCTTATGCTATTTCTTTAATTTTTTTAATGAAATATTGATTTTAGCATGAAGATTAGATATATAAAATTATTGGGTAGCATTTTAAGAATCTCAAAAGTATTAGGAACACGTGACATTCTTATAAATTCTAAAATGTGACGAGTCGTCTAATTTCTGGTATACTTTTGGATTTAAGAATAATTTTCATATACCTCACAATAAAGAGTCATATTATAATTGTATTTTGTGTAAATCAAACTCAATAAAAGATTGCCATAAAAGCTTGAGCAACCACAGTTAGTTGAACTATTGTTGAAATCATGGTAAATATTTGTACCTCAAGATACAACCTTGTTCGAAATTGATATCAGGTCGATATTTCAATCAAATACAATGGGTATATGATCCATAATAATATATATGGTACATATATGTACCAACATTAGTTAAAAGGATAAGGTTTTCTACAAATTTCATATTTACTTAACTTTTATAAGTATTTTTTATATTAATGAAGATCGTACTTTAAATACGTTTCTTAAAACTAAACCTGAGTTCCTGATATTAATTTCGATTTTTCCAGGATCGTTTTTGGTCCTTTCTTTTCTGGTCCTGGCTTTCCGACCGATACCGCCGACAAAATTACTGGAGCAAACGCCTTTCAAGTTAGAAAGAGATTCGTCTGGATCGCTCCAAATGGAGCAGAACGAGTCTAGAGTGACTGCGACTAGTACAGGGGTAGTTAAGAGGATTTTCGATCAGTACCATAACGCCGTGTTTCCGACAGTGGCGGAGTACGCTGCTACTTTAGAACAGCAGCACCCTAGGACTAAGCTGGACGAGCCGTTCACTTTTTTGGGTAATGTATTTTTTAATAGTTAAATGTGTAGGCATTGTTTCATTAGTAATGAGAGCAGCGCCATATTGCCATAAGGACAATACTAGTCATATCCGTGATAATAACGCTTCGAATTAATTTTTCCAATTTCTACTTTAAAAATATTTTTTAAAGATCACTCCACATTTGATGTTCTAAATATGTATAAAATGGAACCATCTATATATCCGTAGAACCCAGCAATTGTCCTTCTGACGTCTATACTGGGACGCACTTGCTTCACACATCATTTGTAATTTGAAAGAATGTACTTCACTGCAACTGTAAAGGTTCTCTTTTTTTAAATTTCCATAGAATGATAAATTGAACTTCCAAAGTCAAAAAATGTCATCAAATTTACTTCCAAAATGTCCATTAAGAACATCTATACATACGTCCATAATATGACTTAGTATTATGATACTTTTTAACTTAACCGATAAATCAGAATATTGAAATGGTCTTTTTTATTTCAGCAATTTTACCCGAATTGAGTGGTTCAGGCAGTATTTACAGAGGATCGGCAGACAGCTCCATCTATTTGGATCAACTTTCATTAATGTCGTCTTATCAAACTCAGGGATTTTGGAAGAACTTATTCGCATGTTGTAAAGGCGGGTTTCTAGGAGAAAAGTAAGTTCTACTTTTTACTTTTCAAACGAACTTATTAATATAAACTACTGGATTTGACTTCCTAATGATCCCCAGAAGTTTGACGATGGAAGTTTTATATGCAACATTTAAAATTACTAATCGAATAATTAATTGAAGCAAACATTTTCTCTTTTGCACTGTAATTTCTTGTGAACTTTTTCTACTCAGACTAGGTTGCAAAGTCACTCCTCCGTATGCATCCACTAGGTGTTGTACAAGCAAGTGCTGCCATTCAAAGTGTTGTGCCCAATGTCGGAATTTTTGTTGGACCGCGCCCGAAATGAATAGACCCATGTACCGTGACGACATTTTATTTCAAGGATCTTTGGCTACAATGCCAGAATACACGTTCGCTAGATCAAGGATAACTATCCCTGTGGATGTTCCGGATCCGTTTTCAAGAATATCAAGGAATATAGTAAGTTTATAAATAGTAAAATCTATTGGCGTGAACACACCTGCAATAATATGCGACACGCTTTCAGTTTTATCTCACATCTTTATACAAACGCATTATAGTTTTATGCGTGAATGTATGTTATATTACAACAGGAAACATACGGGTCTATATCTATCTAACCAACCTTACAATGAACGATTTACCAAGATGTATGTGTTTCATTTTTGCTTCCGTTATGGTATACTCGCAGAATATTATGTAATATGTTTCTCTATTAATAGTTATTATTAGTATTTATATTATTTCAGAGCTACCATATGTCAGTTTCGAGGGTAATTTCTCACCGAGACGTTGCACAACAAAAAAAATGCGTTTGCTGTCCGGAATCAGTAATAAGAGTACTAATCACCATGATCGACATTAGGCTGTTCAAATCTATAGCTTTTTGTTTGCTAACTATGAGCGGCTTCCTAACCATGATGGGTCTCTACGTACCGTTCCTCTTGATAGTAGAAAGAGGTATGTATAGAAGCTGAAAATGTTAACTTGCAATAGTTTAAGGTCATTTTGATAGCATATAAGTTGATTGAACTAAGCGTAACGACATTTTTAAAAACATTTCAACTGATGTTAAAAATACAAAGCATTTTTTACAGTAAAAATAAATAATTTCGGTACAGCACTGTTCACCACAAACTGTGACATCAACAAACACATCATTTCAAGCACAAGCAAGGACACGAACCGAAATGAAATCCAAGATGAGTTTAATTTAAGTGGACTAGATTATGGACCGATTGACTGAATTGAGCTGGCAACGCTTTGCTTATATACTTTCCGTAAGATCTTCCAGAATAGTCCAAATTTGTTGCGAAGGGTTTAGACACCTCGACGTGTCTAGCCGGCGACACTAAAAACCGATAGCCTTTTTGCAATTTTGTTATAAACAACTTATTGTATAATAGAACAATCATATAAACATTCTAGAGAATCTAATTTTTTTATTGTTTTAGCACATGAATTACATTTTAAAGAACCCTGGCCCACTCAGCTTTTAACGGTAATGGGCGTTGCCAATATGCTAGGCAGGATTTTTTGCGGCGCAACGTCTGTTAATCCCGACATTAATCCAATGGTGGTTACATATATAACGTTAACCTTAGGCGGTATAACAGTTCTGATGTCGACCTTTTCACGCACGTTAATGTCACATGTTATCATGGTAATAACGTTTGGAACATGTGTAGGTTGGTATTATTGTGTGACTTATATGGTCGAAAATTTTAAACATAAACTCCTTGATCCTGCTCAATATATTGAACGTTTATCGGAGATCTAATGGATCAAATTTCATTCTAAATAGTCACCTGGTCTAAATATGGATCTTTAACCGATATTCATATATTCGTGGCTAGATGGGTATCAAGTATGTACTTCTTCAGACCAATATAAGTTTGCTTTCAATATTAACAACTCACAAATTCCGGAATAATATATTTTTTCTGTTTAAGCCAGTTTTAGTACACTACGTACAGTTCTGTTGGTAAACATCGTTGGATTGGATAATTTGACCAATGGTTTCGGGATCACTATTCTTTTCTATGGGTTAGCTCTACTCGTAGGGATACCTCTGTCCGTGTTTCTACAAACGACTTACGGCACATATAAGTATTATAAGATTTTTGTAATTATTATGTGACAATTATGTAATAATAATAATTTTTAGATATTGTTTTATGCTGGCTGGCATATCTATAACTCTTAGTGGACTAATATTGATGCCTGTGGATAGGATTAATAGATACGAACGAAATAAAAGAAGACCTAAAGTTTGGTTCGACATGTAGTTAAGAAAAAATGCATTAGACACGATATCTTGCTATCTTCAAACTCTAGAATGAAAATAAATTAATTCGTAAAAACCGTCTTTATTTATTTAGTAAGCATAGTAATTTCTTTAAATACTCCTCAAATTTATAGTTAAATCGACCCCGATGTAGAACAGAAGTAAAAGTTGGAAATGCTTTTGCCAGTTCTCCCACTTTATACACATAAATTGACAGGTTGGCAGCGGATCTCACCGAAGTGGACGCGATACATTGGCGTACAAAATTATTTTATAGATGTTAATAACAATTTCGAGTAAATAGTTTAATAAATTGTGAATAGCTGTTGAAATTTTGTAAAATTATGATTTGAATATTATAATACATGTTTAATAATTATTTATAATCCATAAATACATGCGATTGTCCGGTTCCGCCGATAACAATTTAAAATTACTTATTCTATGAAACGACACCGGTAGGTAAACATTACTGCGAAATTCTCGGAGCCGCCCGACGTGGTTTGACGTTTACCCCCTCTCTACCTACCAAAAGACTTTTCAACTTTTACTTTCTCTATAGCTGATTACAATAAATACATGAAAAGTATAATAATTTCTTTCACCTTTGCAGTTAATTTCTCTAAAACCCTATAATGGACAAGAAATTTTTGATTTACTTAAGGAAAAAATATAAATCAGGATTTGATGAGGTAGGGACATCCTTATAAAAGCAGCTTTGTTATCACCCTAAAAGCCACTTGTTTTTCTTGTAAATCATTATTTTCTAGATATTTTGAAACATTGGAAAATAACACTATTTAAAAAAAAAACAACTAAAATATAGACAATGAATATCTTGTGAAATGCTATTATTTATCGATTTTTCAAAAGAATCACTTTTTTTGAATCTCAATAACTAAAAAATATATACTAGTAATAATTTTAGCTAATGGCCTTTTATGAATCGCGTAATGATAATAAAGTCTGCAATACTGAAACATCTTTCTCTGTATTTTCATATTTTTTATATCCATGTTGAAAAAGGTTTAATTAAAAAAAAAAAAAAATGCTGAAAAAGGTTTAATTAAAAAAAATGCATTCTTCTTAGGGAGCGTTCAAGTATTACGTAACGAATTTGGAGGGGAAGGGGGGGGGGGGGGGGGGTTTGTAAAACGTTACGATGCGTTACAGGGGCGGGAACTGAACTTCCCGTTACGTATCATTGTTATTTTTTAACCCTTCAGAAAAGTGGCGTATTTTAGCAACTTTCCGGTACTTTACGCCACATTTTTAGGTAAAAATAGTCACTTGGTGGTTACGTAACATTTTACTAGGGGGGGGGGGGGGGGGTACAGAAAAACGTTGCGGCGCGTTACATGGGGGGAGGGGGGGGTTAAAAATCTCCAAAAATTGCGTTACGTAATACTTAAACGCTCCCTTACATGATGATTAAATCACAGAAATAACAACTTAAAACTTAATTAACAAATTTACTAAAAAAAAAAAAAAACATATTATTTATTTTTTTTGCGCGATGGGCCGGCATTCTGAGGTTGTCTTCTCTTCTTGGGTTCCTCCACCACCAAATCAAATTTCTCTCTGATATCATTCACAACATCTTCTAAAACCAAATCTAGTTGCTCCCGGTTGAGCACCACATCTTCCACCTCTTCCATGGGGGCATCCAATAATTTGGCTCTAATATAAGCCTTTTTCTTTTCTAATGACACATCAGGCAACATGTTGGGATTGAATTCGAAGGTCAATTTATTGACTAATTCTTTGATAGCCAATTTTCTTTCTTCATTTTTTTCCTCTTCAGGATATTCAATCTTTGCTGGCCATATAATCTCATTTCCATAAGGGAGACGTTTTTCCAAAAACATTTGTTGATTATTTATAAGTACTGGGATCAATTCTGCATATCTCAACCTATCAGGCTGTCGAGTCTTCAAACAACAGACCAATACCTTATTGCTGGCTACACAATTATCCCAAAACTTTTTAAAAAATGGGAGTTCTTCTTTGGGATCGACTTTGATTAAATTTGGTTTAGAAAACACATGTCCCAACTCAACCTGTCTGTCTCCTACAAACAATAAAGTGATACCTTTGGGTAGGTTGAAGTCTTGGAAAGCATTCTTTTCACACAGATCAAAATGGACGCCCTCAGCTTTTCCTTCACCAACATATCTGATGCTGTAAACAGGGTTCGCGTCTCCAGGTACCTTCATATTTATCACTTTTTCACCTTTTGTGGTCATGAAACTGTTAGTCAATTGTATATTTGAGAATAATTGTACACGCTTGCACTTCAAAAACCTTCCAGAATCTCCTTTGAAGGGATAAAATAACACTTTCCTCTCGTTAGTTTTAAACAAAATCGTCGACGACAGTTTCTGGGCTAAACCCTCTGCATCAGTGCATACTTCTTCCTGTATCTTCGATCCCAATATAGCATATAACTCGTTATAAAAATACTTATAATTAAAACTTTCGATTGTTGGTAAAATTTGGAATTCGATCTGTTGCGCTGCAAATGTTTTTATTTCATTCAAAGCTGTAAATTTTGAATTTTTATCTGCAATAGGTCTGTCATCGTTGCTAATATAAATCAGCGTTCGTTTATAAAACATCGTTTTCACATCATGGAAGATTTTCTTGCAGGTCAAGAAAAACTCACCCAAATCCAAGTTACCTTTCCTCTGGTGGGTTTGTTGTAATTCTAAATCGGTCAAGTCTAACTTATCTTTCAACAGCTTGATGGTATCCAAAATGCTTTTACTGAAACCTATTAGCGGTGTAGACTCGCCTGTTAGCATTACGGCGAAGGGACTCCATGTTCTAGTGTCTTTGGTAAATATTAAAGAGTCGGCCAAGTTGTAGCACGCTTCTAAAGAGGCGCGAAATGGAGTAGAAGTTTGTTGTTTCTGAAACATTCCTGGATGCGTATCGATAGCTATAACGACATAAGAAGGCTTGAAAGAAGGGCTAAATAACTCGGTATCTTCATAATCACTTTCGTATTCCTCTTCGTTTCCGTACATTTTAAAGCCGGTTATTGTTATTTAAATAGTACGATTGAGCGGCAATTTGCAAACAACAAACAACTAAACATAACCACAAACAACAGGTAGCAGTAGCAAAACTTCTTCTTTTAGCTTTAGGCCTCCACCCTTTAGATATTTAGCCAGCGCAGGTAATTGGTCCTATGATTGAACGTTTACGTTATCCGTAACATACATGTTAGACCGAATTTTAAAAGTAACGAGGCAAGTTCGTATGATGGAAACCTGTTAAATTAGAACACAACAGGCGGAAAATAACAGTAATGTATTGGAAGAAGTTTTCCATCTTACGAACTTGCCTCATTACTGTTAAAATTCGGCCTAACATGTACGTTACGGATAACGTAAACGTTCAATCATACGACCCAATGGTTCCTATGATTGAACGTTTACGTTATCCGTAACGTACATGTTAGGCCGAGTTTTAACATTAACGAGACACGTTCGTATGATGGAAAACTTTTTCCAACACATTACTGTTATTTTCCGCCTGTTATGTTCTAATTTAACAGTTTTCCATCATATGAACTTGCCTCATTACTTTTAAAATTTGGCCTAACATGTACGTTACGGATAACATAAACGTTCAATCATAGGACCCAATATCTCGGGATTGAAGAACGTCTGGAATTTTCCATCTTCACATTTAAAAAAAAATCCATATTCACTCTTCCACTGATCATACTAATTCTTGATTGCAAGGCAACATGTTAAAACACAACAAAGGCTTATTTTTTAACCGACTTCAAAAAAGGAGGAGGTTATCAATTCGTCGCGATATTTTTCGTATTAGACGTTCGATTAGTATACAAGACTAGAATTAGAAGATGTGGTGGTGGAATATTAGTCTACCGGAATGTGAGGTACAAAGCTAGAGAGCATAGCTATAGCGGGGTTATTGTAGTTGCCTCAAGTTCGCTGTGAAAGCACGGCTTTGCCTAATACAAAATAATAAGTACTGTGTAAACTATATACAGCATCAGCATTGGTGTGAATCTGTGATCTGAATTATCGACTGTCGGTACCATCTTAATTTCATACATTTTGTAAACAGAGATAGTCTCCTTAATTCTACTCATAGTCATCAGTAATTTAGCATATTGACTACCTACTTTCAACAAAAATTAACTACGTAGAACAGAAGTAAAAGTTGGAAATGCTTTTGCCAGTTCTCCCACTTTATACACATAAATTGACAGGTTGGCAGCGGATCTCACCGAAGTGGACACGATACATTGGCGTACAAAATTATTTTATAGATGTTAATAACAATTTCGAGTGAATAGCTGTTGAAATTTTGTAAAATTATAATTTAAATATTATAATACATGTTTAATAATTATTTATAATCCATAAATACATGCGATTGTCCGGTTCCGCCGATAACAATTTAAAATTACTTATTCTATGAAACGACACTGGCAGGTAAACACTACTGTGAAATTCTCGGAGCCGCCCGATGTGGTTTGACGTTTACCCCCTCTCTACCTACCAAAAGACTTCAACTTTTACTTTCTCTATTAGGCATTCCAAACTGAATGGCTACCAGTGGGTTTTGACGGGGTATGATATGGCAAAATTATGGCAACCCTGTAGGCCTGGTGATTTGACAAGATCAATGAAATAGATAGTTACATAGATTGATCATCCATATTTTTCAAAATAAACATAAGCTTATGCATTAAGAGGGTTCTATACCCGTCCGCCATATTGGAAATGTTAATGTTCAAATTGCGGGCTTAATACTCACCAAAAAAAATATCTTTTTTGTATCCGTGCTTCTTATGCATCGTAGATTGGCGCATGATAACTTTTTTTTATAAACATAAAAACAAATAAAATGAAAAAAATATAAAACAAGTCATATACGTATAAATGTTATCATCCGCCATTCTTCATTTGCCACTGAACAACTTGTATATTTACCATTTTTGAAAAAAGTAAGTAGTTTTTTCTAAAATTGAACATTGCATAAAAATTTCACAGGGCACCGGGAGGTGCTGCCCCCAACGGTCCTCTTTTACGTTTGGATACCTTGATAATCAATATTTTCTATGCCAGATGGCGCACCACTCGCGAAAAGTATGTTCAGTTGCCTAAACCAATAAATATTACAGAGTTACTTTCCGATCGATGTATAAAATTGCAAACAACACGATACACAGAATAACGGTGTGTTCCTGCGCATGCAGCTGACTGACGGTGACGTCACGTGGGACAGAATTGTTAGTATTAAATGGGAAATAGTGTTTGAAATTCGATATATCGCCGGTTTTAGATTTTATGCAGTTACTTAAGCTTTATTGGTTATTTTGTAATATATTCGTTTACAAATATAAAGGTTTAAGGTAAATAATACTAATAAAAATAATAATTTTTTTCATAAATTCTACGTATTTTGTGACAAAATCCATAACCTGGATAAGATAAATAAAAAATATGGACTAAAAATATAAGTTTGACTGAAATTTGTACTTTCTGGGAGTGGTAGTTCCTTTTAAATTTATTTTCTTAGTATGCAGAAACAAATTATTTTTTTATAAAAAGCAAGTACACAAAAAATAATTTTTTATTTGGTAAATTAAACATTTTTTTGCCAAGTTTACTTTCAAAATATTCAAAACCAATTTTTCTATTCATGCATCTTATTCTTATATATGTTCCTGTCCTGCTCTTGCATAGTATTTCTTGAAAAGGGACCGTTGTATTGGGACAGGAAACTACCCCATGCACCTGGTGGAATTTAGTTTTCTTCTCTTGCGTTTATGTTTACTACTTTCCTCAAAGTAGATAGGGCAACTTCATGCTAAAATAATATTTTAGCAACTTTTCACTGTCTCTAAACCTATTACACTTGTGCATTTTACTAACCATTATTGTTTAAATTAAGTTTGTCCTTTCTATGATAAGAATTTATCCACATTTTGTGGCATTCGAAAATATCTTACATTACACTATTTTTGAATTTCGCATTATGGATTTTGCAAGTCTCCACCGCGCAGCCCGGCCATTTAAATATTAATTCAGTTCTTCCCTATTATATATAAGAAAATATAGTCACTACTAACACAAAAACAAATAAATTATTAAATTATTTTACACTATTCAATCAAAAAGTGTCAAAATAACTTGAAAGTTCGTCCCGAATTACGTCACTGCGCGGTTTGGACGAAATTTGAATCGAAAGTCAGTATACCGTTAGTGGCTAGTATGTGTATCGTGGGCAAACAATAAATATTGTGTATATTTGGCGAATTTTGAATTCAGTTCGAGCTTTTAGGTTCGATGTTGCCGTCTCTACAGATAGTTTGTGAATCCACAGACAAAGCTCATAGTAGCGTTGGAAATAGTCCGTTTTTAAAATACATTTCTACAAAAAATTTATTCCTAATGAAAGTTGTTTCTATTACGAAACAAAACAAAATTCACAGAAAAATAAATAGGGTGGGCATAAAATTGGTATAAAATAGGTAGTGTTACAGAATAAATACAAAATCCGAGCGCGAAATTATGAAACGAGCTTGTCGATTTTGGTCTGAAATTATAACATAACACACTTTCTAAAAAAATTATCCTAAGTTCAGCTCCGAAAATCTTACAGTCGGAAAAAATTAATAGGTACCGATTTTGCTTAAATAGTGGAGAAAAAGACATTCCTAGAGCAAAAATCAAGGGCGCTAATGGCGTTTTATAAAAGGCTTTGAGCATTTATAAACAAATAATTTTCTATTCTGTAATGTGCAAATAAAAGGAAAGAATGCCACCCTTGGCAACGTTGTAATTTTATGTGTTGTGATCAAAATAAGTGATCTGTCTGTGGTTGTCAATGTCATTGCGAATGCGAATCAAATAACAAATACATGTTTATTAGTAAATTAGGCATTCCAAACAAATGAAGCGCGGTTCTAAGGTTTGGAATCTCTAAAGGGTTGCGAAATACGATGTAGTCTATTTACAATACGTGAAATCAAAATTAATGAATTAAATTTAAATATTTTGTGTCAAGCACAATGAAAATATTATTTTTATAGAAACCGTTCATGCATTTTCTATAAATTGGCAGGCTTGGCGATTACTATTTCAAATAGAAATAGCGTCCAAGATTAAAGGCTATGTCGCAATCCCCTTAGATTTATGAGCCCTTCCAACTGACAACTATTGTATGACAGGTCTTTGGAATATCTAATTGTGTGAGAATAATCACTGTGACTTTAATAAATCGACAAAGAAGTGGTTTTTATTATGGGTCGAGTACAAATAAAAAAACAGCAAAAGATTGGTTGGATTACGTCACGTTTTGTGTTGTACAAGTCTTAAACTTGTACGATTATATATATTGAGCGTTTAGAGGCCGCATAATTAGGTTATCATTGGACGAAGACTGTTCAATACAGTATCTCTTAAATTTCCAAAATAAAAACTAAAACAAATAATATATTTACCTACATATATTTATACGCTTTTCTATTTATGAATGTGTGAAGGCTATAGAATAAAGTGCTTATAAAAGGTAATTATAATTAAAATATGCTCAAAAAACTAGAAACCGTGTTAAACTTATTAAATAAAAACCGATTATATATAGAAATCTAATTTTGTTAGTCATCAACGGCCGAAAATGGTACGTCTAGATGTTCTTATACGAGAATTGGTAGACTATGCAACCACAAATGCACAGAAATGTATTTCAGGCTGCCTAACAATTTCTTTAAAGGGGGGGGGTTATGGCGAAGACGTAAGGGACGAGGATTTTGAGGTTATGTATGAAATTGACGGAGCTGATGGGTATAGAACCCTCTTAAAGTAAAAATATAAGCAATTTGTACTGAATTCAGTACAAATTTAATAAATCTGGCACCCCTGTTTTCGTTGTGTATTTTGACATATGTCAAAATTATTATAAATATAAACTTAACCTTTAATTTAAAAGTTTTTGAATCAAAACACTGCGAATTCACGGCTCTATTTTAATAAAAATATGGAAGAAAATAAAGAAACTGCTTTAAATGACGTCCAGAGTTTGGCTACAATTTTCAAAGATGGTTTAAATAGCTATAACAGTATTATCCATAGTGACCAACCCACAAATAGTCATGAGTGGCAGGTATGCACAGAAAATTTATTGTTTTCGTCTGTAAATCTAATTTTAACGAGGATATTTTAGGCTAAAATTAAACGCACAATGAAAACTTTTGAACAAGCAACAAGATTAGTGTCTATCTCAGACTTATTTAGCACAAATGAAGGTATAGAAGAAATATCAACAAACGATCTTCAGTACTTTCTATTGCCTGCTTTGCTGGGTTCGCTTACTTTAAAATTAACCACAGGAGAACGGAAAGAGGTAGTGGACGTTGCAGAGATTTATTTTAAAGACTTTTTGAAAAGATGTAATGAATATGGTATAAGTAATTACCAGTTTAAGGAGAAGGACAAAGAAAATGATGATGGTAAGGAAAAGACAGAATTTGAAAAATTGGAAATATCTGTTAACACCAGAGCTAATAAGATACAAAGGTAAGGATTTAATTGAGTTCATATTACTAGAATTTTTTCGATTAAGTATTTTGTAGATTTAAAGAACAAAAAGAATTGAAATCAAAGTTGGAAGATTTAAAGAAAAATGTAGAAAATGAACATGCTGATGAAGAAATTAAAAGAAAATATTTCTTAACTATGATTAAGCTTTTCATTTATGAAGCTGTTGATGAATTAAATAGCATCAATATGGAAAAACCAATATTAGAACACATGGCAAATATGAAGGAGGACAAACCTGTACCGAAACGACCTCCTCCCCCACCTCTCAAGCCAATTATCATTACCAAAGATGATTTGCAGAAAGCAGTATTTGGGGCTGGTTACCCATCTTTGCCTGTAATGACTGTGAGTGACAATTTGCTTATTGTATTAAGAATTTTTGGAAAACTTTCAAGGCAAACAAAATTTTTTAAATATAAAAATATATTTTAACTACTTTGCTCAGGATAGTGATTGGTACAGGTGCCGTTTGCTAAACTATAATGTTTTTACATGCCTTCAGGGCATATTTTATTATCAGATTGCAGCCAAAATTTGCTTTGTAAATTAGATAAAAATTACACTTTGTATAATCAAAAATATTTTGTAGGTCCAAGAATTTTATGAAAAACGTGTGGAAGATGGTATTTTCCCTGATCCAAATAAACCAAAAGCACCGAAAGCTGGTTCACTGTCTCTTCAGGAAGCAGCTCTTGCTGGAGTATCAGTGCAGGAAGATGAAAAGGATGAGGTACGAATTGAAAAACTGGTTGAAGAAGATGACGACGAAAATATTGCAAGAATGAGAGCAAAGGATGAGTACAAAGATGATCATAGAAGAGGATGGGGTAATAGGATGAACAGAAGTTAGAGGTTGTTAAAAAAAAGTTTTGTTGTCTATTTTTGTATATATTTTCGTTTTTGTTTGGATTTATTCTTTAGAAATAGGTCTTTTTTTGATATAATTATATGATTTTTTTGTATTATAATTTGGAGTTCCCTGAAATAAATTATTAATACATTTATTTGTACTTTCTTTTACTCCAACAGGATATAATGAATAAAATCTAATGAAAATAAAAGTCTTCATTCATATTACAGTCATTTTAAAACTTTTCATGACACTAATTTTTGAACAATTAAAAATATAGTTCACTTCAAACATCTAAATTTTTATACTTGAAAATATCACAATGTGTTTTGATATTGTTTGTTGCTAAATTAATATGTAAGGTGATTTAGCAGAATAAATTTCATGTTAAAAAATGTAATAGTTTTCTAGTAAAAAACAATGATTGTTTCTACATAAATAGGATTGAAAATTCCAATGTGTTGTTTTAGGGTGAGATTACAAAAAATGCACCACATCTGCAACTCTGCAAATATGGCGGACTTACAGATGCAAATCAAGGATACTTGACTCTTTATTATATCCTTGCTTGTCTTGTATTTTGCATCTGTAAGTCCGCCATATTCTGTAATCTCATCCATAGTCTATTAAGCTTTTTCGAATTTACATTCAGGTATTTACTGATCAGAAATAATAAATGAACTCATTTTATACATATAAAATATTTCTTGTTACCTATGAACCATGGACTTCCTTAAGGAAGACACCTCTACAATAATAGAATATTAAAAAAAAAAATCATATTTTATGTTTAAATATTAACAATTTCCTTTCCCATTTAGTCCTTTCACTTTCATTAATTTTAAGCATGCAACAATCTTTGATCAAAATGTTTTCAATATCACTTTCAATACTTTCTCTGAATTTTAATTTGGAAAATTCAGGAAAAGTAAAATTAGTCCCTTTCATTCTTTTCACTGCAGTTTTGTAACATTTCCAAGGCTGTGGTTCCACAACAACTATTTCAGCGATAGAGCAAATGTACTGTAAAAACGATTTTAAACCAACATCACCATGGTTCAAATGTATCCACATTGTAGTAGAGAAGCAGAACAGGATTGAAAACTTATTTACATTGAAAGAAGTTAAATAATTGCTTATAAGTAATTTTCTGTTTATTTCGTCCATGATGTCTAAACATTTAAAGCTAGTGTTTTTCGAAATTAATTCTTCCGCACGTTTTATTAAAGCTGGATCGATATCAATACCTAGGATGGATGTATCTTTTGAAACATTTTCCATTAAAAATTCCTTTAATGCTAAAGTTAAGTTCTAAAAAATTAATATACTGTCAAAATAAAATAATACTTAGTATTTTATAAAATATTCACCCCAGCATTGCAGCCTATATCCAATGCAATACATGCTGTTCCAGTTATCCAAATATTTTTTGGTAATAATTTTACACGATCATCAGGAGGGTGAAACTGGTAATAATTTATAAAATTTCCATATTGTACAGCACCTGGATTTGCGCCCTTAAATTGTAATTTATTTGAATCCTCAGTGGGGCTCATTATCAGTTTTATTTTTGTTATAATTTTTAAACTTTGATATCAAGTATCTATCATCAATGCTGTATATATGTATACATTGCTCAACATTGTCATCACAGAACCGTTCTGGCCCAAATGTATTTTAAAACAAAATTTCAGCATTTGAATATTTAAAGAAAAAAAATGTTAATCTTGCTAAAATTTTACTGAAACTCTCTAGATTTTTTTAACATTTTAAAGTTTGTTGCAATCTCTTGGTGATCCAAGGCATCTAGCATATTTATAAAATGTACATTCAACAAATAAATTTGTAAAAATCTTAATAACGAGAAAACACTAAAGATTCTAATTTCTAAACCGGCTATGTAAGCGACAAAGCATAAACATTGCATGTATTTGTAATAAGATGGGGTATGAAATAAAATTTCGCCCAATAAAACCATTTTTTTGTTGTCCGATTTACATATGGGTGAGCAATCTATATAACTCTAGATCATTGGTTATAATTTTGTATCCGATCTGTATGAAGGGTTGCATATGTAATAGGCGAGGTATTTTCTTACAAATGTCATTTTGACTTTTGATTAAAGAACGTCATAAGAAGGTGCGTCAGACCTTGCGTCACTCCATATGATTTTCCTTATTCCGTTTAAATAATGAGCTTTCACAAGATTCTCGAGGTGCATGACCACATACATTTATAATGACGAATTGGACACTCTCTTAGATGATCTAATTAAACAATTAAAAGTGAACGCTAGTGATATTTGTGATATTTTTTTGTTGAATAATGTTACAAAAAACTCGGAGCAAGGTAGTGCGACAAGTGTTTTGATATTTTCCAAACTGAACTAGGTGCTTTTTTGAACAAATAACATATTTCTATTAAAATTTCGTTGTTAAATAATGGGATTACTGTTTGCCAAACTTTGGAGCCTTTTCGGCAACGAAGGTAAGGAGTTTTGAAAATTTCGAGGTTAGATTGCATTCAATTTTGAAAAAATTTGATTTTTTAGAACACAAAATTGTTATAGTAGGATTAGACAATGCTGGAAAAACGACGATATTGTATCAGTTTTTAATGAATGAAGTCGTTCATACTAGTCCTACTATTGGTTCAAATGTAGAAGAGGTTGTGTGGAGGAATATCCATTTTATTATGTGGGATCTTGGGGGACAACAGTCCTTGAGGGCAGCTTGGAGTACATATTATACGAATACCGAGGTGAGAATTTTTATTTATATTACAAAGTTCCTTACATTTAAAATCCAATTTGTTGATTATAAAATTAGTTAAAACGTATCAATTCTGATATATCAGTTATTTATTGTATTATATTGTAACTTTTGTAAATATTTGAGACTTATATTATGGAATGTCCAAGCAAATTTACTATTTTCAGCATTTTAAAATAAATTGCTTTATTTGAATCAATTATATTAATTTTTAGACTATTATTATCAATTTATAATTAGAAATCTTTTAATTTTGTCATTATCTTTAAAAACAATTATCATCTACAGTTATGTTGATAGTTCCTATTTAAGTAATATTCATTTAATCGTTTTATTGTAATTCTTTGTTAAATTCAAAAATTTTGTTTAATTTTTAGTAAGAAGGAGATAAGACATGTTTGGTTTCATTATCTCTTTACAGATATATAAATAGTTTCTTGTTAGATATAAACAAGCTCTTGTTATTTTTTAAATGATTGTTTTACAAAATTAAAGAAAGTACTTGAAAAACAATTTTTTTTTTTTATAAAAAGAAATAATTTCACTATGACTGCTTTTGGTCAGTAAATTGTTTACTAATAAAATTCTTGAGTGATTAATGTATTGAGTTGTTAACAATAAAATAACCACTTTTTGTTAACTTGGTGATTTAATATTTAGGTTGGTACATACCAACCATTATGTAAATGTCAAAAACTTGTTTTTCTCATTATTTATTGTAAAGTGATGGCTTTGCATTGTTTAAATTTGGGGATTAATCATACTGTGATACATTAATTTGATTTTGAATATTGAATGAAATTGAGTTGTTTATCAATGATCAATGTTTGTATTTAAAAAGAGGGATTACTATTTGAAATTTATTTTTAGCACATTTCTTTTTTGAAGATTTTTATTTGCTTTTAAACATTTTTTTTTTTTTTTTTTAAACTTAATAATATATATTTTTTTTTATTTTGGATCAAAATACAAAAGACAAGAAATTTTGCTGTTTGCAAACTTGTTATGCAAGAATTGCTACCATATGTAGGTTGGAGAGGTCCTGCACTTGTGCAGAATGCCAGATTATGTGCATGGTACCAGATTTATATGATACCCCAGGAATATTTAATATTTACCTTATTTCAACAAACCAAAACAAGGAATTTTATTACCATTTTAAATAAAAAGACTATCACACAAACGTTTATTTTTTTTTACATATTTAGATAAATGTAAATACATAAAACAAATATTTTTTTTTAATGGCATAGACTCTTGGTCAAATATTACATTAAGATTTGTGGTTTGTTAAACATTTTTCTTGAATAGATTGTTTTTCTAAACCTTTAAACAACATTAAAGATTTATGATGTGAAAACTGAGCATGCTCAAGGCCTGTTTGCGTCTGCAAAAAACGATTTAGGCGAATTTTAAATACTAGTAGTATATTTGAATGAAATTTACTATTGTATCAGTCTCGTATTCAGAAGATAGTGGGTTTGAGCCGTCTGGCCTATTAGGTATCAGTTTTTCAATGGTTTCCTCATAGTAATAGGCAAATTCTGGGTCAGTAACATCCTCTCAGATACCACCATTTGTTCCACCCATCCCAACAGACCTTATCTCTAATCTTCCTAGTATGACTGAAGAGGTCAGAAGAGCTTATAATAGCGACCAGTTTCCAAGTGGGAAAATTAAATACATATCCCTTATTTTTACGACAGATATACCTGAAGTCGTCAAGGTCATATATACAGTGAATAGAAGAGGTCCTAGTACCTTAATACCTTTTAGACGAAGTTGTCCATTTTTAGATATTGCCAATTATAAGTACTGTAAAAAATCTCGTTCTGAGTGCACAAGAGAGTGAAATTCACTTAAGAAGAAGCAATTGGAAATAAATTTCTTCATCTAATGTCATAAAGTACAAGAAGTGCGTTGACAAGTAGAGCAAATACAATAATTTCAATCCCCAGTATAAAGAAAGTTACCTTTCTACAATAACTAGTTGGTTTATAGTTTATAAACTGTATAAAAACTGATTATATATATACTCATAATAATTATTCCCATCCTGGTCAGACTGTAATAATAATAATAATAAATTTGTTTGTTTAAGACAAACTTATATACTGCTAAAAATTATAACACCAAGAGTGACATTTATTGGTTTATAATTTACAACAAATTACGTTATTTTTAAATAAAAAAAAAGCCATTGTAAATATTTAAAAAAGAATGTGGAGCATCTGCTGCTTATCACCAATCAAGTCATGTACTGGTATCGTCAACACCATAAAATTCTTTGTTCCACATTCATACACATTTTTGCCATTATCAATGAGAAAACAATGTTAGCTGTTAACAGTTTTCTATTCTTGTTTTGAAAGTCTCGATCTCAGAAGATGGTGTCACTATAACAAAACGATGGCAATATTGACAATAAAAACGCCGGACATTTTAATATTCTTAAACAGCATTAAAATGCATTATTTTAGGGACTCGTGATTTCTGTATTTGAACATGGTAATCAAAGTGAGATTATACAATTTAGACGATAACAAGAGCAGTTAGTCATTTCAACACATTTTTTCGAATAAAATTTCGTGAGTTTTTTTCTGTACATATTAGTTATGATGCAGAGGTATATTACGTTAGCGGTAGCGTTCATGTAACTAAATCAAGAGTTACGTAAACTTGGAGTTGTCACAAATTTTTTTATGACATTCTATAAACAGTTCAATTTCAAAAAATTATATTGTTTGGAAATCATTGTAAGCTGATAGGGAAAATTGCGTAGTTAAATAACTCGTCACTAAATTAATTTAAATCGACATTGTTGACTGGTTTCTCCTATTTATGAGAAAAATGATTCCAGGAAAGATAATGAAATTGTATCCTATATCATAAATGAAAAACTGATGTTTATTTAATAAATAAAACCTGATTATAAATTTTTATTTAATTAGAATACAATAACGATTTGTTTGGATCGATAACATTATTCCACTCAATTACGAGGATAGGTTCAAAAGTTATTTCAATGATGATGAAAATAACCTAATTGTCGTGTAAAATCGCTTATTTAGGAAAATATTAAGTTTCGGAAGCAGATGAAAGCTTGAAGAGTGCTTAAAGGTGGCAAATCAAAATAATATACAATAATAATTTCTAACATTTGATTGCATATTTTGACCAAAATACGTTTCAAGTTCAATTTAACTATTTTTCAATGTATTTATACGCAGTTATTACATCACTCTAATAGCAGTATCCAATGAAACAAGATGATTTAATTAGACTGTCCTGTTGATGTGATGTAAATATAATGTCATCAGTTCACTATTGCTACAGAATTAATAATTGTGTGCTGTAAATGAACGACAATGTTCGCGATTATAGGGTTGTTATTATTATTCCTACAACACTTATCCATTCACTCATTTATTTGAATTTTACTTTCAAAGTGTGATTTAAAATCAGGCCTTCGTCCAGCTCTAAGTTTTCTCTGAATTGACGTTGAAGTCTTTAAGAATTTATACTCACGAGAAGGGCCTTATTTTTCATTTATTGCTTTTTTTAGTTTGTAATAGTGGTTGTAGACTCAACAGACAAAGAAAGGTTAACGGTGATAAGAGAAGAATTGTACAAAATGTTAGCGAACGAAGAACTATCAAAAGCAGGCGTCTTAGTGTACGCCAATAAACAAGACGTCAAAGGTTCGATGTCTGCGTCGGAAATATCCAAAGAACTCGATCTAACCTCAATCAAGCAACAGCAATGGCATATACAGTCTTGTTGTGCCCTTACGGGCGAAGGGTAAGTACATCTATATCTTCAATTTTTTCCGTTGTTATTCACAAAATAAACAATGCGGCAACGTTGGTTAAACTATTAGTATGTTTACACCTGAGTATCTATTCTTAGTTTCAAAAGCAATACAATAGAAATAGTTCGAATTATAGGGCATTTTTATATATGAATATTAACCATTTAAAACCAAGATTTTTTTTTAAATAAATAAATAAACACTAATATTATTTTAGATAATATAAAATATGTCGTTTTTTTGTGGAAAAGGGTAGAATTAAAATACCTAAATCATGTCAAACTACTGAATAAAGTTTTAGTTGAACTCTTCATGATTTTAATGCACAAATCATTTTTAAAAATGTAAAAACAAAATGGACAATATTTATTGCTTGAATTGATGATAATAATAATAATAACGTGTGTAATTTGTTGCGAAATCCTATTTTGATTTTTGATAAACAGTTTTAACGAGATATAAACATTGTTGTTTGATAATATTATTGACAGATAATTAAGACAGTAATAAAAAACTAATTAACGTTTAAGTATATCTTGTATACTTTAATAATAATGTCTTTACGTGACGATTTAATTTTCATTTATAAAGGATATTTCAAGAAAAGTTTCCTAACATTTTTTTTTACTTTTATTAGCGCAAACTCTTTTCGAGACATTCTATTTTTCGTGAATTCTGAGTATAATTTTAGCAATGTAGCGATACACAGTAAAACAACGTGTTTACATTATTAGGATTGATTTTGAAAATGGATTTACTATAAAACCACACATCGTGGATTACTTTGGTGTACAAAATATTCCCGCAACAAAACTATGCAAGGTATCAGTGTCTAAATTGATAAGCTCCTTTTAGATCGTCAGCCAGCCTGTAGATTTGATGTAGTTGACAACGCCGCCGAGAGTTGCTTCTCTTATATCGGCCGGTGTTAGCCTAAATTCACCAAACACAAATCTTCTAATTAAATGAGTCTCATCTTCTTTTTCGCACTTCCTGAACAGCCCTATGCTATGGATATGCTTCCGTACTTGATTATGACCAGTCAGAGTCGCTGTGATTAGGTCCAAATTATTTCTAGTCATAGTTAAATATTTGTATTATGCTTTTAAAACTTTTATTTACTATCAACAATAGAAAACTCTTATTGGAATATCCATTATATTATATTTGAGAGTTTTCCTCTTTATTTATAACATACTTTCTTTCATCAACAATTTAAATAAACGAGCCAGTAAAAAAGATAAATATTGTAATTGGTAACTTATTACATTAATGTTTAAAAAAACCTTGAAATTATCGCGAATTTTAAATAGTTTCTTTAGAACGAGTATGAAATGTATTTTTTTTAAGTATCTCTATAATAAAGATTATGCCATATTTATGCCGTTCAGTGTATTATATATTTAAATCACCTATTACTGTCTAATTTGAAATTTTGTTTATCTATTAATGGTTATTTCCTCTAACTTATGCATGCTGATACATACCTACATAGTCATTAGAATTTGATTAAAACAAAATTCCTAGCTTGTCCACCTACAGGGTGTTTCAAGAGGTGAATGACAATGATATCAGGGCCACGGTGATCAGACAGAACAGAACTTGACAAAACAGAACAGGACAAAAGAGAACATGACAAAATAGAACACAGACAAAACAGAACACAGACAAAACAGAACACAGACAAAACAGAATACGGACAAAACAGAACACAGACAAAACAGAACACAGACAAAACAGAACACAGACAAAACAGAACAAGCACAAAACAGAATACAGACATAACAGAACACAGACAAAACAGAACACCGACAAGACAGAACATATCGACGGTCTACTGAGAGATTTTAAAATCACGTAAGAAATTCAACTTTAATTGTAGATTTTTAAAACAAGTCTTATTGATAGTAAAAATAAATCAATGAAACTTGTTCACTCAATTTTTGTTAATTAAATATTTTTTTATATCTAAACAGTTCTAAATTAGCTAAATTAGGCAAATCGTATTTCATTTTATAGTTTAATACAGTGAAATCATAATAAAATCTTTAAAATTTGGTAAATGTCAAACTTTTGAAAGAAAAAGGAAACTACTCTACGTTTCCGCGGTTTTGCAGTAATACGTTGTTGCCATATTTATTTATTTTTTTAAACTATTAAAGGAAATTAGATCACTATACATATATTAATTGAGTGCCAATACTTAAGGGTGTGAATCCTTAGGTGATTTTAAGAAGAAAACATATGTCGTAACGCACTTAATTTTTGAGCTACAGGGTGGTACAGTTTTAAGAAAAAAATTACTTTATCATAATTTTTTTATCACTCCAGATATTTCTATGAAATTTTGTACACACGTTTTAATAATTAAGGAGCATTTTTTGACGTACAAGATTTTTTTAAATTTTTACCACTGACGACCGTACGGGGTTTGAACTGAATATTTTTGAATAAAAAAATGGTACGCCACTGTTTTTTCTGAAAACCAAAATTATTTTTGAAATCATCATTTATTTTGGAGCAAAACCATTGTAGTGGTTGGTCAAATTTTTTCCTTAAATTCATTTATACCTACTGTCTTTGATATTTTGTTGAAATCTGGTAGGCACCCACCATGCGTGGAAACATTTTTTTGGGACAAAAATTAATTTTCTACGTTTTGAATAGAAAAAAAATGGTAAGCGCATTATTGCCCTCTTAAAGCAAATTAAATAAACATTAGTAGGCTGGGTAAAGCGTCATCATTTTTAACGTTTCTTTTCATAAATAAAGACAATAAAGTTGACATTGATTTTACATTATTAAATAATTATTATTAGAGTAAGAGTTAAAATCTGAAAAAAAAATGGTAAATTTTACGAACAGTGAATTAGCTGACATGCATTTTAGTTATGGGCTTGCAGACGGAAATGCATACGAAGCCAGACGGATATACCAAGAGCGGTATCCAAATCGCGTACTACCCGGTACGAGAACATTTTCTAGGATTCATAGACGTCTTCACGAGACCGGAACTTTAAAAGTAGACCACAGGGCTAAAGGAGTCCATCAAACAGTAAGAACACCGGAACTTGAAGAAGGAATTTTACATGAAATTGAGGAGAACCCCGAAACTAGCACGAGGAGAATCGCGTCAACATTTAATGTTTCACATGTACTTGTTTGGAAAATTCTCATCGAAAATTTGTTATACCCATATCACATTCAAAGAGTCCAGGCATTATTCCCTAGAGATTTCCCGTTGCGCATTAATTTCTGTGAGTGGTTTCTTCAAAACCTGCTGGAAAATCCATTATTTGACAGGCACATTCTTTTTACCGATGAAGCTAATTTTTCTCGAAACTCAATAATAAATTTCCATAATAACCATTTATGGGCGGATGAAAACCCTTATGCAATTGTTGAGTCAAATCATCAAGAACAGTTCTCATTAAATGTTTGGGCTGGCATTATTGATGATTATTTGATAGGCCCATTTTTTCTCCCAAGAAGACTTGATGGACAATCATATTTACACTTCCTTGAAGATGATCTGCCGCCAATGCTTGAAGACCTTCCTCTTTTATTAAGAAACCAGATGTGGCTAATGCACGATGGTGCGCCTCCACATTTTAGCTTACGAGTGCGTGAATTTTTAAATCACACCTATCGCAATCGGTAGATAGGTCGCGGACACGGTGTACTATAAGGTGCATCAACTCCTATTTAAAAACAAATGAAAACGGCGATAAAACCGATCGTACTTCCTAGCTAAAATCCGCTAGGTTCGCTAGTATCTATCCGGCGAGAAAGTAAATAAAAGATAAAAGTAGGAGCTGCAATTTAAAAAGTGTTGACAGATAAATATTTTTTAAAATCTTAAAATATATAAATCATGGTGGATCGTTGTGCTGTTTTTAATTGTGATTATGGGAGAGAGTCTTCAAAATATTAATAGCAGTTTTATAATGCCAAAAAACAGTTATACAGAATATGGTGCAAATTATTGGTGGTATGAAAATAAACATTAAACCCAAAAGTTCCATTTGTGAAAAACATTTTAATGCAAATTATGTTATCCGTGAAAAAGTGCTAAGAAATCTACTAGGAAACGTTATTTTTCAAGTAAATATAATTAATGTCTACGTTTTAAATGATTGTAGGTTATGTAAATAGGTTATTCAACTTTGTCTTTTCTGTAATAAAAATAATTATTAGTATAAAGTTTTACTATATAAATATTTCGTATTATTTATCCTGTCTCCTTGGTACTAATAATGTTATGACTTGGACCCTATTATAATGTGTTCATGATATAAATTTCATATACACAAGGTACCTATTTCTTTTGATATTTTTCTGACCCTGCGAATAAATAAAATCTTTGACTTATTCCTTTTAGCCTGATTATAATGCTAGAAAGTTGTATCTGGTTATAAGAATCAAATAGATACTATGATAAATTTATTTTACTTGTAGCCTTTTTATTTTTAAGTGTTCAAATATACATTTGTTTAATAATAATCATCCCCAAATGTGTTTTGTTCCAGTTCTTTAAATGTATTTACTAGGTTTTTATAGAAGTACTGATTTTAAATTAATAAAAATTTGAGCTGTAAGAAATATTTAAGATTTTTCAATTCTGTATTTTTCGTATTTTTATAGGAGTTAATAATCCCTTTAAGTAAATAAATGTAGTTCGGGGTCGTAGATGTTGGTAATTTGTGTATTGAATAATTTGTACATACACTGGTTAATAATTTAAACAATGTTCTTTCTGATGTACCTAATAATTATTTAAGGTTATCTTAGTCTAGAAATCCGCATATTCACACACACCACTCTGAAGTCTAGAATTTGACACAAATTTGAAGTTAAAAATAACGATCGTATTACTTAAAAATCTACAGATTTTTTTAATTTTTAATCGATGTAAAAATTGGTAAATACATGATAAAAAGTAAAAGTTATTTCAAATAATTAAATATAACTTTGCAACTATATGTTACGATTCCAACTATCAGAACTAGCCAGAACAAGAATGGTGCATTTCCAGACCCTTCAATTATAAGATTACCATTATTTAATGTGCAGCGCAAATATAAAAAAAAACTACCTAAAAAATGCTGTTCTACTACTACTTCTCAAAGGAGACAAGAATGTGGAAAGTATTGCTGATACAGTTACCGAAGTTATCCACTGGGGGTGAAGTGTTAATCTTTTAGGAATATAGGAAATATTTCTTTATATCTAACAACTTAATATTTATTTATTGATAAGTTATAGATACTATGTATTTGAAATTCGAAGTAATCATTATGACAGCAGTGTTCTTCTTATTGTATTCGAATTCTAACACAAATAAAACATCTCATTAAATTTTTGTTAAAATTATTAATTTATTAATTTTACATTAGAAAGAAAATTAACAATACACACAAAATTATTTAAAATTAGAAATAAATACAATTTACACATTTCCCATTATTACACTTTTACTTACTTAATTTATTCATTTCTTATATTAACAATTTAAATTAATAATATAGTTCATTATTTCATTGGAACTCATTTTATAATTTTACTAATTATTTTTTTATATTTATTTGTGGAAAATTAAATATTAAATAAAAGCATAGGAATTGTTCTATTAGATAATAGCAGTAATGAAAAAATAAGTAGGAAAATTTCAAATGTATAGTTTCCAGATTTATTATGAGTTTTTCATATTAATGTACTCAATAAGTAGGTTTATTATGTTCGCTTGTACACATCACAGCAGCAGACAGTAACAAACCTGACAACACTTCCGATTTCAGAAAAAAAACATTACAACAATTTGTTTTACATTATATATTTCAATAATGTAATATAATAATCATTTATATTTAATTAATGACAAGGTTTACTTTTTAAATAAAACTATATGAGCCCTGTCCCGTTTCAATTAGCACACTTCTCAAATTTATAGTGACTGTCACTACAAGAACAAATCATACATAAATCTGATAAATTACTTTTATTTTTTTAACCCTTTCACTTCTACTTTCATTAAAAAAAATACCATTGTAGTAGATTGTATGTTTTCTTTGTTTATTTTAAGTAAATTAAAATTTTTTCATAGTATTTTTTATTACTCCAAGACATAACGTCCCTGTTCAGGGACATTACAAAAACAAAAATTTACTATGAAAATAATTTTTTTTATAATATTAATCCTTAAAAGTAATGCAAATAAAAGTAAATAAACTAAAAAGAAAAAATTTCTACCAAAATTAACAGATGTATACTTCAGGGTTAATTAAGACAGTGTCCCTCTGGAGGGACAAATACACTGAAAGGGTTAAATATTTACAAATTTTCATGAGTGTTTCATCACCTTTAACTTTGATAACGGCAATAATTCATTAAAACATTGTATTTACAAGTTCTTGAAAATCTTATGTGCAGGGAACCTACTCCATATTTCTAGATTACCCATTTGCTTTAATTCTGGCAGTGATCTTGTGGGTGCTGCACGCCTCTGCTTAAAAATTATCACCCCATATACAAAAAAGCATCTTTATTAAATGAACAAGAAACTAAAAAAAAAAAAATAAGCATTATTAAAAACTACAAAAAGTGCATAATTTGAAAATCCATATTCAAGCTTGAGATTTGTAAAATTAAAAAAATTCCAAATACACATTTAACTTGTTCAATTATGTATTGAATAAAAGGTCTGTTCCAACAATGATCAGAAACAAACCACTGGGTAGTACACAATTTTGCAGTATCGATAAACTACTGTGCAGAATCCTGATGTCAGCAACTCATTTCTGAGCATTGTTGGAACAAACCTAAAGTAAATCGAAACCACTTAAAAACAAGCACAACATTTATACTCGAGCATAATTTTTAATTCCTATCAAAATTTTTAATTACTGAATATTTTGTTCTAGTTATATTAAAATTTAAAAGTTCTTACTCTTCATATATACCTACATACTATCTCTAACATTTTACAAATTTGATGCCTAATTAAAGATGTCATCTAGCATTGCAGCATTTTTAAGAATATTTGAGAGAGCATAGTAGTAACTGCCAGTTAAAACTTTATTTCTAGTATTTAGTTTAGGTAACAGAGACAACGCTTGGAACAGAAAATACATACTTTTGTTAATTCAGAATTTTTAAATGTTGTTTTATATTATAAATCTTTCCAGGTATCGGGTATCCTATATCATTTTTTTTTATAATTTTCAACCAAAACTGTTTAAAAACAAAAAGTTTAATAAAACACCCATTATATTTAATAAGGTTTATGCTCTAAAACTCACTGTTCTTTTAATGGCAGATTTTTTAACCTCTGAGTAAAGTTAGGTGTAAGTATAATCTATAGCCTAATCAGCAAGTAGTTACTTTCAACTTTATTCAGAGGTAAAAACCTGGCCTTTAATCTTAATATAATTGTGGAGGATGGAGACTACATTTGCTAGGGATTAGGGAATAACGAAGATCTGACTACTATAATGACACTTGCTAAAAACTGTATAAGTTCTATGTACATGCAGATAGAACCATGTGAATAACTTTAGTGCTTCGATAACACAACATTGAAAATTAACAGATGAACATATTGGTCACAAAAACAAATTAAATAATATATTCTACCAATCTCATTTTTTCCAAAAAGTACAGTTACAACCTTGTTATTCTTTGAGATGTATTTATTACTGATACTTATTAATAAAAATAATAATTGATATAGGTACTTACTAATCTTTGGAAACATATATACTCCAGTCCAGTGAGACTTCATTATTCTGGTATAATGCTATTTCACAGAAATGTTTGTAATTCCAATCACTATGTATGGATTTGATTATAGTAGGTATAAAACTAAATGTTTATTGAATATCTTTAATCTGGGCAATGAAAATCACAAAATTCACTTTAAAAATAATAAGCTTCAATCTGAGTACCATAGTTAAGGTCCACTTCTTCATTTTATAATCAGTAACCCACTGTATTGCTGTTTTTGCCAAAGCCAAAGGTAATATTTGAACACAAAACAAAATCAGCTGTTTTTTATAAGCACCCCCATTTCACTTATTTAGTAGCAAGTCTCTGGCAGCAACTTGTAACTTAATTGGAGCATATTTATTAAATCTTGAACACTTTTTTTGATCGTATAAACTCACACATCAGTGCAGCTTGTTTTAAAAAAAAAAACACTTATAAGCAACCATCAATAACAATAAACTTATTTGTTGACCATTAATTTTTACATCTGTACTCCTTCTGATAGTTTTGTCATTTTTCATTTCATATAAACTCGAATTTTCACCATAGAAGAACTATTTTTATGATTGCACTTTTTTGACAGATAAAAAGATTGCCGCAATTTTCCGCCGTAACGACACTAGCGAACCTAGCGGATTTTGGCTAGGAAGTACGATCGGTTTTGGTATGTTTTTTTCAGGGAGTTGAAACACCTTTATAGTACGCCGTGGTCGCGGAGGAACGCAGTCATGGCCGCCTAGATCTCCCGACCTTAATAGTTTAGACTTCTTTTTCTGGGGGCATCTGAAAAGCTTAGTGTACGCAGTGCCGATTCAAACCGAAGAAGAGTGGAGGACACTTCCAACAATTACTGTAAATAATTTGGGTTCTTTATTTTGTTTGTATTCTCTTGTAATTTCGTTTTAAATTCAAGATTTTGAATTTTCATTTTACTATAAATAAATCCCGATTTTTAAAATACATAGAATTTAAAAAAATCAGAGGTGTACGTTTTTTTTTTCTATCCAAACATTCAATATGATGCCTACGTGGCCGTCACTGGTGGAAGTAGAAAATTAATTTTTGCCCCAAAATAAGTGTTTTCACGCATGGTGGGTGCCTACCAAATTTCAACAAAAAATCAAAAGCAGCTTAAGGAAAAAAAATTTTGGTTTTTATTTTTTTACGCTAACACAGTGCATCGTACGAAAGCAAGTCTATGGGCCAAATTTGCTCAAAAATTAATGAATATTTCAAAAATAATTTTGGATTTTAGAAAAAGCAGTGGCGTACTATTTTTTTCTTCAAAAATATTCAGTTCAAACCCCGTACGGAAGTCACTGGTAAAAATTTAAAAAATCTTATACGTCAAAAAATGCTCTTTAATGATTAAAAGGTGTTTACAAAATTTCATAGAAATATCTGCAATGATAAGAAAATTATGAAAAAAAATATATTTTTTTCTTAAAACTGTAACACCCTGTAGCTCAAAAATTAAGAGATTTATGACATATGTTGAACTTAACTTTTCTTCTTAAAATCACCCAAGGATTCACACCCTTAAGTATCGGCACTCAATTAATAAACACCCTGTATAAAACAAACAAATATAGTATAAGGTATATTTAATATACATAATAGTTTTTATTTTTCTTTTTCAGGTTATATCAAGGCTTAGAATGGATAGTAAGCAGGCTGAAGAAAAAATGACACCGTCACAGATTCTAATTTAGAAATATTTCGTTATCGTTTTGTAAAAAAAAATTAAAAAAAAAATCTGAGGACACTTGTACAGAAAGTTTCTCATATTGAGAAAATCAACATCTGATTTCAGTAAAAAAAATCGACCGTTGTTTTCTATTTTACAAAATGCTCTTTTGCTTCAAGTACAGGGTGTTCTAAAACGTAAAGAAAATCTATAAGCGTTTCAATATTATAAATATTTTTTATTTGCAATTCAAATGATGGAAGTTTTATATTTTTGATTCGTATTTCAGAAACTTTCAACAGTTCAGGTATTAATAAATTCTCATCGTATTTTCGCTATATTTATATTGATTATCCACAAAAAATAATAATTAAGCAAATTTAGAAATACAATTATGATTGGTAAATAAATTGCTTTTGGTTTCGGCTACATCACACTAATGTTTTAGAACATCCTCGTTATATTTAGAGCAAGTTATTACGAATAAATAATTAAAATAAACGATAAAATCGATTCACTGCGAGAGAAAGATCATACAAAATCGGGTTAGTAGAATAATGTTGACAAACTCAGGTAAATAATTTTTTGTGGAAATTTTGATTTGATAAAAAAATAGCAAATTTATTGTTTGATTCTCGCTTATAACATAAATCAGTTAGGAATAAAATTTGGTGTCACACATTCTAAAGAAAAAACTTTTTTCGTGTCTTATCCTCGCATCGTTTTATTCTACGATACTACACTGGAGAACAAACATTATTACACCTCTCCAACTACCAAAATACTCTTCAGTTTCTATCTATGCTCTACTATGCGACGAGGAGTAAGAGGAACTGATGACAAGTGAAAAGAACTGTTATTTATTTTTATCACATATCTAACTTTTCTGTAGTTTGACAACATTGTTCGACGACAAAACTCGCCACTAATTCGACATTAGATTGTGATTTTATTAAAATAAATTGTTTAAAGTCCATTTTTTTTAAAATACGAATTATTTTTTATATAAACAATATATCTTTCTATTTATTTTTTAGATTTACATTGAACAACACGATTGATTCATTATGTTACAGTTTGGACTAATTATATTTCGATTTGTATCTATTAAAAATTAATTTCTTTTTGTTTTAGTCTACGTAACATTTAGTTTTTTTGTTGTACCTAATTTAGGGTTAAGTTTTGTAAATTTACAGTTAGGCCAATTGTGTAAAGACGAAAAATTAGTAATAAAAGGTATTTAAATATATATATTTTTTTTAATAGAAAACATTTGGGAATATTCGTGGATGCAGCAGCATATATTAGGAATTTAATTTAAAAAAGAAATACTCTTTTGTTCCTAATCAAAACTCATAACAGCCAGAAAAATCTACGGAATGTAGGACGAAAACATGATACCATCCTTTTTAAATATGTGCGTATTAATTAGTGCCTCAACTCAAATCAATAATGGCTAGGGACTTTGCGATATAATAATAATAAATATACTTTATTCTATAAATATAATTATGTAATTACATTAATCTAATCGTTTTCAATTAAGAAAAAGTACAGTAACCTACGAGGTATAATGTAATACCTATATGTAGGAAAATATAAACAATACAAAATAAAATATAAACTATTATAAAACCACATATTACATACATGTAAGAATGATTGTGATGAAACTCTAATATGGGTAGGGTAACTAAAAATAAATCTAACTATATAACTAACTATATAATACACACAACCAAACTTATATGGAATCATCTATTATTTTTCATAATTTTTGAGATGTATGGACATTTTATTTTTTATGAATAAAACTCGGTCCTTACTAAAGACTTTTAATGACAAACAACCCACATAGCAATAATAGTTATTTATGCAACAAGTGTGTAAAGTTACCCTTTTTTGAAGAATGTGAATGTTGTCGCACGAGCCGTAGACGAGTGCGACAATCACATGAGTCAAAAAAGGGACTTTACACACGAGTGGCATACAATATTTTTTCTACTACCGTACACATAATCCACTAATATTAGAAATATAAAAGTTACTTTTTTTCACTAGTGAAAAAAAGTACTTTAACTTTACGCACTAGTGAAAAAAAGTAAAATGTGCCAAAAATTGTACACATCAACAAAAATAAATTTATTGGAACTTTACAAATTTATAATTCTTACAGAACAAAATGACTAACAAATGAAGAAATATTTAAAAAAAATAGGTTTTTAACTCTTATGAATATTAATATTGAATGTTCAATTATTGCAATTACCAAAACTTAAGGTTTTGGCCTTTTCCAGCACAGAGTTTGAAAAATGTTGTGATATTACTTCTGTAACCCTATTTTGAGCTTCGAATGGTATGGATTTGGCCTTTTCAAGTAAAGAGGTTGAAATATTTTGTGTAACTCTAGTTTCACTGTCGAGTGGTTCCACTAATTCTTCATTAGAGTTGTCAACGGTAAAATTGTAGCTTTGTTTGGAAGTGGATGGCATACTGTCATCCAACAAAATTTTATTAGAAATTTTGTTTTTTTTTTGTGTTATTGTGCTGCCTACGTAGCCTTCTGCAACAGCAGATGATTTCCATCCTCCATGTTTTTTGACCGTTAGAAGGTCTCCTCCAGAATTTGCCAGCATAGTGGCTGAAGACCTCCTAAAGCAGTGTCCTGTAAAAGCCGTTGGATTGGGCAAGTTTAGATACGTTGCTATAACACTTGGCATTTTACCAAAAGTATTTATCCCTACAGGCTGTTTAGAATATTTTCCATTTGCGAATTTTAAAAAAAATTTGTTACAATTTATATTTGATGGTCTTAATGAGGTATATTTTTTTATGAAAGTTAAATAATCAACTGCAGAATTATTTGGATTTAAAATCGTAAAAATGCGTTCTATTCCATTTTTGGTTTCTGATACTTTGACAATATACACTGTTTGTTTATCTTTCACATCGTTAATTGTCATTTTACATAATTCTTCCCGGCGACAAGCTCCCGCAATTCCAATTATAAAAGCTACCTAAAAAATAACATCTTGACGTTGCGCATGTAAAACTCCAAATAAATGCTATTGTAGAAAATATAAAAGTTTTAGGTATAATGTGCTGCCTAACAACCCCGGTGGCCTGTTAGGACAGCAACTGATTTTGTTAGGCAACACACCATACGAACACACATCTCGTTGCAAAACTTTACAGAATATTTTAATTTTATACTGAGCATTCAAGCATTTACTTATTTTGATCATTAAAAACTTGGAATCTGGAGCTTTCAACAGAAAATTAATTAATCTTCTCTTTCAAAAATTTTGGATTTTTTTGGTTTATAACCTTTATTTTTTTGTTTGAGAAACGCTATTAACTTGTTGAATTTCGAAATATCAACGTTGTTTTTATATTTTAAGGTGCTTTTAAGCATATAATAAATCGACCATAGGGTAGAAGCTTTGCAATTCTTCAATTCATCAGAGAAATATGCTAAAATAACTTTCCGAATATTTTGTCACCTTATTCTTCCTACACCATTCTATAAATGCATTGTATTTTTGCTAATAAATATATGCAGATTTTTCTGGCAATAAATTTTGAGTGGCCTTTTGTGCACTGCATAAGTATCTGGGGGAGTATTATCAAATTCGCTATCGCTAGATAAATTTGAATCCATATCGATTATGACAGATATAATAAACTGCAAATAAAATTTGAATTTAAGTAAACAAACATTTTTTTTACCTTCTCAAACTTGATTGAGTTTAAAAAAATGCTAAATTGGCTTTATAATCTAATCTTGAACTTAAGTATACTTTTGTCGTGTTCTGTTATAAGGTAGGTACTAATTAAAAGTTTAGAGATTGACAGTTCTTCTAATCCACACAGCCACGGCCAACTTACTTATACCAAAATCGACATCCACTGTATGTTTACTTATAATTAAATCGATGACATTTAGAGAAAATTATAATTAAAATAAACTGTTAATAATTTGTTGGACACTAAATAGATATAAGCAAAAATAATTTATTTATTTGTCTTAGAAGGAGATAGCAAAAAAATGTTAATATAAAATAAAACGTTATATTTTGTTGTTATGTACAAATTTTGTAAAATTTTACTTTTTTTAACTAGTGCGTAAAGAGTTTTACTTTACGCACTAGTGAAAAAAAGTACAACTTTACACACTTCGTGGAGTGCGTAAAGTACGTACTTTACGCACGGTAGTAGAAAAAAATAATTAATTAGTTGACAAAATAAACACAATGGTATTTTTTTGGTTTCTGAAATGAAATGAGATTTAAATTTTTAATAGCCGAAAAGCAAAAACAGAAAGAAAATTGGTAATTTTAACAATCCGTGTTATCACCTCTAACTCTTCTATTCGCCTTGGCATGCTTCTTATTGAATTGTCAACATTGTCTTGGAGTATGTTTCCCCATTCTGCTAATGCTGCATCAATAAGCTGTGCAACATTTCCTGCATTGTTTCGACGAGCTCTAATCCTTCTTTTGAGATGGTCCCACAAGTGTTCGATAGGATTTAGGTCTGGTACATGCAGGCCAGTCTAAAACAGTGACACCTTCTGTTTCAAGATATTATGTAGCCACTTTGCTGGTATGGGAAGGTGACTTATCGTGCATAAAGATAAAAGTATCCCCAACTGCAGCTCTCCAAAGACTTACGATTGGTTCTAGCACTAAATCAACATATTTCGGACCGTTTAAAGTTTGTTGAAGTGGTAACAACATTACAGTTCCTCTTTGATATCTTGGGACATATCTGGCAGCGTGGAGTCTCGCTCATCTTCCTGGATCTCTGAAAACCCGAATTCGATGGCCATCTGATCTTAGGCCAATCTGGTCTCAACTAAAAAAAACATTTTGCCAATTCTCAATTGTCTAGTTTTGGTGTTGGAGGCACCAATTTAGCCGGTCAATTTTATTTTGCCTAGATAACGGTGTACAAACCTCGTGCGCGAAGTCTATTTCTTAGAGTTTCAATTGAAACGTTCACACCTGTAGCTTCCAGAAGTTATCGTTGTAGCTCTAGATGAGAAACACTGGGATTTCGTCAAGTAAATTGGCACACAAAGCGCTCCTGTTGTTCAATTGTGACTCTGACTACTTTGTATGGGTCTGTTCTTGAGAGTTTCTAGTTCCAAGTACCTTTCATATGTTTTTGATACAACACCCCAGGGTATCGCCACAGCTTATTGCTAAAGAATCAGTTAGCTCACTTGAACCATTTGAATGTTTCAAAATAATATCCACTCCAGGGATATAAATTCAGGATGCGCAGAAGACCTCTGTTAATATATTTTTTAGCTTCTGTTTCTTCACTCTAACGCTCTCCATCAACAGAACTTATAACCACGAGATCCCACGTTTTAAATTTCTTTAGTGAAACTGTTAACAAATAATATGTGACAAGCGCTGGCACATTTCACTTTAAACCCTAAATATTTGTGGTGGGGGCATGTCATGAGAAAGCCATGCCGTTGCTAGATTACAAAGCAGTATCTCCATTTTCTGTGGGATATACTGCCTTTAAGGCTTGTGAAAGGTTCTTACTACCTTTTAATTTAGGAATATTTAATAACAAATTGAGTTACTGCTATTCTTATAGTCTGCCAGATCAATGGATGAACACTTACGGCTTTCTAGCTTTGTAAATTGCAGTTATAATAGTATAAGAAGCCTATAGAAAGAGGAAAACCGAAAATGACAAAAATTGGAAATACTGCCTTCTTAGGACGATAGTGTACCTTCCGATAGTAATAAATAAATAAATCTTTATTTAGCTTCAGTTAATAAATATATGTACAGTGTGGTTCAATGAAAGTATACACCCCTCCTTTATTGGTTTTTCTTTGTTTGCAAAATTATGTTTCAACACTTTTTATAAATATTTTCTGACATTTTGAAGTTTATAAATCTATTAGTTTGGAAATAGTGACGGAATAAAGGCTGCAATGTCAAATTTATAACAAATAAGAATTCAACTTTGATACTCTATAACTTTAACATCTGTTAAAATTTGAAAATGTTGTTTGTAAAATGATGTTTCTACACTTTTTATAAATATGTTTTGAAATTTTGAAGTTTACAAATTTATCAGTTTGAAAATAGTGACGGAATAAAGACTGCAATGTCAAATTTTTAACAAATAAGAATTCAACTTTGATACCCTCTAATTTCAACATCTATTAAAATTTGAAAATGTTGTTTATAAAATTATGTTTCTACACCTTTTATAAATATTTTCTGAAATTTTGAAGTTTATAAATCTATTAGTTTGGCAATAGTGACGAAATAAAGGCTCCAGTGTCAAATTTATAGCACTTAAGAATTCAACTTTAATACTCTCTAACTTCAACAACTGTTAAAATTTGAAAATGTTGTTTACAAAATTATGTTTCTACACTTTTTATAAATATTTTCTGAAATTTTGAAGTTTATAAATCTATTAGTTTGGAAATAGTGACGAAATAAAGCCTCCAATGTCAAATTTATAACAAATAAGAATTTAACTTTGATACTCTCTATCTTTAACATCTGTTAAAATTTGAAAATATTGTTTGCAATAAAATAGCAAAGTACATTAAAGATTCTCGATTTTACACAATTTTCCTTTTATAAATGCCCTATTGTTAACCTGCTAAAAGATTGTGTTCAGAGGCTGGATGGCTTAAGAGAGGCTTATCAATTCAGGAAGATGTACAATAGGCATAATGAGGCTTAAATGCGGGGCAACGCATTTCAAAAAATTAAAAGTGATGTGGTAAATTCAGATGTCTTCTCCATAAAAAACCTGGAGGACCAAACAAACAAACAAACAAACAAACAAACAAACAAACAAACAAACAAACAAACAAACAAAAAAAAATATTTTGGAAAATCAGATTAAATGCTTAATTATTTTAATTTTAATGATATCGAGATACCTATATATGGCAAATATATATACACAATCATCAAAATAACATAAAAGATTATTATTAATATGTAAAGTTGAATCGAAAAATATAATGCAGATTTCACAATTTCGGCGAGATCGAAGTACAAGCGGTAATCGCCACGGGCGCCAACATACGATGGTCAGGGGGTCGTCTGTCCTCCGGGATTTGAGATCTCGCCACAGCTGTCGACTATTATAGCCCGCGGCGTTCTGTAAATCTTTTGAACGGCGCCCATGGTAACCTCTGTATTGCAATCTTAACGTGACAGATATAGGTACCAGATTACTATTGCGTAGGACTTTACGATCGATATAAAAAAGAACACTAACCTCAATATTATGTAACCATGAAATAGATGCCCCACAACAAACATGCGTGAAACGCTGATAGCTACAAATGAAAATAATACTAGAACTATCTTTAAAAACCGAAACAATCAACAACTAAATCATAACATCGATATATCAATAAAAGATATTTTAACCAGCGATTTACTAGTTTCAATAGAAGTTAGTCCTAATAGAAATTTAAATTCTGACGATCTATCGAAAATACCTTGTAGTTTTTGCTCAGTTACATGGCTTAGCCCTACAAGCGAAGAATTGAAGAATGTCGATAAAATACCGGCAATTATATTGGCCAAGCAACTGCATTACCACGGCCAAACTGTATTGCTTCATCTTGCTGGAAGAAACCTAAAAAAATATCAGGTTTTGAAGATTTTAGAAATCCTAAAGAACGCTGGGATTAGGAATATATTGGCGTTGCAAGGAAGTAAGTCAGTTTAATTTAATAATAATATGTAAATATTTATACCTACTCCGTTTTAAGCGTAAAAAAATGCAGCTGCGTCGTTACCGTAATATAAAGTAAAATGTATCGCCCAAATCAGTGGCGAATTGGCTAAATAAATCAGCCTTGACATTAAATTATTATAAAAGTAGGTACCAAGGTACGGGAAACCGAATGATAATTAAAATTGGTTCTGGACACCAGGCAAATCTTTTATGTTTGGTGATAATTTATTGTAAAGCTTTATTGTAATGTAGCGTATGGATTATTGTGTTTGTCACCGCCATATTGATGGTAGGAATTTAAATCAGTGGCGTAACGATTTAAAATTTGTAGAATAACACAAAGTTAGTTGTTTTAAAGCAAAGTTAATTTAAGTTTTTTTTAATATTATTTGACAAATATAGTTATGTTTTAATCCTATTAAATTCCTTTGAATAGAGTGCAAAAAACTTACTTCATATTATTATACAGTGGATGACTCTACTTATTAATCCCAGTAAACCGCAAATAGTCGGCATTCGGTCGGCCTGACACCGGTATGTACGGGAAGCCGAGTACTCGGATTGCCGTTGTCGGGGTTTCTTCTGAGCAGGGAGAACCGTACCATTTGACGTAATTTAGAAGTAAAAACCGCATATAGTCCATATTTGGCTTTCCAGACATAGGGGGCATCCATACGGGCCGAACGCGGTGAATATTTGGTTAGCTGGACATGGAAAGCATCCTTACGGGCCGAATTATATATAGATATATGAACGCGGCTACAATTTAGTGGGCTGCCGACATTCGGCTGGGCGGACATGCCCCATCTATTAGCCGAAGCTGCACCCGTATAACGGGCCGAGTCCGGCATCTGGCAAACCACCTTCGGCCCAGTTACGGTGCCGATTAACTATGTTTATTGTTTATGACGTTTTTCAAAAAGTATGCAAGCTTGAAATCTGAATATACAATATACGGAAGATATGGAAACCAAACCTTAGCACAAAAATGCTATTTGAACAGCTCGTCCTCTCATTCCTTTCACCCTATCCCTTTAAACCCCATATCAATTCAGTGTGGTTGAAGAGTCCAAGAGAATAAATTTACCTACTTTTTGGCCTAGCTGTTCGCAACCCTTAATAAATATATCAATTCACCTATTGTATGTATAATCTTAATAACTCGGTAGATAAATAAGAACGAAATCGTTTTTTTTTATTCGTAGATGAATCCAAAATTATAGAAAAAGACGACAACAGATGTGACTTTCCATATGCTGCTGATTTAGTTGAATTTATTCGTTCTTATTATGGTCGTTTATTCACTATTGGCGTAGCTGGTTACCCAGAAAATCATCCAAACTCCAAAAGCATCGAAAGCGATCGAGAATTTCTTAAAAATAAGGTAAAAATAAAACTAAAGGTAGAAAACATATTTTATGGTGAGTTTCATGAAAATATTGATCACCGGCTACAAAATCGTAGCTTTAGATGTGGATAAACAAACGCAGCAAATATTTAGCTATTATTTTACCTTAAAAAGTGAGGTTATTTAATTAGGAATCCAAGCCGTCCAACGATTTGAATAATTTAAAAGGTCATTATTATACTAAAGAAGAGGAATAACAATGAGAACATAAAAGGGGCTGGCTAAACGTGGACGTTTTACATTATAGGGTAATATTTCTTGCTTTAACCACTATCTCTATAAAGATATCTTTATACAGACAACGCTTTAATTAATTGGCATTGGTGTCGCAGAGGAGTGCCAGACGGTACACGTGCATCCCTCTTGCGTTTAAGATGAGAAATCAGTAGTAATAAAAAATTGAAAAAATATTTGTAATGAAATTTAACTTTTACTGTCAACCCCTCCCAAAAAAATAGTCTGCTACCGCCTATGCTTATATGGTAGGTATATAGAGGGTAAGACTCTCTCTAAGTATCGGATCGGAGCTTTATGTGACCGTGACCCGATTTCATATATCAATATAGTCATTATAGTGTCAATTTTAATTTGTAACGAAATAATTCTTAAACTGTTCAATAATTTAAGTGAAATCTATCATTTTCATTTACAGGTATCACGTGGCGCAGATTTTATTCTAACTCAAGCCTCCTACAATTACTCAGCCTTCTCTAATTTCGTCAAACAATGCCGGTCTATCGGCATAGACATTCCCGTCATTCCCGGAATATTTATCATCAGTTCCTATGGGACCTTCATGGCCATGTCGAAGTTGTGTAGCGTGCCTGTCCCGAAAAATATCTTGAAAATAGTTGAGAACATCAAGGAAAGCAATGAAACAGTTAGGGAGTTTGGGATAGCACAGGCTAGTGAAATGATGAAGACATTTTTGAAAAATAGAGAACTGTTTGGAGGAATTCACGTATTTTCTTTAAACAATTTGTGTTTGTTAAGGGAGGTTTTAAAGAGGGTGGGATTTTGTTTAAAGATAGAAAGGCCTTTTCGAGTAAATTATGATTGTGCTAAAAGATTTATAAAATGAATAATAGTCCAGGAGATAGTGACGATTGTTGGTACTTATTTTCCCAGTCAGCTAGAATTGTATGGTTAGTAATTCTAAGCAAAATTCATATATATTTAGGGAGGTTCAGATGGGTTGAGGCGGAAATTGCGTCAGAATATACGAAAACACGGCACTTTTTTTTCTAGTTATAAAAATAGTTCTAATAGTAAGATGTATATTGAAGTTATGTAAAAAAAAATCGTCTGGCTAATCTTTGATTATGGATAATACCTCAGGCAGGTAAAAAACTAAAATTTTCATAAAAAAAATTCTACAATTTCGCTGTTATGAAGGCTTATATTATGATAACAGCTTAAAATACAATCTGGCTAATGTAGAATACCCCGAAAGCCTTGCTAGACTCGTCTAATGATCGGCAGGCGCGCTAAATTCGGCACGTTCGATTATACAGGTGATTAGTTTAACTACCTGGCAAGGTCTTCGTGATTGTAAATGTCAGCCAGACATATTTTCTATAAAATTATAGTATAATCTATCATGTGACAAATTTTCAAATATGGGAAAATAACAGCAACAGTTTTCTATTGCTGCCAGACTTATTTTTAAATACAGTTTATGATTGTATCAATTTATATGCTAAATTTCAAGTTTGGAAAAATAAGGGTTACGGATTCGCATAATCATGCAGTCAAATTTTTTAATTCGAAAAATTTCAGCCATATTCACTTTCCGCTATCTGAGACAAGCCAGATTGCTATTTTTATAAACTTTATGTTCTACTTGTAAATGTAAAATATTGATAACGGGGAAAATAACTGGACTTGTATTGTTTATATATTTTTGAATCTATCCAAAATATTTAGCCAGACTGAAAAATTTTGTTTTTTATCACTAAGAGAACAGAATATTTTCATATACAGAGATTGGGAAAATAAGTACGAAAAAAATTCACTGTCTCCTTGACTATAATAATAATAATATTTATTAAAAAAATAGCAGCCTTTTTATTTAATATCTACATAACACCAAAGATACAATTTGAAAGGTTTTGCCATCAGTATATGTGTAATAGATGTTAATTCATTTCACGTGGTGTCATCTTCTTCCTTTCCCACCTCGCTGGTTCTTTGATTTAACATCTGAGTAATGATTTTAATTTATACATATATTTTGCATGTATCAGTGTTAAACTGAACGAGATAAAATACCCTTGGAAAATTCGATAAACACACGTTTCGGCGCTTAGCAGATTTCGTTTTTTGTGAGAAAGCAAAAACCAGATCAGCAATGAAAATTTTTATTTCGTTTCGCGCCATGAAATAGCGAATTTCGATAAACTTTTTATTAGTCAATTCAAATAATGGCTCCGATGTCCTTCGTATTCTCGATATCCTTCATGCCTTTATAGTTAGAAATAGAAAAGGAAAAGTACTAAAGGTCGATTTTAAGACTAAAAATTTACAGATTTCGCAATTTTTGCAACCATCGGGATATTGGAAATGATATAATAGCTTCTTTATCAAAGAGCACCGCAGTTCCCTTATAGCTTTCGCTCTAATCTCCTGAATTTGATATATGTTGCTGATTAAAAGTGTCCACGGGCACAAATGACTAATTTTTGAGATACAGCGTGTTGAATTCTCATATTTTCAAAAATATTTTAAGACGATTTGACTCTTTAAGATATTTTTGACTACCAAAATACAATACCAACATTTTTGGAAAAAAGGGCGAGTAATTTTTTAAAATATTTCTTCTTTAATTTAAAAATGTTTACAATAAAGTTACTCTGTATATCGTAATGTATTCCAAACATCTATTAACAGAAATATATAGTTTGCACATCATATACAAGGAGAGTAAAAAGTTATATAAGGTAGAAATAAACAAAAATTTCCATATAAATAAAAATTTTCCTTGGTTAAATCGGTCGAATGTTTTTATTTTCTATTGTTTAGCACACTACATATGTTTCGGAAAACACAATTTTTCCACCTTCAGGTGAAGTCAATTTATAAAAATTAAGAGGACAAACAGTATAAAATTTTTTTAAAATAATAGAACGCCATAAAGACTTTTACACGATGTGAAATAGAAAGATTAAGTGTATTTTAATGAGTTAATCCATGTTTCTATGACTAGATATTTTTCTGTATGGGTCAATTTTATTACTACTGTAAGTACTAAATATTAGAGATCGAATATGTCAGAAAACAAATACACAGTACTTACATATATAGCTAAAAAGGACAAAATTTTGAACATTTAATTTAGTTTCACTAAAGGTAGTTTATTTGGTACTTAAATAAGAAGTAAATAAAGATCGTTTGGTTTTAAAATGTAGTTTTTTAAAAATAATATTAGATAATATACAGGATCACACTTAAAATTTCAAAGTTCGTCTTACTTCCGGTCAAATCGGATGTGAATTATCAAATTAATATAAGTATTAAAATCAAAGGAAACATTTATAACAAAACCCTAAATAACTCTAACTCTAAACCCGTTGGTTTTCTTAAAAATATCCTTGAAATCAAATCAAAATATCCGAATAACTGAATTTTGAAAATAAATACAGATTTTTGAGCCCTTTTCTCTCTTATTACGACATCCAAAAATATATATTTTACACTCAGTTTTATTTTATTTATCAATATTTATGGCACATCCTGTATACCTTCAGGAAGAGGTATTAAACACACCCTTATATAATTTTGACATAGTTATACTTATTATAGTCCTTGTAATGATTTTAATTTGAAAACTTTTTCATTAGGTGTGACATCCGGCATTAAAATGATTGATGTTCTTCATAAACACCGCCCGTTCGTGATCGGATGACGTGTAAAATAGGCATAACACGTGATTACGATCGACACAAACTATAGGACTAATTTCATTCCAGGTGTACCGTTTGTTTTTTAACAAGACAGACAGGACGATCGTGACAGGTGGCTAATTGCCATTACAGGAACGTCCGATTATTCGCGATTCTAATCAAGAAAACACAAAAACGTACATGCAGGAGGATAAAAAAAAAATAATAGAATAGTTGATAAAAATTAAACAGATTACAGTAAAATTTAGACAGATACAGAAGTATGAAAAGAAGAGTAAAACAGTAAATAAAAATCAAAATAAAATGGGAATAAAATTGACGGATTCATTAATTAATTCAATAAAGGCAAATTTTCTAGAATATTCACACAAATTGTTCTTTGTATCTATCTTTTATACAATGGATACCATAAATTTTTAGTATACATATATTTAAAGGGTTCGAATTCTTTGACGATTTTTGTAGAAAAAATAACGCAAAAAATCCACATTTACATCGCATACCGACCTGCACTAGCGTTTGTTTCTTTGATCCAGAAGCAGAACGAAAACCGCTTCATAGTCATCGGCGTTCTCTTCGTCTCCTTTCTATAGTGCATCATCGCTACGTTGCCGGCTATACAGAAATTGTCTTCAACTATGGATAAATGAAACAACAAGAATGTTCAAAAATGACAAGATTTTTTTAGCAGACAAGTCTATTACTCTTATTTGTATAAATAATTTATTTATTTATTTATAATACAATACTCTACAGGTCATAAACCCAATTACAGAGCAGGAATTGACAGAATATAATTATTAATAGATCACATTTTTTATATGAATGTTAAGCACATAAAAAGAACTTGTATTTCGTAATAGGTAACAAATTAACTAAGATAAAAAGTGAGATTTTATATCTGACAAATTGCAACTAAATATATCAAGTTCATTGACAATAGAATTTGTTACTGTACACATGGTATGGAGCGGAGAATTTTCCAGAACATTTGTGCGAGATGTATTTATATAAAAAGTATTCGGGTGTCTGGAAGAAATTCTAGGAATGCAAATATTAAACTTTTCTAATAAGGTTGGGCAGTCAATAATACTTTTAATAATTTTATAAGTTACTACTACACAATAATAATCACGCCTTCTATCGAGACTGAAAAAGTTATGCTTTTGTAGTAATTCAGAGTGAGGTGTACCTATTAGAGGATAAATGCCATCAGTTTTCAGGCTTAGCAGTTTTAAAAATCGTCTTTGAATTGCTTCTATTCGATCTATATGATACTGATAAAAGGGGCTCCACACAACTGAAGCATATTCTAACTTTGATCTTATAAAAGCATAAAATAGAGTTTTTAAGGTAGAGGTTTCTTTGAAATCACTACTGCTACGTGCAATTAATCCGTACATTCGATAGGAGGAGGATACAACATTATCAATATGCTTATTAAATGATAGTGCAGTGTCAAACGTGACGCCAAGATCAGTAAATGTTTTCGGTCGCTCAAGAGCAACGTTTTCTATTGAATAATTAAATATTAGGATATTCGTTTTTAAACTGTACGACATAACTTTACATTTATCTGGGTTTAGTGACAAGTTATTTTGATAACACCATTCAACAATCCGTGTTAGGTTTGCTGAAAGGTTCTCGCAATCACCTATCTTCTCTACGAGGCAATATAGTTTTAGATCATCAGCATACAAAAGCAAATTTACATTTATAACATCTGCAATATCATTAATGAACATAATGAAAAGAAAGGTACAAGGCGCCTCGACGCAAGGCGCCTGGACGCAAACCGACTGGACGCAAACCGACGTACCTAAATCGACGCCGTCACAACGCTAGATGAAATTAGTACATAATCTAATGTCTGTATTTTCAGTGAGTCAAAAGATTTATGTAAATTTCTTTGAGATACCACCGGGTTGTTTAGACGAGAGCCTGACATTTTCTTCAGGTATTATCAATGTTACCAATAAACCATATGGCCTTCAGTCGTTCACCCCGAAAGTCATCTGTTTTCGGGTGAATTTAAGTTAATTCAATAAAAATTATAAAAATCAAAATTAAGAAATATATAGTTATTTCAATAGAAATTATAATAATCAATATTAAAAAATATACAAGGTTGTATTAAGTCATTTCAATAGAAATTATAAAAAAACAATATTTTAGAAATATACAGGGATGTGCTATTTTGGATAAATTGTACAAACCGAGATGGTAAAATTTAACATTAAGTTAACCAACTGGTGAATACACTGTTTGTTGGCTCAAGGGGGACACCTATATGCCAAGCCATCCATTCTACAAGGTTTGAAAAAATTTTTAATTTGGGTTACAGGGATAGTTGTATTTAAAAATTATTGTTACTGCAATATACCTCTATACATTATTGTCTTTTATATTTAATAAAATAACTTTAACAAATTATCATCAAACATAAAAAATAATCAAACCCTACAAGGCTTCCAGAAAGATTTTAAGCAGCTACTAACAGTTAATATTTTCTACTCATTAGATGAGCACCTACAGTATACGGTTGCTTAGCTGATATATGGGATTTTTATATTGTACTGTGTTGTAATGTTACTTTATTCTTTTTATTTATTTATTTATCTATGTATGACTTACCTTATTAATATTTTGTAGATATGGCTTCAATAAATATTATTTAGTATATGTGAAATCAACACAGTAAGGTAACCAATTGGAGAATTGGCGCTGTTCGTTACTTCCGTTAGTCATCACCTCTATACTCGTCGAAATATTTACCTAAGAGGGTACAACCTGTGTATATACAGTCTGTTTGCTATACTTACGCGGGTTTCGGATTAAAATTTTTATGTGTATTTCCAGGAAAGTACCCGAAAGTTTGACCTGTTCTTTGGGAAAATATCAACTGGTTAAATGAAATGAAAAATAATGTACAACTTTTTAATTAAATAATAATGGAGAATCTTTTGTATAATTGAGAGCATAATTAAACTTCTTCATAACATTTAAAGTATGAAAAATAAAAGAATTTAAATATAAATTTGTCTGGTAACTTCTACTACTAAAGACCAAATACAGTAAGTATAAATTAAAATAAAATTGTGAGGTAAATAATAACATTTCAGAGAGTAAAATAACGATCAAAGGGGTACAGGGAGTGGGCCGTCACAGATTTCATTATTTTTGCTTTTTATAAGAACTAAAATCAATTAGCCTGTATCTCAAAAATTAGAGCTAAAACGAAAAATGAATAGGTATTTTTAACCGACTTCAAAAAAGGAGGAGGTTATCAATTCGTCGCGATATTTTTTTTTTTTTTATGTATGTTCAGCGATTATTCTTTAACACGGTGTCCGATTTCAATGATTCTTTTTTTGTTAGAAAGGGGGTACATCAGGGGTGGTCCCATATAAATTTAGTCAAAATCTAATAATTGGGTCCATGAGAAAATCCTCAAACTCTTCATTTTTGATGTATGTTTAGCGATAATGCTTTACCACCTTGTCCGATTTATATGATTCTTTTTTTGTTAGAAAGGGGCTACTTCAGGAGTGGTCCCATATAAATTTGGTCAAAATCTAAAAATTGGGTCCATGAGAAAATCCTCAAACTCTTCATTTTTGATGTATGTTTAGCGATAATGATTTACCACCTTGTCCGATTTATATGATTCTTTTTTTGTTAGTAAGGGGGTACCTCAGGGGTGATCCCATATAAATTTGGTTAAGATGTGGTGATGGCATCTGCACGTTTTTGAAGTCGGTTTTTTTTTAATTTTTAATTTACACTTGTTGGAATAAGCACATCAAAAAATATCCAACACCAGGATAAGATAAATAATTGCATTAAGGTGTGTTATTATTGTTTTGAATATAATGCGATTTCTACTAGGAAATAATTTATAATGCCCAGTCTATCGCCTTTCCCGCTGGCGCTGCAACGTGGCAACCGTGCGCATTCCCATCCTGCAGGAACACCTAAAACCCGAAAATGAAAACCAGTTATTTTCGATCCCTTCAACGGCGTGGTCGCACACGTCCGTCGGCGTCTCACCGTCCGTTTGTTTTTCACACTAACTAACCTCCGTTATTGCTCCGTTTCGAGTCAACCATGTCGTCCGTACCATCGACACGTCCATGTGACAGGCAAAGGACCATAGCTCAACCCCGACTCGGCACAGTCGCCGATCTGTGAAAGTTTTTCTTATTGTTTGTGTTTATTTATATACCCAGGATTTGCGACCTTGACCTCTGGCCCTTATTTATAACTCATCATTATCCCCTCAAATAATATGGATGAGAGAAAGGTAGATCTGAGATTTTTTGAGTGTTTTATTTTATTTTAATAGTTGTGTGTCGATGTCGGTGTGTTTCACATGTTTTGGGGTTGTTCTCCACTAACACGAAAGGTTGTAAACAAATAGTTCGTTCATTATGAAATTAGGGATGCTTGTTGCGTTTCCTGCTTTAAAGCAGAGATGGATTGGGGGTTAAGTTCAGAAAAAAAAAACGCATTTTATTTCTAATAATGACTCAAATAAATGACAAAAGATTTAAAAATAATAAAAATTAAATAACCATTAACGTTTCAAAGAAAAAGTACGATTAATTAAAAGGCGATAGATCTTCACAAACATGTTCTTGTTCAGTTTAATAAATTAAGTTAAAAAATATGTACATATAGGGTGCATATTAAGTTGATACTTGTTTTAACTGTGTATAGAAGGCATTAAAATAAACAACTTTTTCAAATGTTTTCAAAAAAACATCAAAAATAAGGAACTTAATTATTTATTCCAAAATGTATCTAATGTATTCATTCATCTCAACTCAAACCCACTACATGTCTTCTCGTATCGGCCATCCCACTACGTTCCCGCAAATTATACGCATCCCTAAAGCCCATTGAGTTAGATAGTTCTAAGGCTAAGATACGCTCGTAAGATAAATCTGTTGAAATGATACTATTAAAATCGCCCAGGATAGCTATTCACTAAGTCATGGGAACACTCCCATGAGAGCGTTCCCATGACTTAGTGAATAGCTACCCAGATGACTGAATTACAAAGCGATATAACGTAAACAGACTTCTAATTTAAATTCAAAGGTTTGTTTTAAATTTTTTAATCCTTTATCCTTCTTATGTTCGAGTTTTTTGAAAAAAGCTATTTGAAAAAGATGTCAGAAAACTTCTCTTACTGATGGTAACATCACGTTGTCTAAAATATGTATGAAATACTCAGCCGTTAATCGCCCATCAATTTGCCAGCACATTCTAAGACCGCTTATCCACGCCCAAAGATTGACGAAAAAGCGACCCATATTAGTGTAGCACCCAATTTTCTCTTTTCACCTGGATTATCGCAAACTATTAAAACGCATAAGTGAATCTTTAAATACCGATTTCCACCTGTAACCCCTTAGAGGCGAAATTTTCAGCATTAAATTTCATGCTCATAGCTTAAGAAGTTTGGGCCGTAACTTTGATGAGTTAGGTCACTTTTTTATTAAATTAACAATTAACAATTAAAATTTGTAATTTTTTAAGACGATCACAATTTTTTTATGAAAAACAATTACATTAGACACTATTTTAACTAAGGCTACGGTTCCATCCAATGTAACAATAATTAACCAATAATGCCCAAAGGCAAGGAGTGGTCACTAACACACGAAACATTTTGTAATTGAGCAGGAAATTAATAGGGCCCTAGGGGCGACATACAGAGGGCAGGGAAGAGTTTATATCTATTTGTGGGAGTTTATCGAATGATTTGTTTATTGTAAATATTAGAAAATAATAGTATTTTATGATGGTGGGACTAGTTAGCTTCTAATCCTAATGGCATATACAATTTCAGATTATCACGATGAGACTACGTTAATTTTTTAAAACTTGCCATGATCTCTTAATTTTAAATTTAATATAAACACCTATAATTATGCTTTACCCAAAATGTACTTTAAATAAATTTATAGACCTATTCGTAAGACGCTGTTTATTATTATTATCTTTCCATTTTAAGAGAATTTGCATTTTATAATCCTTACAAATCGGTTTAAGTCGTCCACAAGAAAGTGGAATGATTATTTTTTTGCTTCAATTTACACTTTGCGTGTCTTAAAAAATGGCCGCTCTGCTGCGCCAAATCTATTACTAATGTTATGTATTTCTATTGCAGAACTATTTCTTTTGATAATTTAAAATTTAAATCAATCAAAGTTATTTTATTTTTAATTATTCTTGCATTTTAAAATTTACTTAAGGTCCTTTCATTAGAATCTGTAAATAATTGTCAGTTAAATTTGATCGTTGTAGGTACATATTTTTAAATAAATTTCTGTTTTATAGGAAGGTATTTTTGAAATTAATTTATTTTTATCAAGAGGGTAATTTTAATAAAACTTTAATATTTTGAAGATCTGTGTGCCTTTTAGTATTTTTTTTTTAATCAAATCGGTTTTTGTTAGAGGAGGACAACTTCTGTAGAGGTCTTGGTTTAGGTACCTACTACACGGCCAAAAATAGTGGATAGTTTCAGTTTCTAAGAGAACCAAAAAAAGTTATATTATTATGAAACGGTAAATTGTATAAATCAGTTTTTTGCTTAATAAAGCAACGAATGAACAGTTTATAATCAAATACAGTAATCGAAATGGATTTGAAAAAAAAAGTGTAATATACTCTGTTTTTAATAGCGAATTGAAAAGACGCATTTACACAGGGAAAAGTAACTAAATTTGTTACTAAGAACGAGTTTCGAAATATAGTCGTGTTCAAAATTTATGAAATAGTTATCTTTATCGGCCTTAGTCGGTGAACGGCCAATGAGCGGTTAAGAAATGAATAAATGTCATAGAAGTAATTTTTTTATTGGTCCCAGACAACAGTCGCCAATTTCACATTATTGTGATTTTAAATGTTTGTCTAAAATGAAATGTCACTGTCAAATAAAATTCAATTAGGCATTCCAAACAAATGAATTACCAGTGGGCAGGTTTGGTATATCTAAGGGTGGCGACATATGGTGTATTCTATCTACTTTACGTAAAATCATGAATAATGGATTACATTTAAATATTTTATGTCAAACACAATAAAAATAATATTTAAAAAACCCACCTATACATTTCTTCATAAATTGGCAGGCTAGGCGAGTACTACCCGAGAATACCGATCAAGGAGAAGCGACAGTAGCTGTCGGTGCTTTTGATATCGGATGGACCTTTTTTACAGCATGACTTTGATTGATACACAACTTAGCACGCTGAGAAAACATGCTTATTTTCTACACTGAGCGAAATAGTTTGGCAAATTATTTGAAATCATTGCTATAGTCCATGCGCAAATGTTGTAATGTGATTTAATTACATTGAAGTAGTTAGGGTTAATAGCAATTAATAATCATAATATTTACTGTTCGTAGTCCTTTGGAAAAGTAAATAAACTTAATCCTTGGCCTGTTTTGGACGAACAAGAACGGTATGCTTAAAAATATCCAGATCCAGACATTCTATTACAACATAAAAAAACACCAAAAAATATCACTCAACAGCTCACAGACTAAACACAACTTGAACTGACTTTGACAGATTATATGATTTTGAGTGATACACAACTTAGTTTCGCACATGCGCGTATCAAAACGGTACACTGAAAACACCAAGCTGTCGCTTCTCCATGATCGGTATTCTCGGGTACTACTTCGAATAAAAATAGCGTCCAAGTTGCTACCCCCTTAAATATACAAGAATTTCCCACTGGCACCTATTGTTTGACAGGTCGTTGGAATGCCTAATATGGTTGTTGATTGATGTCAGAAATACTTTTTTCTTGTTTTTGAAGTCGACTTTTTAAGAATAACTATGATCTTTTTAAAATGGATATTAAATAATTAAGAAAATTGTTAAAAAGTAAAAGTTAATCAGTGAATGACAAATGGATCAGACAGTAACTGGTATCTCTCCTATGGGCAATGTGGATATTATGGCTTATTTAGTGTTAACCCATGGTTACGCTAAAGGGCAAATAAAGGTATTCAAAAGTTTACAGGCCTATGAGTCAGAATTTGTTTGGAAAACTGAAACTAACATTTTTATAATACTACATGTCAAGATATATTTTTTTTAAATAATTTTTGTGAAAGTATCGTTAACTCATTGTGCTAAATTAAGATTATTCATAAAGTAGTAGTACATGGTGTTTTAAATGTTATAACAATTTTGTAAATGGTTTTATTCTATTCTAATAAATAAAATTTACTTAAATATTTAGTTACATTTTAATCATTTTGGTTAGAAATTCATCAATTTTTAGTTTTAAAAAATCAGTAATAATGTTGTTAGTTTTATCTAAAATACTTCGGAATTCATCTCTTCATGGTAATATTCCATCTTTTTACTTTCAAAAACCAATATAGCATTTTCTACAAAACCTTCAAAATCAACGTGTAAAATAATAAGGTGTCTTCCCTTTCTTGTAGGACTTTTCAAAAATTGGTGCCTTTAAAAGTACTCAGTGTAGAAGGATCCATAAATGTAGATTTTCAATACAATTGCTTACTGAAGAACTATTATTTATACTATTATTTACGAAATAAAGTAAAAAACTAATAGCGGATTCGACTCAAATGCTCTTGCTCGATGACAAAGCGCTTTCAGTTCTGAATTGATTTTGGGCAGCATTTTTATAATTCAAATTCATATCTAGCAGTGCACACAGCAAGCACGAGGTAGATTTCGATAATGGTATAGCACATCTTTATCCTTATTCGACTGTCACAGTTAGCACTTGACATTTCAGGTTTCTAACAAACTTTTAACGATATTTATTTATAGTTGCCAAACCAAAAATTAAATCTCTATTAATTTCAAAGATTTTCCATTCTCACTAATAATAGAGACAAAGATTGTAATATATTTAAAGATATTAAATAAATCCTAACCTCTTAAATGATACTGGCACTGAAAAAAAGTACAGTTCCAAAAAATTCGAACTTTGAGCAAGAGCGCCTGCCAGTCGAACAAAAATTTCACTATGTCTTGGTACTGAGCAATTTCAGTCGAATGCAATAATTTACTTTTAATTAATTAGGTTCTGCCAGTAGAACAAACATCACTTGAAAGAGTCGAACAAAATGCGCATTAATGCAGCCAGTCGAATCCGCTATAAGTAATGATGAGATATCAAATTATTAAATGTCAGAACTGTCAACAATTAGGCATTCCAACGACCTGTCAAACAATAGGTGCCAGTGGGAAATTCTTGTATATCTAAGGGGGGGGTAGCGACATAATCTTGCAACTTAGACGCTATTTTTATTCGAAGTAGTACTCGCCAAGCCTGCCAATTTATAAAGAAATGTATAGGTGGGTTTTTTAAATATTATTTTTATTGTGTTTGACATAAAATATTTAAATGTAATCCATTATTCATGATTTTACGTAAAGTAGATAGAATACACCATATGTCGCCACCCTTAGATATACCAAACCTGCCCACTGGTAATTCATTTGTTTGGAATGCCTAATATCAATTATTAGCTGATGTTCATGCTAAAAAGTAATGTGTGAAACTGACTGCAATCTGACCAATCAGAAGTCTACAGAATTGCCAACTTAAATTCAAATCACTCCTCTTAGGTATAGGCACCAAACACAAAGGCAATTTGAAGTGCGATAACTAAAATGCGTCGACTCTTTCCCCAAACGCAACCTACACTTCAAAAGCCTGCGGTAGTAGTTAAGGTGGATCCACTTTATCTATTTAAGCCCTATTAGAGCCCCCCTTTTTAAAGAATGAACGACAATGTACCGTAAAAATAATTTAATATGTTTTCAATCATAAAAAGTACGTGATAACAGTATTCAAGTCCTGCGGTCTTCAACTGTTTACTCCTTTAGTTTGAACCAATTCTTTCGGCGTCCTCTTTTTTGGGAATCGGTTTTCTTTCTACGCATGGTATTTCGTCCTCCGCCGTAATATACGGATCGTTGTCTGTTCTCAGACCAATCAAATATCCGGGAACCTCTGGCAGCTTGGGGAAGTATTTGGGTCCAGGAGTTATGATTTTTGGTGAAGGCGGAAAGATCCTTCGTTGGCAAGTATAATCAGGTGATTTCATTTTGAAAATTCTGATATCCACGCTGGCATAGTTAGCGGGCCCTGGAGATCTTGGTACATCTTTCAGATAGTGTTTGAAGGACATACTATAGGCTGCTTTTGCCATTTTGTCTGGAACTCTTGGGCCTATACATGTCGGAGCCGCGTATTTTCCTGGCAAATAAATAAAAAATACCGTAATATGTAATATTTACTTTCATTGAGTTTTTATTTACTTATTTAGCATCCCATTTTTTACTTATCTATTTTCATTGATCCCTACTTATCTCAGTTCATGCTATTTTAATTATGATCTCAAATATATTTAAAACAAGATAAGGTTTTGTAATTAATACAGGACCTATTACAAACAAAAAGAATAGTATTGCTCGGTTTTGCCCGATTATATAAATAAAAAGATATGGTACCTGGACCAGGAGTTACAGTAGGCTTCGGAGGATTAGTTCTAACCCTCACGGAATATTCTGGTGGTCTCGTTGTCGTCATAGGTGGCACCAGCTCAGGAGCGTATGCTCCCGGTCCTGGAGGCTTCAATATAGTTAAATCTCTTGCTTTAATTTTCATTGAATACGCCGGACAGCTGTATATTCCTCTACGAGTCATATTTGCGGTTAAATAAGCAGGACCTGGACCTACGGGTCTCGTTCCATAGGGACACTTCGTTCCGATGGAATAGCAGGGATTCCTTTTCCTCGAAAAGTCATGTCCATTGTAACCAATCGATGGTGGGAGTAGATATTTAGCGGGACCGGGACCGACGTTTTTTCTGGGCATTTTTCAATATTATGGTCAACAAAAAGAGCTAATAAAACAAATACAGAGACATAAATGATGACTACGGTGACACTTAATGAGACACTGACGGTTTGCAAAAATAAATATCAGACTCGCCGTTCAAATGAATTGACATAAAAAATATGCAACTGGATTGTTCAAATTACCGTACTACAAGTTGTCTATCAATTTTTTAAAGTCTGCCTTTTTCTACCAGTGAAAAGTACCTATATATTTCTACTAGATATTTTTCCGAATCCTTCTCTGATATTCTAACAACGAGCCCAATATTATGAAAACAATATATGAGGATTAAGGCTGTAAGAAAATGAAGAAAAGACATACACGAAAGTTATGGAAAAGCCATGAAAGAGAATCGTCTATAGGAGAAATTATTGCCAGTCTGAATGAAATATAATTCCAGATAGAAAAACTATTTAGAAAATGATCAATCATTTATGTATATATCAATAATACAAAAAATTATTAAAAAAACACTACGAAATTATCTCACAAGTACTCGTATTATCCAGATAAAGTATCAAGCGATTACCTATTTTATTTTCAGAACAAAAAGACTTTTTATAGTTGAAAAATTGGAGATGATTAGCCCAAACAGTTTATCCATAAATGATTTAAAAACGTCTCTCATAATATATAACTGACATTGCTTTGTCTTTCTGCTACGATTTATATATAGAAAATTAGTCTACAATTCCACAGTTCCAACTCATTTTTAATGGAAACAGTAGTTTTGTTTAGTTCACGTATAAATACGTTTATTTCAACGGATCAAAGCTTAATTATCCAATAAAATAGAGGTTTAAAAATAGACAAGACATTTGTGAATTAGAGGTTTTCTGTAATGAAAAACGTTTTTGTCAAAACAGTAATTAGAATATTTTATTTTAACGATAAACAAAAAATAAATAAGATAATATAAACATTAAATGAACTAATTAAACTTGTAAAAATAGTTTAAATTAAATAGTTTTTCGATTCGAGTTGTTGCCTATTTATAATTCCAAAAGCGATTCAATATATTTGATTAAAACCAGCAGAACTTTTTTGTGATGTAGTAAAAATGCAATTATTTTTAAATTACTTTTAGAAACTGAAGACTGTCCACTTTTTAGAGGCTTTTGTACGACACTATATTGTACCCGTTGAACGCAATATGAATTTCAACGAGTATGGAACACTGCCAAACATCTCGAATTTCCTACAAAAGAAACGATTTTTTATTTTATTTTTTTAGGGTTTCTAGAATGTCGGTTCCACAATTTTACTTATGATGAAAACGCATTGAATAAATTACGATATGATTAACTCAAATGTGAGAAAGACGTAAAAAGGGCAACAAAATCTTAAAGCCATGTGTCACAAAAGAAACACTAATCTCTTTATAGGAAGAGATAATATTCACATTAAATTCCTCGTTTCCCATATTATTTTATAAAATTAAGCAGTACTAAGGCTTCCTGAAAGGTTTCGGATAGTGATAAATAAATACAGATTCTACTGGAGAAAGAGACACATAAATATTTTCTACAACACCAGCTTCTTTATTGTTTCATCATTATAATTAAAAATTGAACTGCTGTTAGATTTGCTCTGGCATTAGCCCAGTTTTCATCTGCATATCCAACCGTTTTTCTTTTAGTACATTTATATCTTGATATTTTTTCTACTATGTACATCTGTAATTAGGCCGTGGCCTGCTGGTTTTATAATTATATAATTAAATAAACTTCGTTTAAGTTCTGACCAATCTTTCAGAGAAGGGTTACTTACTTTTCCAGTCAAAATTAAAACAATTGCTTTAAGATTAGAAAGAGCATTTACTGGTAATTTTCATTTGAAAGCAAGAATTATCTATTTTGCTTTTACCATAGCTAATTTCAAGTAGAATATTTAATATTTTAGCCCCAGATTTTTGAGTGTTAAAAAAGTTTCCGAAATTATTATATGTATAATCATCCACATCATTTACTAAAAATAATGCCTTCATTTTTTTTTTTTTCGTAATAGAAAGATATGGTCGGCCACGTATTTTTTTATAACCCTTTTAATTTTAGTTGTGCATCCAAGGCCTAGTTCTAGCAGCCTGCTTTAAACCATAAAGACACTATTCCTGAATAAACAAATCTCTTCTTCTTCCCCAGTTTTCTGAAACTCTGGCGTTGCTTCACAAAAATTATTTCATTTAAGTCTCCTTACTTCAACAAGAATGTCTATTTCTTGCTGATGAGTTCTGGCATGTATCTTAGTAGGCAAAATCAAAGATAGAGGAGCTTTGAAAATAATTTAAGCTCGCAAATAGTAGTAGTTTTTTGAAGGAAAACAGTATTTTGTGACAGATGCCTTTGAAATTTTTTTGTTTTTCTTTATTTCTGTTATTTTTTTTGGTGGTGTTCCGTACTTTACTTTTCCTACACACTGTATGTATACTCCTGCATTTGTAAATGTTTCAATGTAGCATGAAATAAATAATTTTGATATTGCAATTGGTACGTTGTTTGATTTTTCGTTGCATCTAACCTTTTATTTTCATTTTCTATGATAATATTTTCTAACCCAGGTCGATTAAGTGTGTCTTTAAGAAAATAGGACTCAATCGGACTTGCATTCGTTATTTGATATGCCGTTTGATGTCAAACTATTACATTTAAACTTTTAACCTAGGTAATATTTGTTCAGTATGATGTGATTTTGGTAAACATGAAGATATAGGGCAAAAGTGGTTTCAGTAGTGGCAGTGGAGAAACAATTTTATTCCATATATTTCATATCAAAAAGTCCATAATGACGTTAAAAATGCACTGTATACCATCGCCTACTATACTTTTTGTATTCGACGAAACTCGTATTGTAGCGTATTAAAATTCTTTTGTTAAAAAAGAACAAACGGCCAAAGAAAATTTTAATGAAACATTGTCGACTGAATTATTACAGCTAGATCGGGAATTATTTAAAGATGGTGGCTTTTGAGGTAGTAACTGAGGAAAATGGAAAATATATACAGGATGATTCATAAGGGATGAGTAATATTTTACGTGCAGGTTCTATAGTGGAAAATATTATTTTTTTGCTTAACTGGAAGTGAAATTTACTGATATATAGAGTGCTAAAGTTATAAAAACAACTTAGTATTTACTAAAAATCGGTATAATTAGGTTTTTGTCGAAAGAATATCGAATAAGTAAAAATACAAAAAATACTTGTAAGTCACTATTTTTACCAAAACTTTTGATCAACTCTCGTATGGATACCTACAACTAAATCTATCAACACATTTAGACATTATGTGTATAATATTTCGTTATTTTTGTAAACAATTTAAGTGTTTTGTAAATTGTAATGCATTAATTTATTAGACCAGAGAATAAATTTATTGAGTTGGATAGTTTGTTTTTGTCTGTAAATTCAAATAAATACCTTGTCGATTAAGTACACTGGCGCACCTAGCAGATTTTATAGGAGGCACCGTTTGCACGTGTGGATTTGCTGTAGATGGTTGGCGTTCAATGTTAAGTATAACATTTACTTATAATCTTCAGATATATTTAAAAAAAAAAATACTTGTCAATGTTTTAGAGAATTCAATGCTGATTATTAAAAATAAACAAGGAAGAGTGAGCATTTTACCAATTTGTCTTTTCTTTTGTAATTTTGTTATTTCTAATAGCTGCCATCTTGGATTTTAAAATTTCTATGGAAATATTTAATATTTTTCTCAATTTGGAAACACTGCATTCATTCGTTCATTTTTTCTGCTACTTTTAATTGGCCATAAAATATCCAGTATTCGTACTATTGATCTTTTAAATTGTTTAAATTCTGGATTTAAAAACAAACCAGGTGGGTATATTTATTTAAGTATTAAGAAGCGCGTTGGTATATAGGTAAGGTAAGTTTGGTAAAATAAAATTATTTTGAGATCATAAATCTGTGCTAGCTCAACACACTAAAGTAAATACTAATAATATATCTAGTAAAACATTTGTCACAAATGGAGTAACCTAACTTAGAAAACACCCTGTAAGTTAGCATAATAATGTAATAAGGAAAATGTGATAATTTCGTTTTTGGCACCATACTATAGTAATATTATTTATAGACGAGCTTTATCATAATGCTTTATATAACTCTATGTACCTTTTAAACATAAATGTTTAAAAAATGAAATGTTTAGTTTCTCCTGCAATATGGTTCAAATTTACAATTTAATCTCAAATAAATTCAAAACTTTACCTATTTTTAGATTTAAAAGAAAAATAAAAGGGTCATTACTAAGAGGATATATCCAATTAAAATTTTAACTTCTCTTTTCATAATAAACAAATTGCTATTTCTGGTACATTTATTATGATAAAATCTTTCTTTTACAATAAATATAATAATTTTTAATTCTTAATTTAATTTTTAACCCCTGGAGAGATTTTGGAGGTGAAATGACAGAAACATAGGCATCAGATCATAGGAAATTTTGGGACAAGGTTAAAAAGATTAGTAGGAAACAAAAGAAATTAAATAACAGCTATAAACTATAAAAATACAATCTGAAAACAGAAATAATATAAATCTGGAGAGAAAAACTATGAAATTTGGTAGTACGCCGATTGAGGAAATACCAAATACAGACAGAGAAGAATTGTATGAAAGTCAACTCCAGAGATGATTAAATGATGGTTGTGGCGTAAATGTAGAGAGACATGGGAAAACACAAAATCCTAAAAGAAAACATTTTTAAACTTATTTGTGGAATATTTTATCATTACAACTTATTTTTAGTCCCCTAAAATATGCGTCAAAATTATTAGGACTGTGACGAAAGTCTAATTTATTTTTAGTTTATTCATTTAAAAACACACTATTTACAATTTATTTCAAACGTACTATTTAATTTATATAATACTTAGACACTAACTAACAATTTTAATTTATTTCTTACATTTTTACTTTTCAATACAATGTTCTATATTAAACTGTCTATAATCAACTAAACTCGACGCTGATACGTCAGCTATTTATATTAGTCCAACTCCGCTACTGGAAGACGCTAGAGGCTCTCGAACATTTCA